ATGAGGCGAGTGACGGCGTCCCGGAAGAACTCGTCGGCCTTCTTAAGTGCGTGAAGGCTTGGTCAATGATGTCCTCGGAACAATCCACGGCCGGGAGGTTGAAGGTGGTCTGGATAAGCGAGGTGGCGTGTGGAGGGGACAAACCAGCAAACCTAAGATGAAGGTTGGAGATATCCTGGTTGCATTCATGAGGTGGAACGGTCCACCCATTCGCGCGACCAGCAATCAGTTGGAGAACCTTCGCGCCTAACTCGTCGTTGGCAGGGACGGCAAGTGGTCTGGGGAGAACAACCGGCTCCTCAGGGGCAGCGTTGGCCTTAGCCCTCATCACGTTGAGTTCATTGAGCGTAGTCCGGAGGTCCCTGACTAACTCCACATTGTCGTCGAGAAGCTTGGCCTCACGGGCACGAGAGGCGCGATATTTCTCCGACGTGCGCTGCGCCTTCTCCTCCATGCGATCATGTCTATCCTTGCATTTGCGCAATGCCTCGAGCTCGATCGCCATTTCACCATTGACGGTCTCGAGTTCGCAGTATCTCTTGACGAGGTCGCCATGACTTAATGAGCTAATTTTTTTGACGTAGTCGTCTGATGAATTCTTGTATGAGGACATAGAATGAATGTACAGAGTACAGCTGTGATTGTCCTGGCCAGGAACTTAAAGCAATACGCTGTAGAGTGATTAAACTAAACTAAAAGAAAAAAGTTTAATATAAAGAGATGTACTCTTAATATTATTGAACGTTCACTTGAGAGTATGACAGTTAGTAACTGAAGACCCACTGTCTATGAATGAACGAATCATATAAACTTATTTATTTATATAATTAATGATTGATTGCGTGTAACAAGAGGACATACCTTGAGAGTATGACAGTTAGTAACTGAAGACCCACTGTCTATGAATGAACGAATGAAGTGATTGAGTGCGCGAAGCGACATCAAAACACTTTGGCAAAACGAATCATTCGACTCTGGAAGTTCCTCATGTTACATACTAGGAAAAATCAAAAAGTGCTCGGACCAGGAATCGAACCTGGGCTAGAAGAGCCACAATCTTATGTACTACCACTATACGATCCGAGCGTTTGATGAGGGCAAAAGTTAGACCAATGGTTTTAACCTAAAAAAACGCAACAACTTAAATCCACAATCTTTTGTACTACTACTATTCGATCCGAGCGTTTGATGAGGGCAAAAGTACTGACTGAAAGTGGAAATTTTCTTTTGTTGCTTTTATGCTAAATAAATAGCCCGATTTTTTGATGCGGGCACAAGTTCGAACTATTGATGATCTTTTTGTTTCCTCAATCTTAATTCCATTATTCGATCGACCAAGAGTTTGCAAAATTTCGATTCTATTTTGGGGAAAATTCAATTAACAAATGAGTATCAGTTCGGTTAAATGGTCTAACTGAAACTGAAACTGACCTCAGTTCAGTCCAGTTAACAGAGTGACTGACCAGTCTGAGGAGTGGAATATTACACCTGAGCCTATAACGGAAGACCGATCCGACAGAAACTGGGACTGAGCGTTCAGTTTAAATGAACTGAATTGCGATGCTCAGTCATCAGTTGTGAGCCTTATCCTCTATTCATAAGGAAATAAATTGAAATTTAATGAATGAAGAATTTATTTAAGAAGAATTAGATATATAAATGTTAATAAAACAATTGAAAATAGAGCTGGGCTTGGTTTGAACTTTGATGAGGAGCTGATCACATGCTTGCAAATGATACGAGAGTCCTCTGGACATATAATTGAAAGTTCATCATTGACATGAACTCTATGGCCAGGTTTTCGACATGTATACCAAGTGGAGTTATGACTGAATTGTAGATGAGTATTGTCGCATCTCTGTGGAAGACAAGTTGGTACCTTTTCTGGGAATATATGAGTTTGGGTATTGAAGCATGCAGATGAATCTCCCAACACCTCACCATATTGATTTGGCTTTCTTGATGTATCCAAACAATAGTATGAACTACCAGAATTGTCCACTACCTCTGGAGAGTTGAACAAACAATAGTCAAAGACTGGACCATTCTGTGCACCCCATGTACCATCTTCAAAGTGTTGATATTGAGTTGGTAGTACAGTTGGATAGACCCAGACCTGAGACAGACCAACTCCAGATCTAGTGGCCGAGCATCCAGGTTTTGAATTAGTAATTTCCCAATATCCATCAAATCCCCAAGTTGTATCGGAACAAGGTTTGAGTGCAAAGTCACATCCTTTCTTCAAACCAAACACCAATGGCTTGACATCCTTTGATTCATGAACTGTGTACCATCCAGTGTCCTTGAGCAATGCCAATGTCAAGCCAGTGATTGGAGCATATCCTTGGCTGTAGCCAAGCATCAATTCCTCTCCAAATACTGCGGCCTTCCAGTGGTTTCCAGCGGTACCAAGTCCACCTATATCCTCCAACTCGGCACCAGGCATTGCATCACAACCAAAGTGATCCTTTACATATGCCAGTACATTTGGAGTTTGAATATATTGTTTGTTCACCTTATAATGTTTACCCTTTGAATTAACAAATTCATGGTTCTTTGTGATTATAGCTGGCCGTTCCAATGTAACTGATTCAAAGTATGGTGCCAAATATGCATTGAATCCAAGTGCATGTGTCATCTCATGAAGTGAAACACTTGGTTTGATTATTGATTGATTCATTGATTAGGTTAATGAATGAGAGTGATAGATTGAAAAACGTACATACCTTTGATACGTTCTCCATTGTTCATGATATTCATTGTTATCAACCATGTTTGATAAGGCAGCAAAGGCACTTGGAACGTAGTTGATCATTGCTGTTAATGGAGCATTGGTGTCACCTCTGAGGGTACAATGGATTGCAGAGGCTAACTCATATGGATCAGAAACAGGATGAGCAGTAATATAGACCATTAGATCTCCTTTGAATCCATCTCTCAGATCAATAGTGATTGGTTCACCAAAACAACTACTTTGAACTTCTTGTACATAATGGATATCAGGACCATGTACATCAAGAATTCCACTAAATGTATCTGCAATGTATGGAAGCATTCCATTCTTGATCAACTTGATTAGAGATGGTGTTACAATATCTTGAGTTTGGCAAAAGTAAGGTGTTATTCTATTAATATTAATTATTTGACCAACTTGGGAACATGATCGTGAATAGTTTGGTGATAGAAATGTGTCGTTGAATATAATTCTAATTGGGTGTAAATCTTGATTATAATTAAAGTGGTCGGGTGTGATATTATTATTATTATTATTATTATTATTATTATTATTATTTGTTTGTAAATGAATAGGTTGAGGTAATGTTGATGGAAAAGATTGTAATAAACTTTCATGTCCACATCTTATTTTTGTTGGAAATTTGAAGTCAATTGGAGTACCATCCTTTACAAGTTCTTGAAGGCTAGCTCTATGTTCATCAAGCATTGGTTTAACATATTCAAATGATTTAAAAATGGATTCTGATTTAATAATATGAATAATAAATAATAATATAAATATATTGAATAATAGTTTCATTTTAGATATATAATGGTACCAATTATTATTCTGATTGAATGAGAAGGTAGTGATGATGGTTGTTGTTGCTGTTGTGAAGAGTGTACACTGATAGGAAAAATAAATCCAGTTTCGGGTTGGATCGATCAATCTATCTGATAAATATGGGGTGTGTGGTGAAGTGATCAAATTACAATCAAAGACAAACAGATTCAATCAATCAATCAATCAACCAATCAAAGAAATATATAATGGATAAAACTAATAGTTCAATTATATTTTTATTAAATTAAAGAATTAGGTATAAAATTGACAATAAAAGAATTGAAACCAGATCTTGACTGAGTTTGCACTTTGAGGAGGAGTTGATGATATTCTTGCAAATGATATTAGAGTCCTCTGGACATATAATTGAAAGTTCATCATTGACATGAACTCTTTGGCCAGGTTTTGGACAAGTATACCAAGTGGAGTTATGACTGAATTGTAGATGAGTATTGTCACATCTCTGTGGTAGACATGTTGGTACTCGTTCTTTGTCTTTGTTTGTTTCAGTTGTGAAACATGATGATGAATCTCCCAACACCTCTCCATACTTATTAGGTTTCCTCGACGAATCTAAACAATAGTATGAACTATTATAATAATCTGTCACCAATGGAGAGGTGAACAAACAATAGTCATATTCTAGACCATTCCTTGAACCCATATTACTATTATAAAAGTGTTGATATTGAGTTGGTAGTGAAGTTGGAAATTGATAGATTTGAGCCAGACCCACTCCTGATCTAGTGGCGGAACATCCAAGTTTTGAGTCATCCAATTTCCAATATCCATCAAATGCCCATGTAGCTGCTGAACATGGTTTGAGTGCAAAGTCACATCCTTTCTTCAAACCAAACACCAAAGGCTTGATTACCTTTGACTCGTGAACTGTGTACCATCCAGTGTCCTTGAACAATGCCAGTGTCAAACCAGTGAGTGGAGCATACCCGTGCAAATAACTAACCATCAATTCTTCTACAAAAACTGCAGACTTCCAGTGGTTTCCAGGGGTACCAGGTCCACCTAAATCCTCCAACTCTCCACCAGGCATTGCATCACATCCAAAGTGATCCTTTACAAATGCCTTGACATGTGGAGTTTGAATGTATTGTTTGTTCACCTTATACTTTTTGCCTTGTGAATTAACATGTTGACTGGTCTTGGTGATAATTGCAGGTGTGTCGTCTGACACTGAATGATAATATGGTGCCAAATATGAACTGAATCCAAGTGTATGTGTCATTTCATGAAGTGAAACACTAAGTTTGATTGATTGATCTGATTAGTGAGTTTATGAGAGTGATTCATTAATTGAAAGAATACATACTATTGGATTAATTTCCATTGATAATGAAACTCATTGTTATCTATAATGTTTGTTAAGGCGGCAAAGGAACTTGGAACGTAGTTGATCATTGCTGTTAATGGAGCATTGGTATCTCCTCTAAGGGTACAATGGATTGCAGAGGCATACTCATTATTTCCTGGCACTGGATGAGATGTAATATAGACCATTATATCTCCTTTGAATCCATCTCTCAGATCAATAGTGATTGGTTCACCATTACAACTACTTTGAACTTCTTGTACATAATGGATATCAGGACCAAGTACATCAAGAATTCCACTAAATGTATCTGCAATGTATGGTAACATTCCATTCTTGATCAACTTGATTAGAGATGGTGTAACAATATCTTGGGCTTGGCATGTATAAGGTGGATAGCCAAGAACATTAATTATTTGACCAACTTGGGAACATGATTGTGAATAGTTTGGTGATAGAAATGTGTCATTGAACACTATTCTTATTGGATGTAAATCTTGATCATTATTAAAGTAGTAAGGTGGATAGTTATTATTATTTGTTTGTAAATGAATAGGTTGAGGTAATGTTGATGGAAAAGATTGTAATAATCGTTCATGTCCACAACTAATTTTTGTTGGGAACTTGATGTCAATTGGAGAACCATCCTTTACAAGCTCTTGAAGGTTAGCTCTATGTTCATCAAGCATTGGTTTAACATATTCATAGGATGAATAAATTGATTCTGATTTAATATATATAATATTAAGTATTATTAGTATTATTATATTAAATAATAGTTTCATTCTTATTTATATATCTATATTAATATAATAATAATTATGATTGGATGAGATATTGTTATGAAGAGTGTACACTGATCAGAGGAATAAAATTATTTCCAAGTCGGGATTGATCAACCTCTAGGGGAGGGAGTGGGAGAAATGACCCATTCTACAACCCCTTGACAAACACATTCAATCAATCAATGATCGGAAGTTGAATTGGATCAAAATTGTAATCTTAATTTATATATATATATATTATAAATATTAAATACCAAATAAAACAATAATAATAATAAAATAAATGATTGATTGACAAACTCTGAACTTTGATGAAGAGTTGATGATATTCTTGCAAATGATATTAGAGTCCTCAGGACATATTACATAGTGATCATGATTGACTTGAACTCTGTGGCCAGGAGCTGGACATGTATACCACTTTAAGTGATGTCTGAATTGTAAATGAGTATTGTCGCATCTCTGAGGTAGACAAGTTGGTACTCTGTTTTGATAGGGAGTTTGGAATGTGAAGCATGCAGATGAATCTCCCAACACCTCACCATATTGATTTGGCACTCTAGATGTATCCAAACAGTAATATGAACTATGATTGTCATCGGTGATCTCTGGAGAGTTGAACAAACAATAGTCAAAGACTGGACCATTCATTGCACCCCATGTACTATTATCAAAGTGTTGATATTGAGTTGGTAGTGTCGATGGGTAAATCCAGATTGGCGCCTGACCCACTCCTGATCTAGTTGCTGAGCAACCAATTCTAGATCCAGTCGAATTCCAATATCCTTCAAAATCCCAAGTTGTTTTTGAACATGGTTCTAGTGCAAAGTCACATCCTTTCTTCAAACCAAATACCAATGGCTTGACTACCTTTGATTCGTGAACTGTGTACCATCCAGTGTCCTTCAGCAATGCCAGGGTTAAGCCTGTGATTGGAGCATATCCTTGAGTGTTACCAAGCATCAATTCTTCTCCAAATATTGCTGCTTTCCAATGTGCACCAACTGTATTTGAAATACCCAAGTCCTCCAACTCTGCACCAGGCATCGCATCACAACCAAAGTGATCCTTAACAAACACTTTGACATATGGAGTTTGCATAAATTGTTTGTTTACCTTGTACTCTTTACCCTTTGAATTTACATGTTTGGAGTTCAAACTGATTATCGCTTGTTGATCATTAGAAGCTGAATGATAGTATGGTGTCAACAATGGTGTAAATCCCAAAGTATGAGTCATCTCATGTATTGAAACACTATATATTATTTGGATGAATTAGTTAGGAGTGATTTTGGAATCAATCCAGTCATCCAGTTACATACCTTTGGAATTTTTTCCATTTTGAATGATATTCTTTGTTATCTTCAATGTTGGTGAAGGCTGCAAAATATCTGGGAGCATAATTGATAGTGGCAATGAATGGTGCCCAGGTATCACTTCTCTGGGTACAATGTATGGAAGTGGCTATCAATTGTTGTAGTTGATATGGATAGGGAGAAGCTGTAATGTATACCATCAAATCACCTTCGAATCCATTTCTCTGATCAATTAATATTGGGAGGCCAAAACAATTGTTTTGAACCTCTTGTAAATAATGAAATTGAGGTCCATAGACATCGATAAAAGAACTAAAAGTATTGGCAATGTGTGGCAACATTGCCCTCTTGATCAATTTGATTAGAGATGGTGTTACAATATCTTGGGCACGGCATATATAAGGTTCGGTGAAAAGTTGTATTATTTGACCAATATATGAACATGATAATGAATAGTTTGGTGATAGAAATGTGTCATTGAATACTATCCTGATAGGATGAAAATCTTGATTATTAGAGTAATTATTATTATTGGTGTTGTTGTGGATTTTGGTTTGTAAATGGATTGATTGAAGAGGTTGAGGTTGAGGAAGTGATGAATGAATATTTTTTAATAAATGATCATGTCCACAACCTATTTTGGAAGGGAAATTGATATCTATTGGAGTATCATCCTTTACAAGTTCTAGAAGTGTTGCTCTATGTTCATCTATTAATGGTTTAACATAATCATAAGATGTATAAATTGATTCACATTTAATATAATTAATATTATATGCTAAAGTTATTATTATTACTATTAATATAAATAATAGTTTCATTCTAGTTATTGGTATATAATTATAGGATTGAGAGAATATTGAAGTGATCAGAGTATATTCTCATCTGGAAATTAATTCTAATGTTGGGTGTGATCAATCAATCTGATCAGAGGGTGGGTGTGGTGATTTGTACTATTTACAAACTAAACAGATACATTCAATCACACAAGGGAGTATCCAGTTTGAAGATCTTTTTTTACCTATTAATACGGGAATAATAATAAATATATTATAGATGATTGAATGAAGTTTGAAAAAGTAAATTAAAGTTGAAATAAAAAAATTATTATTATTTATTATTTCCATTCATTCGACCGACCAATGAAACACTCGCCCACTCACAAATACAGTAATAGGATCATCTCTTATGTTGACTCTGTTGCTGCTGCTGCAAGTTGAACAACATGGCATTGCACATGAATGATGCATATTCGTCCCACTTCATCTTGAGACTGTTGTGCCAGGCTACGTAGCGCTCCAGATTCTGGAACAGCGATTGGTTGTTGGCGACCAGTCTCTCCTTCTCAAACTGTGTCTGCTGTATCTGTTGATTCTGTTTCTGAAGCAGGCCCAACAGATGCTGGATCCTCACCTCATCACTCGTCATATCCTTCAATGACAGTTGTACCTGCTGAACATACTCTTGTGACTTCTCCTGCATTGCCTTGCTCTGCGACTTGGCGCTCAATATTGTTGTTGTTGTCGTTGTTGCTGTCGATGTTGTTCCTGTGGCTGTGGCTGTGGCTGTAGTGGTGGTAGTGGCGCTGGATGCAGGAGTTGGCTGGGTGGCCGATGTTGAAGATTGAGTGGTTGGCTTGGTGGTCGCACTTGGGAATATAATAGGGGATGGGGAGGAAGCTGATGTTGGTGCCTTGAATGATTGTGGAGGCTGTGCCAGAGGTTGTTGATGTGGCTGCACTGTCGAGGGTTGTGGCAACGACACAACGTTGTCCTTGTCCTTGGGTTTGGCCTGGCCACTAGCACCACCAGCACTATCGCCACTCTTGAGTATTGACTTCATCTTGGCATCAAACTCATTCCTGCTGGTGATGATTGGCAAAAACTCATCATTGAATCGATCCCATAATATATTGTCACCTGGTGATGAGATTGCCTTGGACGAAGCGTCAAGTATTCTCTTGATCTGCGCCATTTGCTCGGCAGACTGTCCAACTATTGGTTGCTTCTCTCGCACGTACTCCAGCACGGCCGTGATGTCCTTGTCCAATGTGATTGATTTCAGAGTCATTGGAAGTGTGGCCAAAGTATGAAGCAGTGTGTTTGGCGCAGAAATAATGATCTTGAGCAGTTGTCTCATCAATTGTATATCGTTCATTGCCTTCTTCTTGTGTATCTTTGAGCCCAACCATTGGTCCTCAGTCGTCTGGCAGTATATCTTGACTGATGCCTCCATCTTTAGTGTCTTGGCAATGTCCACCAATTGATTCTTGTTCAACATCTCACTGAATTGCTTTCCTTCCTCATCTAGACATTGTTTGTTTGTTTGAGTGTGAGTGATTGGAATGGTTCCAGAGTGATTGAGTGATCACTTACTATTTGGTGTAGACTTGAAGATTGGTGTGGAGAATAATGAGAGTCTGATCAGGGCGACAATGAGGAGTGGGAGGTCTGGAACAGAGACAAGTTGTTTGGCCTCGAGGACACAGACTCCAGTGATGACCTCTCTGAGCTTGGTGTGAATGTTGACCTTTGATGGGAACAACTTCCTAATCTTGTGTCCATTGTTGTTGTTGTTGGCACCACCCGGACTGGAACCATTTATGCTTCCTGGACCGATCGAGGAATCACCATTGACACTACTGCTGAGATTGAGTTTGATTGGTGATTGATGTTGATGATGATGTTGGTTGTGGCCGCTGAATGGCACTGGACCCTTGACCAACGAGCCAGGTGTAGGTGGTTGTTTCCTCTTGCCTCCAAGTACCTGGCCGTTGCCTTGAGGCTTGGATGGTGTCACTGCCAGTGATGATGATGGTGCTGCGCTCGTCGTGGTCGTTGTGGTCGTGGTTGGTGGATTCGACATGGACGACAGTGGATTCGCAAATGATTGTGGTGGCGCCAACATGTTGATTGACAAGGATGATGTGAGCGACATCATTTGTTCTCGAAGCTCGGGATCATCGATGCCGCCGAACGGTTCGGATGGGGTCTCCCTCTTGCGGAACTTTTGGAACTTGGTCGGAGTGATGTAGGGTGGTGGCGCACCACCGGTGATCTTGTCAAACATCTCGTTCATCCTCTGCTCGCGCTGGTATCGCTGGCGACTGTTCCTCTGGCGCACCTGCTCATGAAGGCCAACAAACTTGTTTGAATCGAACAAGTCGTCCTGGGTGAAGTCCACGGGATCTGGGTCTTCCTCGTCGTCCTCTTCAGCATCCTTGCCAAGCTCGACCACTGCGTTTGGATCGCCTCCCTCCTCGTCGTCCTCATCTTCATCGTCATCATCCTCATTGTCATTGTCAATCTCTGGTTGTTGATCATCTTCGCCCACGATTATATCAGAGTTTGGTGAGGTCAAGATGGTGGCTTTGGCATTGTTGTTGGCATTGTTGTTGGCGTTGATGTCTGGGCTCGCATTGATAATCTCCAGTTGATCAAACATCTTGACAAACTCATCAGTTGTTTGACGTTTCAAAGTACCACCTGGGACATTATGCTTAGTTGCAGACGCTGACTTGTTTGGAGTTCTGTTGTCCCTTGGTGTCTGTGGATGTGATTGTGATTGTGACTGTGACTGTGGCTGTTGTGGTGTCTTGGGTTGTGGCTGTGCCTGATGTTTCGGTTGGATTTGTTGTTGTGATGTTTTTGGTTGTGGAGATGATGGAGGTGTCTTTTGTTGTTCAACATTAACGACAACATGTTGTTGTGGATGATGGTCACCATCTTCCAGATCAATTACAATTTGTACTTCATCTACCATAGACTCCTCCATGCCCGAGCGGGCCACGACTGGTGGCCTTCTCCTTCGTCCAGAGAGTGGTTTGAACATCTTGGTGTATATATATGTATAAGTTTATAATGATAATGAATATTGATATGATCATTCATTCTTTGATCATCAGCAGTCTAGACTGTAGTTTCCAATAATTGAATGATTGATTGGAGTGAGTGTGGTCGATTCAAATTTTGGCGCTAAATGAAAAGACGACACCAACTTTGAAGATCAATCATATAAAGATGGTTAAAGATAACAACAAAGGATTTAATTATTAATTAATTAATGAACGGACTTTAACTCTTTCAACAGTCTACAGTTCTGTTGCAAGAGGGTCTTGGCCTTGGCAGATGTGTTGGTCGAGAGGATGTTGAGATTGCGGAGTGATGGACACATTTGAGCGACCATGTTCATGGCCTGATCGGATACGTTGGTGTTCTGGATGTCCAGCACCTCAAGGTTGATGTTGGAGCGCACGGCCACCTCGATAATGGCTGCGTCGGCAATGGCCGTGGAACTGGCACGGATCGACTTGAGGCCGAGGCACTCACGGCCAATGCCCACGATCGACAGGTCGGTGACGAGCGGGCACAGCGACACATTGATATCGGTAATATATTTACAGTAGGTGGACAGCGCCAGCACGCCCACCTCGCCCACCTTGACACACTCTTGCAGGTTGACCACCTTGAGGTTGGGGCAGCCAACTGACATCTTGATGATGGACGTGTTGGTGATCTTGGCATTGCCGCACAGGTTCACCTTCTTGAGGTGCTTGCTCCTCAGTGCCACCTCGATGATGGACGTGTCGGTGATCTTGGGGCACTTGGACAGGTCGATGACCTTGAGCAGGGGGCATTGCAAGGTGATTGTGGCCATGTGGCGGTCAGACAGACGGTCCAAGCCAGCGCAGTACAGCTTCTTCATGCTCTTGTTGTAGGAGGCGACGTTGGACAGGGTATCATCGCCGAGATTGGTGTGCGAGATGTTGAGCACACGGAGCATTGGTGCGCGGAGCAGGATTGGACGGAGACCCTTGTCGGTGATCTTCTTGCAGCGGTCGACGCGCAGTGCCTCGAGGTGGGGCAGGAAGCTCTCAATGCGCTTCAAGCCGTTGTCCGACACGTTCTCGCATCCAAACATGTAGAGCTCACGGAGGGAGCTCTGGGAAACGATCGAGAAGAGACCTTCGTCTCCAATCAATGTGCCACTGCAGTTGAATATCTCAAGGCTGCGCACGCCGTTGAAGCGCAGGCCGACCAACGACTGCTCGGTGATGTTGTTACAGCCGTCCACGCGCAGAAGACGCAGACGGAGGAGGGTGGCGAGCAGTGGAGGCAGGATGCGATCGGTGATGCATGGTAGGTTGGAGAGATAGAGCTGCGAGAGGTGGTGGCAGTTGACAATGATCTGGTCGATCACCTTGTCCGTGGTGTTGTTACAGCCTGACAGGTTGAGGATGCTGAGGTTGTGCAGGTTGGACAGGCTGCAAAGGGCACGCTCACCAAAGTTGGCGCTGTTGTCGATGCGCAACACTTCGAGCGTGGAGATCTTGCTGATGGCAACGAGCGAGTCGTCCGAGAGGTTGGTGCAGCCAGTCAGGTAGAGCTTCTGCAGGAGAGTGAGATGTGTGGCGACAGATACCAGCGACTGCTCGTGGATGCCGATCAGGTACGACAGGTTGAGAGTCTTGAGCGACTTGCACTTGGGCGCCAGGGCCGTGATGGAGACGTCGCTGGGGAAGATAGACTGGTCGACGCGCAGCACCTTGAGGTTGGGGCACAGAACGCCAACCTGCAGCAGGGTGGCATCAGACACACGTGGACACTGGTAGAGGAAGAGCTGCTCGAGGTTCTGGAGCGAGGGCAGGATCTGGACGAGGGTCTGCTCGTTGAAGCGACACAGCTTGCTCAGGTTCAGGGTCTGGAGACACTTAAGCTGGCCCAGCGCCATGATGGCGTCGTCCGTAACGTTCAAACAGCCGTCCAGACGCAGCACGGTGATCCTTGGACACTTTTGCGTGATCATGATGATTGCTTCGTTGGAGATCTTGATGCAGCCCTGCAGGAACAGGCGTTGCAGCATGGGGCAGTGCAGTGACAATGTGGAGATGGCCTGATTGGTGACGAATGTGCACTTGCCAACATTGAGTGTCTCCAGCTTGTGCCACTTGATCGACAGCTCACTGATGCTGCCATCGCTGAGTGGTGCGCCATATGCGTAGAAGGACTTGATCGAGGCCAGTTGCTTGAGCTCCGATGCGCCCTTGTCCGTGATGAGGCCCAGTCTGTTGATGCACAGTGACTCGAGCACCTTGAGGTTCTTGGCAATCTCGTCGAGGGAGCGGTCAGTCAGACGGTCACACGACGCCAGCGAGAGTACCTTGAGGCTCTTGGCCTTCTTGGCCAGCAGCATGATGGACTGATCAGTGAGCATGTAGCAGTTGTTGAGATGCACCTCCTCGAGGTTGGGGCACGACTTGGCCACCTGCTTGATGGCGTCGTCCGTGAGCTGTGTGCAGTTGCTCAGGTTGATCATGCGTAGGTTCTTTAGACGGCCAATCACGCGACAAAAAACGGCCAGTGAGAAGTTGGTACAGTCGCTCAAGTTCAAGAACTCCAAGCCCTTGCACTCAAACAACGATTCGAGCAATATGTCGTCGACGGCATTGCTCCTATACTTGTTCACAAACACATTAGTCAGAGTGCTTGCCTTCTTCTTGATTGTGGCGCAGTCCTCTGCGCATTCCAAAGAACCAAGTGCATAAGATGGTACCTTCTCCACTGGGAAGCTTTGTGTAATGAGGCGAGGTTAGTATGTTTGGGACTCACTCCAACTCCATTCATGCGGGTCGGGGAGACTTACAAGTCTGGCGTGTAGATTGGATAAAAGTCAGAGTCGATGGGGACTTGGGGAGAGACAAAGATGTTGGCGGGTGGTGATTGGAAGACAATGTTGACGTTCTTGTAGGGCGACTTGATCTCGTAGGATGGTGCCGGTTGGATGAAGGCATGTGTTTGTTGTGCCAGGAATGGGGAGGGCTGCTCGCCCAACATCATTGGGTTGACCATGGGTGGTGGCGACTGGCTGCCAACAACGCCCTGCATTGGTATATTTGGTATATTGGGATAGATGATCATGCCCTGTTGTTGTGGAGACATTGGCATCATTCCGGCCAATGGGGCGTGGTGGGGTGGTGATTGGCCGAGACTGACGCCCTGGGGCGGTCCATTCTGTTCAATAAATTGTTGTTGATATTGTTGCAACTGTTGTTGTTGTTGTTGCTGATCATGCTGTTGACCTGGGATATAATAAGGAATATCCATATCATCAACACCATTTAATAATTGTTGTTGTTGTTGACCATATTGTTGACCATTTTGTTGTTGTTGTTGTAGTTGTTGTTGTTGATCTTGGTTTGGTTGTTGGAATTGAGCTTGTTGCATATATGAAGGTGCTTGGAATGACTCTGAAGCGAGTGAATCCTCAATATTCTCTTCGATACCCATGTTTGATTGATTGATTGGCAGATAGTGTTGTACAATGTTAATAATAATATTAATAATAATAATAATAATAAATATATATAATGTTTGTGTATAAGATACAAAAGATGAAGTGCTTGAATTGAACTGACTATCTCTCTAACTCTTTGAGCAAAGATTATGCGTTTAAGTGTTGCGTTGTGCCAGCACTTTGAAGGAATTTGCCTTTGAAATTGGCGAGACCAACAATGTGCGACCTCGTCGATAATCGAGACTAAGAGTGAGTGTTTCGCAATTCTCTGGGAGGGTGTGGACCAACAAAACTGAGTTCATCTGCGACTCTCACACACTTTGGTCTTTCATTCATGAGGTCGTGTCTCTGTTCTCCGCGAACTTGTTATCTCTTAATTATTATCTTTACTTTCTATCTTCATCATATCTAATAATAATAATATACTTATGATGTTTGTGATCAATGATCAAACAAACTGAATGATTACGAAGTTCATAATTTATCAAACTAAGATGATCGCGTGATTGATTTAATAATATTGGAGTAAGTTGTTGTTGAGATCATTGATCACATGATCATAAGTCGATCAAAGAGTGTGACTCTATCGAGTTATATTATAATTAATTAATTATTTATACTCCACATGTTGGTGAGAGCATCAAGTGAGTACACTGAATGAATACGGTGAATGGGATACAATGTGTGGATGGACGGACAGATCCCAACCCTTGAGCACCGTGCCCAAAAGATGAGGTCACGTCACACACAACATAGTGATCAGACCAGATGTGTGGACGTAGTGTGTCTGATCAAACCATCTGATCAAATCGGTAAAGTACAGTACACCAGTTTTACTGGTCGCGTCCTTCACTTCTCACCATTTTGCTTTGTATTGCTAATTATACCCCCTTGTTGGATGGTCTGTTGGGCCTTCCGATCAGGCCTCCCCTTTTCCACACACTTGTCTTCTTGCTTAAAACACATCACCGTGATGTTACTGAACAGTGGACGTCCATTCTTCTTGTCCATTGTCTTTCCAAACGAGTGATTGAAATGACTGATCACCAAGTTTATTATTTATATCCAATCGATTGGACATAATTAGACATTCAATCATACGTAAATCTATTCACATAACATATAATTATATACTTAAATATGTCAATCAAGTCCATAACATTATTATTCTTTGTTGTCGTTTTGGCCACCGCCATGGCCCAGACAGACTTTATTGTCGCGCCCTGCGACAACCCTTTGTCCCCTTGCGATTTTAATCTTGCCGCCAACTGGGTCGGCGGAGTTGTCCCAACCGAATCCGCCAGGATCGATATGTCTTCCACTGCCAGCGGCATGAGATACGTCAACGCATCACTGCCAGCTGCACTGTCGACAGCTTGGTGGTCCTCGGCCCACAGGTCACCATTACCGTCGCAGCCGACGTCGAGTTCACCTCCCTGAACGACATCACATTGACCGACACCATCCTGACCGCCATCGCCGGCGCCAAGATCACCGTCGACACTGTCACCCTCTCCAGCTCATCGATCACCCTGTACGCTTCAACCATCCGCGTTGGCTCCCAAATGACCATGACCAAGATGTGTCCATGGACCGCCTACAACTCCACATTTGACTTTGCTGGCATAAACAACATGTTTGGACCACTCTCGCCCAGACCCACCATGATCGATCGCTCCACATTCATCATCCGTGGCAAGACCCTGTTCTCGAACGGTATCAGTGTTGATGACACCAGTATCCTGGTCGTCGAGGCCGGCGCAGTCACCTCAATGATAAAGATGTCCGACATTGCCAACGCCCACGTCGATGGACAACTGTCCGTACCACAGGGATCCGTGTCCATCACCAAGATGATGACCACTGGCAACGAGTCCACAATCGGTCTTGGTGTGGGAGCTCTCAAGGTTAGCGCAGGCGGCCAGGCATCCTTCCAAAGAATCGTGACCGGTGCCAACTCTGACCTCATCTTCTCCAACGCCTCGAGCATCTTTATCAACGAGATTAACTCTGCTGGTCGTGTCACTATCGAGAAGGTCGCCTTGTTCAACCTGTCGTCGCCAATCTGGGGTCAAGTGTCCAACTTCTCCACGATCATGATCGCCGCCCAATCCAACATCTACATGTCCAACGTCGACATTGGTCAGATCTTCCGTGTGACCTCGCTCATGGACACATTCCCACAGGCCGTCATCAACATGTACTTCAAGTCGGTCAACAACAACATCCGTCTTTTCAACGGTGTCCTCAACAGCACCATGTTCTACGTGCAGCCATCGTCCGTCCTGATCCTCATCTCTGAGTCCACCTTTGCTGGCGCCTCTGGCATCACTTTGGACGGCACCCTCGTCCTGACCAGGAACATAAATCTCGGCGCACAAGGAGTGCTCACATTGTCTGGCGAAGGCGCTCATCTACCCACTGAGGGAATCACCATCAAGGGCCAAGTCGTGATCAACAACGGTGACCTCGTCCCACTCAACACAACAATCGATGGATCGCTCGTACATAATGCTGGTCAACTTGTCTTTGAGGACGAGCAATCCACTGGAGTGTACGCCCTGGTCATCACTGGCAACTACACCGCCTCCCCACTGGCCGAGATCGAGTTCCAAGACCTGCCAATCAACTTCACTCCCAAGATGAATGTCCACGGCGTCGCTGCCGTCAACGGATCGTCGATCACCATGCGTATGTCCAACACCGAGCCAGTCCTGTACGCAGAGTACCACTTGATGCAGTTGAGCAGCAATGCACCACTGTCTGCCCTGAGCACCAATCTCCATGCCGCCCTTGGTACCCCCGCCGACGTGACCACCGTTCTCAAGGTGACCCAAGGACCAGTTGTATCATTCATCTTCCAGCAGGGATGTGCCGAGCAGCACAACAGCTGCTCTGACCACGGCGTCTGCAACAATGGAACTTGTCTCTGTGAGCCAGACTACTTAACCAACAACAACTGCAGTGTCAAGAGTTGTTACATGAACTGTAGTGGAGCTGGCTCATGCCAGGTGTCCAACTACACCTGTCAATGCAACAGTGGACTTGTCGGAGCCTACTGCGAGAAGCCAGCATCAGTCTGCAGCACCTACACCAACAAGACCACATGTACTGCCGGTTGCTCATGGTGTCAATTCACCAATGCCTGCCAGTATCCAGCCACCAGCCAATGTGTCGCGACAACCAGCACCACCGCCACCACCTCGACCAGCACTACTACATCAACCACGACCAGCACTACATCCGCCACTACCACTCATAGCTCCACCACTACCAATCATCCAAGTTCAGCTCAATCAATCATACATCAGGTATCCGCGATGACCTTCACAATCATTGTTATCTTGGCAATGACACTGTAATTAGTATCATAGTACTTAATAATAAAAAAATATGGATAAAACATACATAGATAATGGACGAGTATTCTGTTTGCATCGATGTGATTGAGTGATGGGGGAGTAAGAAAAAGGACCGTTTTGTGTCGAGTCGTTTTGGTGATCAAACCACAATCGGCTGATTTCAGATCTGAATCACAGGGCCTTGTGTCTGGCATTTTTGGACCATTGTTATCGTTCCCCAAAGGGTTTGTGTAGATACATTCAAGGACTTAGAGGTCCACATCATCAATCATTCAGTCATTCATTCATTCATTCAATCAATCAAACAAAGACAAATAATTATAAAAATGATAAAGTTAATATTATTTATAATGATGACATTCTCAGTGTCATTGACATTGGCTGCGAGCTTTGTTAATTTTGGAGCAAACCAATGTACTGATCCGGCTAATCCATGTGACTTTAATAACCCTGCCAATTGGATCGGTGGTCAGTTGCCATCACAATTCAGTCCAACGGCCTCAATTGACAACACAGTCTCACCCTACGTGATCAAGTACATCAAGATCACAAGCCAAATCACTCTGTCCGCCTTTGTTGTAAATGGTCCAAACGTCACACTCACAATCGGCCAAAACGTCAACCTCACTGTGGTCAATGCAATCAGTATGACCAAGGCCCAACTGGAGACAGAGACTGGATCCTATATGTCGTGCGCAAGTTTCTACGCCTCAGAATCGTCGGCCACTTGGACTGGCGCCTCAGTCTTCCTTGGAAACATGTACATATTCCAGAACTCAATTCTCAAGGCATACAGCTCGAGCATTGACGTCCTTGGCAATCCAGTCAACTTTGACCAAACCATTCCACAGCCAGAGCTACACGACCACTCCACCATGATTATCAGAGGTTACGCCGACTTTTCAGTAGGCCTCTCAGCTGATGCAACCAGCAAGTTGGTGATAAATGGCTCCGCCTCAATGGTCAAGACGTCCAACCTCGGAAACATCCACGTCGATGGTGTGGTAGCCGTGTCCAACGGAGGTATTCTTGCCACAAAGAGCTTCACCTCGAGCGAGCATTCCAAGATCTTCATTGGACTCGGATTCATCAGGATCATTGACGCAAATGTAGCCACACTCTACAACATCTCGACCAATATGCAATCCAATCTGGTCATCTCCAACACCTCAAGTGTTTTCATTGGCACAATCGATGGCCAGGGTAGAACTATTATTCAGGACGTGGCCCTCTTCAATCAATCGTGTGCTGTCGTTGATCTAGTGTCTACATTCTCCACCTTGACCATTGGTGGAAAGACCAATGCCTACTTCTCCAACGCCAACATTGTTAATATCCAACCTGCTGATGCCGATGCTTCTGCCGTCACCAACATGTACTTCAAGTCCCTGAACAATACGATTCAAGGTTTCGACCAGGCGCTGTCCACCAACAACATCCACGTGCTGAATGGTTCGTCACTTGAGCTGACCAACAATGGTTTGTTCATGGGAAAGTCGAGCATCACACTTGAAGGCACATTGGTTCTGCCCCAGAACTTGTACCTCGGCGCAGAGGGTGAGCTCACATTCTCTGGACCATATGCCTACCTGTCCACCAACGCCTCAACGATCCAAGCCAAAACTGTCACTATGAACAATGGTCGCTTCGATCCTCAAAACACAACTATCAACGGTTCGCTCGTACACAACGGTGGTGAGATATTCTTTATCGCCAACCTCATCGACGAGCATCAATTGGTCATCACTGGCGACTACAAGTCATCATCATCAAATGCTTTGGTCTATTTCCGTGACCTCCTAAGAAACAGATCTGCTAAGGTCTCTGTGCAGGGTAACGTCTCGATCAATGGAACCACCTTTATGATCAACTGGATGGATGAGGACCCTGCCAAGTATGTGGACTACCACCTGGTCCTCATGGGTAATGTCCCCGCCAGCGCACCCACCGTAAACCTCCAGGTCACCTTTGGTTTAAACGATGATATGACCTACCTGATCAAGGTTACAGGAAACAACACAATCACTGCCGTATTTGAAGCAGGCTGTCGTGATTTGTATAACAACTGCTCGGGTCATGGAAAGTGCAATGATGGCGCTTGTGTCTGCGAGCCAGACTACTTGACCAACAACAACTGCAGTGCCAGAAGCTGCCACATGAACTGCAGTGGAGCTGGCTCATGCCAGATGTCCAACTACACATGTCAATGCAATGCCGGACTCGTTGGAGACTACTGTGAGAAGAATGCAACAGTCTGTGGCACCTACTCCAACAAGACTTCATGTATCACCGGTTGTTCATGGTGCCAATACACCAATATCTGCCAGTATGCCGCCACCAGTCAATGTGTTGCCCCGCCAACAACCACCACTGGCACTACATCAGCCTCGACAACAAGTGATACGACAACCACTACTACCACTACTACCAGCACAACGACCAGCACACCAGGCCCAAGCGCAGCCCCATCAATTGCCGGATTGATGAACTCATCCTTGTTGATCATCTTTGTAGCAATCTTCTCAATTATCATTGTCTAATAATCGATCAATCCTACAACAATCTTGAATGAATACATAAAGGTTGTTATATTTATACATATACTACTACAGGTTGTTGTTGTTGTTGCCATTAAGGTTGGTGGCAGATGTTGACGTGGACCACTGGACATCATAGGATCGGTTGAAATCTACAATTGAAGGGTTGGTCGTTGGAAGCTCCTGGAAGTTGGCCTCCACATCATCCACTGTCAGTATCGACTGCTCCGTCAAGCATAAAGTATTGGTAATGAATGAATCAATGTCGAATGATGCTTGAAGAGGGTTGACTGGCTTCAAAAGACATATCAGTGATTCCAACAAGGTCTTAAACTCTGAGCATGATAGACAGTCGTCATGGTCCAGGTCATACATATCGAAGCAGACTGAGAACATGGTTAGTTAGTATACTAATGATTGATTGATGGGGATGTTGATGATGATGAGATACATACATCTTATACGTTCTTGCAGTGTACCTTTGGATAGGATGGCAACCATATGCACAAACTCATCGCATGTGATCAAGTCGTCCATGTCCTCATCCAACAGTTTAAATATCTGATTGACAATGTCCAGTCGATACTTCCAAGGACTGGGCAACACGTCTTTACACATCTCCACAAACTTGGACTTGCCAATGCCCAGCGACTGGCTGGTGCTAAGACTAATGTGTGATTGGAACAGGTCGTACAGAGACTCTAAATCATACCTTGATACTATGGATCATTGCGTGAGATTAGGTTAGTACATGCATGCGCTGGCGAGGTAGACATATGTAAGAGAGGCTTACTATTGTATCTGTCACTCCATTCCCTGACCTTGGACTTCTTCTTGTTGATCTGTATGTTCTTGATGGCGATGTACTTGTTTGAACTACGCATCTGCTCCACCTTGTCGGTGGGCAGGCTGTCAAACTCGGTGAGTGTCATTGTGAACAGCTGGTCCACGTTGTAGTCGCCATCCTTGAACAACAGCATCACCTCCTCAGCCGACTTGCATCGTAATATGGCCGCCTGCTGCAGCTTGAAGCAGGATAGCGCCACCTGGAACAGGATGTTGGTGCCCTCCAGGAAGAAGCAGTCCAGCACGCGCAGGCCCAGCTCCAAATGTCCATTGCTCATGAACAGGCAGAGGAACCATGGCACTATTATTACAGACAGTGGACAACTCAGTTTCTTGAGGTGGCTGTCGACCTCGGGCAAGTAGGTCGATATCAGGCTCTCAAAAGTTTTGCCATCAGCAATGGAGCCAACCATTCCGCGGCGGTAGTTGTCCGGCAGATAGTCCTCACACAGTGATGACAACAGCCAGAATGCCTCTTCCTCCTTCACAAACAACAGGAAGATGGCGCCAAGTATGTTCTAAGATCATCGTGTTTGAGTTAGTGAGTGATTGGAATGAATGGAGTTGATTGAGTATATCATACCATTGATTGACAATAGCCTATTGATGGGTTGTGCCATGAGTAGGCGGTGAGTAGACGACGCAATGATTGGATACCTTGCTCATCTTGGAAGTATGGATGCTCGGGGAAACTACGCCTCAGGTCCTTCTCAATGTCGTTGCTCGATGGGTTGGTCTCGCCTTGATGCTGTTGAAGGAGTTGTTGGTAGTAGTTGTTGGGATGGCAGTATGGCTTGTAGAGTGCGCCAGAGGTGAATAACCAGACGATTCTTCGAAGGCGATCGGGCACACCACCGCGCACCAACGCCTTGAGCTCATCGGTCTTGATCATGGCAATGCCTTGACCGTTGAATGCATAGTACTGCTCGAATAGATGCATCTGTTGCTGTTGGAACATGCGGTATGTCGCGGAGAAGGTGCCGTCGATGATGGACTCGGGCAGGCCGATATGAGAGTGGTTGTCCTCGTAGCTGCCCATGGCTTCATTGCCATTGCCGCCCACATCGATCCAGAACTGGCGTACAACATCGTACTGCATCTCAATCGTCGATGAGAAGAAGTAGAACTTCTGGCTGCCGACACAGATGCGCATTGTTGTGCCGCGGTTGCCAAAGGCCTTCTCGTGGGTGATGGCCGTTATCTCGCGCAGTGGCAGCACGAGCTGGAGATCTGGACGGCCAAAGCACAAAAAGTTTGTTGAGATGTAGATCTTGCCAGTGATGTCATGCTGATTGTTCCACAGACTGGCCTGGAACTCCTCGACCAGGAACTCCTGGGCGGGCAGGCTGAACATGTCTTGGTAGTCTTGATGCTTGCGCTGCTCCTGCAGTATCTCCTTGAAGCTGGAGATCATGGATGTGTGATGGCCGCCGCCTCCAATGCCGCCGCCGTACGAGCCAGACATGGCGAGCGCGCTTGGGCTGCTGGCCATATCAATTGCCGTCGAGCTGTTGAGTGTGGGCGGTGCGCTGGACATTGGCGACGATGGTGAGGTGCAACCATTGCTGCCGCCCCATGCCCCATGGTCCGCGCTTCCATTGGATGTTGTTGAGCTGCAAGCGTCCTCCTTGGCATTGGGCGACATGGCCATGTTGGAGTAGAAGCAGCCAGATGAACGAAGTGAGTTGGCTGGAGACATGGGACGCGGCGAGGACGTGGCGCCCATTGACGATGCCAGTGGTGTGTCGACATGCTCGGCCGAGCAAAGCATGCGATTCATCGCAAACTTTCTGATCTGATCGAGCAGTTGGAACGTCTCGTCAATGTTGAAGAACGTGTGAAAGATGTACTCCTTGCCAGCGTCGGCCGTCGTGATCTTTATCGAGTCTGTCAGGAACTTGAAGTAACTCGAATGTGTGACCTTCTTCATCTCTGACATCTCAGTGAATGGTATCTTTATCTTTGTCGGTATGATCCTACTATGAAAGCAAACATAGTTCTCTGATATATACATGCATCCATGTCTCTGTATCTTGTCCATCAATGAGCAAGAGTACTCTGTAGTTCGTTCGTTTGATTGAGTGAGTGAGTGATTGGAATGATACCAATATGACGTTGATTGAACATACGTGTGATCAGGGTCTCGTTGTCGAGACTGAAGCGTTTCTTGAAGTGTCGTTGCTTCTTCTTGAGGTCTTTGTCTTTGAGCTCGCGCTCTTTCTCTTGTTCCTTGTTGTTCTCCTCGTGGATGCTGAGACAGGTGAACTTGAGTGAGAGATACTCAAATATCTCATTGGTCTCATTGTTCATCTTTTGTACCGATGGTATCAGATTGTCATTGATCCATTTCCACATGCACTGTATCTCCTCCCATTCGTTTGATTCACCAATACACTGACATCCCTTATTCTTTAAACATATCTTGAACTAAATATGAGTGAGTCGTCAGTCGTTGTCCAACTCGCCAGTTTGATGGTTATTATAACATACATCTGCAACATTAACAAGATCACCGCCAACACTACTTTGAGGTATCCTGGCCACTACTTCATTGATTAGGGCAATGGGAATATTCTTCTTTAGGACTGAGAAGTAGTCGTTCTCTTCGACTGTGCACCATGCCTTCCTGAAAGTGATGGATTTGGGCTTGATCCAACCCATCCTATTTTGTACTTGTACAGGTATGTATATATATTTATCTGTATCTAGATCCTCACTGCTGTTGATGTTGCTGTTGCTGTTGCTGTTGCTGTTGAGTATGAATATCTTTGACAAAGAAGAGAGCAATCTTTCTCCATGCTCTCACTCATACACAGTGCCTTGGTAGAACAACGAGGCAAACGGTTCAAAAGAGCGTTTGATCCTTTGTTCTTCAAAGATGATGATGCCAGAGTCTATGTATCAATCGGGTCAGTCAGTCTGTCAGTCAGTTAATCAATCAGTGAATTGAATCTGTTTGAACAAGTAATTGTATAAATTTAAATATATTATGTGTGTATGTATGTATCTATGTATGTATGTACGTGTAGATATATGTTGTAGTTGTAGTAATAGTTTGTAGTAGTAGTATGTCTTTCAAAGTAATAAAGGGTTATCCTTAAATGGGCCGATACACAATAGCAACATCACGTACACTAACCACACTCTGATACCTCCTTTCTGCCTTCTGCTCACTCCCTCCCTCTCTTTTGTTGTTGTTGAGCTGAAGATTTATTGTTTACCTCACCCCCCCAATCAATCTCGAACCACACAACACACAACAAACATAAATAGCATTTTCGATCGACTGATTGGCAGGCGGAGTGTTTGATGGTGTGGTAATGTCAAAGATTGATAGTGTTCTTGATGGTCACAATCATACATGTATGTAGAGGCTGGATATACATCGGTCCATCCATTATTCATTAGTGACACACAGATTTATACAAATTGACAATGGTTACATGAATATTACCTCCCTCCTTTTTGATAGGTGAACCGGTCTGTTGGTGATTGTTGTTAAAGACTGTGATCTATCTTCGACCGGCAATAAAGAACTCTTGTCATTGTAGACAACATAATCAATCAATCAATCAACTACTTCTGGTCATTTCTGAATACCGAATGAATGAATGAATAAAGTGAACAAACTGATTGTTTGATGATCGATCGATCGATCTTGTGTGTTTTATATTTATAATTAATGTTGTTGGTTGTTGTACAATATTACTACTTGGTACTCTTGAGGAACTCATCCAAGATGGACTTCTCCTCGAGTGCCTTGATGACCATGTCCAAAGCCACGTCAAAGATGGTGGGATCAATCATGTTGCCATTGGTGATAAAGTCTTGGTAGGCCGTGATGACATTCTCGCGCACCTTCTCAGTGACCGAGATCGAGTGTCTGGCATTCTCCGCCACAAATCCTTCGACAATGTGCTTCATCAAATAGACCAGGCCATCGCCGCCAATCTCCTCGCTGCCCTCGCTGGCCACATCGGTCTTGAAGTCCTGGACCACTTCGACAAAGCATACATCGTTCACCGCCTTTTGGAAGTGCTGTTTCTTCAAAAAGTCGACAAACGCTCTGCGCTTCTTGGGATCGGAGAGGATGGCTCGGATGCCAGTGAGCTGGGGCGCGGGCACAACTGGCGCGGGTGCGACCGGAGCCTTGACCGCCATTGACACGGTGAGGAACGATGTGTTGTGCAGCGGTGACGAGTCCTCGAGGCCCAAACCATCGAGGTCGAGCTTCTCCAGCTTGTCAAGGTCGACGTCATCGAGGTCTTTGAGGTTGGACAAGATTTGATCGATCTGGTACGAGTCGGACGTTCGCTGGCCGCCCGTACTCGACACCATGAGGAGGTCGCGCAGACTGTCAATGCCCTCAGACGTCGATGTTTCCTGCTGTGAGGACTTGTTGAGTGGACGGCTGCTTGTGGTGGATGTTGGCGCGGTGGTAACTGTCGCCAACGGCACAGCCAGTGGGATTGGCTTGGCAGTCGATGATGTGGGCTCATCGACCAGCTTCTCCTTTGATCTGCTCGGTGACCTGGAGATGGTAGCCAGGTTGCTGCTGGAAAGGATCGATTTGCCAAGGTTGGCACTGCTTAATGATGGCATCTGTAGGTTGTTGGGGAGCGTAATGTTGAGCAGAGATTGTGTCGAGTTGAGCTTGTTGAGTAGCAGGTTGGTGTCGATACCATCCAAGCCATCCTTTAGGTCCTCCAAGCCCTCATTGTAGATGTTCTCCTCGTCCATGTCATCCAGATACACGTTGTACTCGTCAGAGGCGCGCCACAGCGAGTCCTTCATCGAAATGGTGATGGACTCTTGGATGATGCCATTGACTTCGCGCAACTCTTCCTCGTCGCCAAATTCAAACTCATAGTCATCAGTCATTGAAGAGGTCGACATGTTCGTGACAGTCGTCGGCTCCTGTAGCTGCTGCTGTGAGTGTTGCTGTTGCTGTTGTTGCTGTGCTGCCTGCTGTGTCGTGGTCGTCGAGGAGTTTGAACTGTTATTGCTGCCAAACATGTTGGAGAACTTTGGCGTGGCGGCAGGGATGTTCTTCTTCTCGTGGACGGCACGCTCCTTGAGCGAGGGATGGTCGGTGATGCCCGACTTGTTACGACGATGACCTTTGCCTCTCTTGTTCTCGCGGTGCGACACCTTGGCCGGTACAACCATCTTGATGATCTCGGATGGTGACTTGTCGAATGGCGTCAGCATTGGCGGCAGGTTGCTCGAGTTGAGCACCTCGGTCTTCATGACAGATGTGACGAGATGAATGAGCTCGCCGGCGAATGGCGACGATGAACCGACGTCGCATGCGATCTTGATGATGTTCTTGAACATTGGGATGACGTTGATTGGAGCGTTCTTGAGCAGACAGTTGACGGTCTTGAGGATCGAGTTTGTCAGCACGAGGGAGTTGTCCAGCATGTTGGCGATCAGGTCAGCGCATTGGTTGGCGTACTCGGGGATGCAGGCCGAGCGAATGGTCTCGAGCACTGAATAGAGGAAGTCGTCAGGGTTCGAGTTGAAGCCACCGCTAGAGTACTTCTTGAACACGTCGGACAGCCCTGCAAACTGGGGCAGGCGCTTCTGGTCTGCGAGCAAGCTGGCCAGGTCACTGGCAACGCGATCAGCAATGATCTTGTGCTCCTTGTATACGATCGATGACTTGGACGTCAGGATCTTGTTGTGCAGCCAGGGTGTAAGAGCGAGGACTGGCAACAGGTAGCGCAGGGGCGAGCCGGCGGGGTCCACCAGGATGTTGTCGCTAATGCCGAAAAAGGCGATGATCAGGGGGCTGGACATCTCCTCTGTCGATGGCATCAGGATGCCCTTGAACAGGTGATACTGGATTCCACGTGGGATCGATACCTCTTTAGCTTTGCGCAGGATCTCTATGTAGACCGATGAGTTGGGCGAGTCTAAGACCTTTTGCTCAATGACCAGCAGGTTGAGCACGCCGATGGCCGCCACGTACAGTGGTTCGTAGTACCTGTGGCCAGCTGGTAAGAATGCGGCTGCGCTCCAAAAGATCGATGCCAATGAAATCTCATCGATGTTCTTGCTCTGAGAGATCTGTTTGAGTGCCAAGAGAATCTCGACGCACAGTGTAATATTGTAGGACTCGGGAAGATCGCTTGCCGCCTGAAGCTGGCGACTGAATGTTGAGCCAAAGCCGCTGCGGTTGCTACTGCCCTCGGCTGGCGCTGTCGCCATGACCTTGACGACAAAGGCGTCCAGGCCCTCGGTCCAGTCGTAGAGCAGACTGACGAGATGCTCGACGCTGGAAGCCCATCTTGACTTTTGTCGCTTGAGTGTTGTGATCTTGAGTGCTTCCTTCTGTGTGTCTGGCAGCATCTGCTGGCAGTGGATGATCGAACGGTATGTCTGGCATGACTTGATTGATATGCGTGGGTCCTTGTAGTTCTTGATCCACAACAGCGACTCGGCCTCCCACTTCTCAACAGTGACGGGTGTCAAGAGCTCACAGTACTTACATAGCACGGTGATCAGCTCCTCGACATAGATGTATCCGTTGCACCACTTGATCATCTCATTGCGATGCTCAATGACATCGTCCTTGCTTGATGCCAACAATATGCCAGGCGTGGTCGAGCCTGCGGGCGAGCCAACTGGGACGGAGGCCGCAACACGGGGTGACTTGACCTTGGGAGACGAGACAGATGAGACTGATGGTGACATGGGTAGTGGCGAAGAGAGGTTACGGCGGCCTGTGAGAGATGAGTGTCCGTCGGTGAGGTTCAGTGACGACATGTCGGTCTCCTTCTTTCCGTCGTGGAAGTTGAACTTGATCTGGAAGGTGGGCAGACGAAGACTGGTGACGATCGTGTCGATAGACTTGAGCACTGAACGGAACTGTGGACGACGCTCCTCAGGCTCCTGCGACATCTGGCCGTACATGCTGTTGCGCAGCGCGGAAAGGAGAACATTGACCATGGTGACCAGCGTCTCTCCCTCGACCGAGCTGTCGATACGCAGCAGCGAGTAGTTGAGCAGGATGTGCAGGTGCGGGATGATTGGTCGCAAGTTATCGCTGATTAGGTCGCTGATGAACTTGACACAGGTCTCGCGCACCTTGGCTGACTGAGCCTTAGCAGAGCGCTTCTCCATGTCATTGGACAAGTTGTTTGAGCTCTGCTGTGCGGTCATCTCAGCGATGGACTCTGAACGCTTCTCGGCGATGACACCAGCGTAACTCAGCGGGAAGACCAGCGGCTCGAGTGTGGCGTTGGGGTTTAGACGGTAGATGTGAAGGATGAGCAGCTTGCAGATGCGCATCGAGTCGCGAGTCGCCACGCCCTTCTTGATTAAAAAGTTGACGATGGTGGTCAGGTTGCCAGTCTCGCGACGTGCCAGTGCAAGCCACAGCTCGATCAGCTCGGGCAGGATCTCATTGTTGGACGACAGGCCGCCTGCTGCGGTCTGATTGTCGTTCTTGGCGCTGGACTGCTGCAGTAGCTCGGTCATCTTGAAGATGGCCATCAGGAAGCGGCCGGGGGTGTTGCGAGTCAGTCGTCCATTCTCGCTGTTGTTGTTCAGCGAGATGTTGCTGCACCATGGCAACAGCAGTTGGACGGTCCAACGGCGGTTCGAGTTGGACATTGTGGCGTAACGAGCAAAGGCCTCCTCAAAGAAGCGCTCGGTCCACTCGGCGCAGGCCTGTGACGCGATCTCTGACACTTCGATGGCTGACTGCTTGCACGTGGGAGTGATCTGTGAGGCGAATGATTGACGCTTGGGGAGGAGGATGGCGCGGATGGACACGTCCTCCTCGAGGAGCAGACCGAATGCGCAGGGCGCCAGACGTGCGATGAGGTCGAATGAACGGATGCGTGCCAAGAGCGTGGGGTGCAGCAAGTTGAGACACGAGAGGAACAGCAATGTGGAGCCAATCTCGGTGAGACGACGTGAGAAGTTGCGGTCAGTCGATGTGACTGGCTCGTTCTCCAGTTGCTCCTGTGCGCGCTCCTCAAGAGCTTTGTCGTAGTAGTACTGATAAATATCCTCGCTGATGCCTAGAGTGGGTGGGTTTGGTGAGGGGATGGGCAAGTACTGGTCATAGACTGAGTGCAGGAAGAGCACGGCTTCGTTGGCGTCGTTGTTGTTGTCGACACTGGTGTAGGCGCGGTTCAGGAAGAAGAAGTATGACTCGTCAAAGTGGTAGGACAGCACCCATCGCAGGATTCTGTTGCCCTTGATCTCCGAGTCGATCACCCATGGCATGACCTCCACCAGGAGGCCCTGCTCAAACAGCGTGCCCAGACTGAGGATGGCCTCGGCGGCGAGACGCGAGCATGTTCTGATACGTGTAAGTTCGGCGTCGATCTTTAGTCGCTCCTCCTCGCGTGCAATCGAGTCTTTCTTGGCAAGACGCTTGTTGAGCTCCAGGCCCTCGAGCTGCATGCGGGCGTTGGCCACCAACGGGTGGCCGCTCCATTGCAAGATTGTGCGGAAGGTCTTGTATCGCTCGCCCACCGTCCAGGGGATTGATCGAATGCTAGAGATGAGTGACTTGCGCACAGGACCCTCGAGCGCGCATGGCGTGGGGGTGTATAGCGAGTTGCAAAAGTTGTAGACAACCATGGCATTGTCGGCAAAGTATGATGAGTGCGCCAGTGATGGCAGCTTGGTCGCATCGCCAAAGATTGGCTCGATCTGATTGATGAACTGCACAAAGACCTGGATAAGGTCGGCGCTCTCCATGAGCGCGCGTCTAAAATCGCGATGCTGTGATATTCTGCGGAAGATGTTGGAGAGGTCGACGCGGACACGCGCCAACTTCTTGTTGTTCTTGTTGGCTGTCCACCAGTTGTTGAGCGAGTCAATGAAGCAGGGAAGCAAACGCCAGTGCAACAAACCACAGATGAATGAGAGCTTCTCTCTGATCCAGGGGGCGTCTGACAGAAGGCCAGCCCAGAAGTTGGGCAAGTAGTTGGTGACCTTTGTCTGAAGGCCGTGCTCAAAGTTGATCATCTCGTCGACGATGGGGTCGCTGCCAGGCGTTGGACGCAGCGGGTATGATGAAGAGATACCACAGATGGAGAACATCAGTGCGTGGCAGTTGACCCAGAGGTGGCGCAGCGTGTATGAGGCATGGCGTTTGGCCTCGTCAGTAGTCTGCTCTGTTGGTGGGGGTGGCATCGCTGCCAGGATTCCAAGGATGATGCCGCGGGTCTTTGACAGAGTGCGGATGCAGTCGTGTTCAACTGCCTCGCGGCCAATCTCTGCGAGCACGAATGCCCATAGACGGTCGTGAGTACAGAGCGTCACCTCCTCGATTGTGGGAAGGTCGTCGTTGGGGCCCAGTTTGATATCCTTGTCGATGCCGTATGAGTTGTCCAGCAGCAGTTGGTGTCTTGCGCGCTGCATGATTGTACGCCAGCTTGTATGCAGTACGCTGGCAACCTGAGTGGCCGTAGTCTCAGTGTTTCGGATACCTGAGATCGATCTGATCAACTGCAGTGAGATCATCCTGGTCTGCGGGTTGGGTGAGGTTAGATGCACAAAGCCAATTGCCTCGATCTCTGTCTGCAGCATCTTGGGTGGGTAGAACGAGCTGTCCAAGGGCACCGACGAGTGGCGAGACTCAATGAACGAACGCTCATTCCATAGATCGATGAGGCCCAGAAGCTGGGAGAGCAGTGTCTGCAGGGCAACGTGATCCTTGCCAATGTACTGCAGAATGAGTGATGTGTAGCCCTGGACGAGGGTGGTGCGCAGCTCTGGATGGTCGCACATGACCACCTGGATGGCGTGTGATGCAGCCATGGCAATCTCTTCCTCCTCGTGTAGCACCAACTTGTGTAGTGTGCTGTTGACAATGAATGACTTGGGCATGAATGTAACGCATCTGATGGTCTCCTTGAATAGCTCGAGCAACTCGGGGTTGACAATCTTGCGCTTGGGTGTCTTGCGCTTCATTGGGTACTGCTCGACTGGCGCGCCGGGCAGCGCATTTGTGTTCTCCCACATCAGCACCTTGTTGGCCAAAGTATTGGACGATGCGCGATACTGATCGGCAAACTCCTTCTCGCGTTGTTCAGTTGACTTTGTGCACACATCGTACCATCTCTTGATTGCCTCTACAGTAGTCTCGCTCTGAAGTATGATGGAGGGTTGGTGTGAGTGACTGTGTCGCGACTGTGCATGCCAGCTGGCATGATGATTGATGACGTTACCTCGAATTTATGTACAGCTGTTTGATCAGAGATGAGTGAGTAAAGGGAGATGGTTGGCTCGAACTGGGTGGAGAGTGCCAGAGGATCTTGTGCAACTGGCGCGTTGTCGCCTCCAGACTGCTCCTCGCAGTACTTGAACGACTTGGTGAGGAAGGTCTCCAGTGTCAGCTGGATCTCCTCCTTGCGCACGTAGATGATGTCGTTGGAGATGGCACGCATATTGGGATTGGCCGATGGCGACGTATTCCAAAACACGTCACTTGGGTCCAGGATGATGGACAGCGTGCGCAGTGCCACGACGTGGTACAGCAGCGACTGGTTGCTGAACAGACACGGCAGTACCGTGTCTGTGAGCAGCTTGAGCGAGTGAACGGCAAAGTGGACGGTGATTGCTGTGAGCAAGTCGATGCATTCGATCACCTTTGGCACTACCTGCTTCTTGCCGTAGAGTGTCGAGATGATGTCATGCAGGCGTGGTATCATCTTGGCGCGGTTGTGCGCCAGGCCTGCGTAGAGGTATGAACCGCTGTTTTCGTACACGCGTTCCATTCGCTGCTGTAGCTGCGCGGCAATCGACTGGCCGGGCGATTCTGAGTTGGCCGACAGGTTGGCCTGCAGGCCGGTGATCTTGCGTGGCGGTACGAACTTGCCCTGCAACAAACGCAGCACGCACTCAAGTGAGAAGTCGCGCTTCTTCTGGATTGCCACCGTCTTCCACAGACGCTTGAGCACCGACTCGTACTCCTCGTCAAAGATCGAATTGGGGCCGCGAGTTAGGATGGTCGTCATGAGCTTAAGTGATCGCTCCTCGAAATCGTCATGTTTCAGCATCTTCTCGGCGCGTTTGTACACGGCCTTCATCTTCTCGACGATTCCTGTCGACATGGTAAAGTCGCTCATCGACAACAGCATGCCATCCAGCGATTCGAGCTGTGCCAATCGCAGATTGTTCTTCTTGTTGCCTTCGATCCAAAACAGCATCTGGCCCAACAGCTTCTCAACTTCCGTTATCTTGTCATTATCTTGCATCTGTTTGATTGATTGATTGATGTCGCGTTAATGAGTGATCACGTGACGACCTCTTGGACATCCATCATCCATTATTCATTCATACATTCAATGATACCCAACGTATTCCTTTGAATATGGGTATCTGTTCCTCGGTCGGGTTGTTGCCAATGATCCTGGAGAGTGCATTGGATACAGGTGATAGACTATTGATGGGGCAAGGGTAAGGTTAGGTTAGGTTAGGTTGGAGAGGGTCCACATGGCACATACGTTATTCTAGATAGTTGGCCAAGTATTAGAGACCATTGATCAGAGATGGATAGACGTAGAGTGTACCAGGTGGTGGTGTTGAGGGCACGTGGACCGATTGGTCGGAAGTAGTAGAAGGCGAGGTCGCGCAGTCGAGACAGTAGTTGCTCGCTGACGCCAATCGATGGACTGTTGCCAAGGATCTGTGTGATAATGTCGGCGACGACCATCTCGATCGTGCTCTCGATGAGGTCCATGTACTTGAGGTCGTTCTGATAGATGGTGCAGGTGATCATCGAGAGGAATGACTCGAATGTGAACAGCTTGGTCTGCGACTGTGAGCCGGTCGACAGTACGGCCGACAGCGACGGTGTGGCAGTGCCAGTTGGGCTGGCGTTGTTGTTGGCGCTGATCAGACTGGGCGAGATGGCGGCGCCGCGGCCCACACTGCCCGTCGATGAAAGGAGCACTGGCGAGGTGGCCGAGGGTGAGCCGACGCCAAACGACATGGAGCCGCCCGCCATTGGTCCCGAGTGTGGCGCAAGGCCTTGTATGTGGCGTGGCAGCAAGTCGAGTAGCAGTCGTATGACCGACGTCTTGCAGTACTTGGATGACTCGCTGATGAGCTGCAGAGACGGGTAGTAGTACCAGAAGCTGCGGGCAAAGTTCACCCACTCGCGCTCGCTGGACGAGTCGTTGATGCCGAGCAGGTTGAGCTTGCTGCCCGACGTCACGGTCGATGTGTTTGATCCGGTCGGTGTGGATATGCGGCGTATGAGCGTGTTGCCGCGCGACATCCTCAACGACTGATTACTCGAGTTGATCTGTGTGCCTGCTGCCATCGACGCCTGATGTATCGGTGACGAATCACAAATACCCTGTAGCGTAGCATCGATAGACACTGATAAATTGTCCACCAGTCTAGATATCAATGTTGAGGTTATACCTAACGAGTTGACATCTAATCTTGCGTCCATATTCTATCTATCTTATCTTATCTTATCTTATATATTATTGTTATATGTTTGTCGCAATCCTGTCTGTAATGTATTGAGCGTTTGATTGAATGATTGATTGAATGAGTGATTGTCGACTGATGATAAAGTCAGTGATCAATTATACATTAACTAAATAAACTGGATAAGATACTAGTAATATGTATATATAACAACGAATGAATGATTGAATGAATGATCAAGATAATAGATAGAAGATTGAGTCGTGTTTGAATGAACACAACTAAGTTAGGAGGGTTAGTTTGATGGTGGTGTGTGAAAGGTCACCCTTTCAACAAAAATTGAGGCTTTTTTGATGATGGCGATGCTGTTGCTATTCTTATCCAAAAACACACCTTTTTTGACCATCGAGAAAAGTCCCAAGATTCATTATTAATATTTTTGATCATCACCAAACTCTAGAGTTATAAATATGTTTCCAAGATGTGACTGAAACTCAATTCCAGATTAATGCCCTTCATCATTAATTAATAGTGCAACATGATTGATTGGATTGGTTGTCGGTCGGTCGGGTAATTAATAATATTATTATGGGTTTGATTTGTTTGATTGATTAATCGGTGAGATGACTCTTCAGGTATTGTGCTGTCCTCAACTTGGATGTGTTGTCAATAATTGCATCCTTCCATTGTTGTTGAATTGTTGAGGTAGTTGTAGTTGTTGTTGTTGTAGTTGTTGTTGTTGTTGTTGTTGTTGTTGGTACATTGTTATGTGAGGACTCATCATTGGCGCCAATTCCAGATTTATCTGATTGATTGGTCAACATTGATGTTGGGTCCAACGATGGAGTGGAAGTGGAGGAAGTTGAATCATCATTTTGTTGGACTTGCTGGGCCTGTGCCTGGACCTGGACTTGTCCAGACATCAATATGTTGATCATGTCTTTGATTGACTCGAGTATCTCTTGGAAGGTTGGACGTCGTGTGGGGTCTTGGTTCCAGCACTGATTGATCAGACGACGATATGCTACATTGCACTCTGGGATGGGCGGTCGGTAGCCTCGTGATACGTGTATCTCCACATTGGCAAGGAAGGACTCCTCGGAGAAGTAGCCGATCGTAGACACCATCTCCCAGAGTATCACGCCAAAGCTGTACACGTCCACTGAGTGATTGTAGTAGGCGCTCTTCATAATGATCTCGGGTGCGAGGTAGATTGGGTTGTCGACGAGGCGACCCTCGAGACGCGAGCCAAAACTGTCACGCACTGTGCCCAAGTCACCAATCGTCGCCATCTGGTCCAGCTCGAGAAGTTGTGCCATCATGTCTGGTGCGGATAATGTGCGGTCGGGCATGGGGTGGCGCAGGAGTATGTTTGGCGGCTTCAAGTCATTGTGATGGAGTGGCGGGCGTTGTTGATGGAACTCCAGCATGCCCTGTGTGATGTCCAGCGCGATCTTGAGACATAGGGCAAAGGGCAGGGGACGATGTTGGTGCAGGAGCGACTCCAAGTCGCCACACGGTATGTACTCTGTGACCAAACAGAATGGATGGAGACACAAGCCCACAAGCTTAAGTGTGCGCTCTCTCTGCTTCATAAAGTCCATCACATATGACTCGCGTCTAAAGTCCCTAAAGCTCTGAATCAGGTCCATATTATCATCTGGCTTCAGGCTGGCAAACTCAACCTTTGAGTTTGAGTTTGATCCAATGTCTGATGATTCCTGGACTTGAGACGTCACCTGGTCTTGGTCCTCTGCGCTCTCCTTGGCAGGTTCTTGAACCTGTGCCGGGGCTGGGACTTGGGCCTGACCATTGGAAGGTTCCAGGCCTGCCACCTCAGTGCTACCTCCTTCAACAATCAACTTCTTGATTGCTACATCTTGATCGTTGTAGCGTCCTCGGTATACTATACCAAAGCCACCACGTCCAAGCTCGGCTTCAAAGTAGAGTGAGTGATGATCGATAATGTTGCCCTTGAAGTGTGTCATGGTAATGTCTGGTGACAACTTGCTGATTGCCAATCTGTACTCTTGACTAGGGTCGCTGCGACACACTGCTTCTTGCAGTCCACTCAAGTACGCCAGCTCTAGCAACTCGATTGGGAAGTGCGCGTTGGGTCCACCTCCGCCAGCTACACTGGCGCAATGGGGACATGGCACCAGTACGCGATATGGATTGAATGAGAACTGGTGGCCCAAAGTGGACTCGAGCAACTTCATTGCCTTGCCAAGCATGTCCTGTACGATGAAGAACCTGCTCTCGGGTCCAGTTACACTAAGGTGTAGTGTGTTGTCATTGGTCTGCTTGATCACGAGCAAGACGGCATTATCCAATGAATCGTCCGCTGTGTCCATCACCTGATTGAATGATCCGCGATAATAATCCTGGACGGAGATGAATGTGGCACTCTTGATCGACACGCCCTGGCTTTGATGGCGACGCAACTTGCACACCTGTGATAGATGCTGGACGATATGAGCAAACAAAGTTGATGGAAGTTGGAACTTGAATTGCAACATTCGCTGCAGGGCCAAGCCTTCACCTCCACATGTGGCCAAGACGAGACTGGCGCTCGGACTACCGCTTGCGGGACTTCGGTCGCCGGTCAGTACAACCACCGGCGCAGCGGATGTTTTCTCGTTGCTAGCTGGCCGCAGACCGCCTGGTTGGTGCAGCGCGTAAACAATTACACTCTGACAGTCATTGGTCATGGAGGTCTGTGGCAGTGGCAGGGCATTGGCTCCAGCAGACTTGGTATAGGACAGCACATCAAATCGATGTGCCAAGTGAATTAGCTGCTCGCGATGCGCGGGCCACACTACTGCCAGGTCGGACACCTTGACCACTGCGCTGGGCATCTTCTCGACGGCCAGCACCAATGCTGTGAAGCTCTGGATCAGCCATGGAGGACTGATCACAATCAACTCGCTCAGTCGCGGGTCATACGTGATGCTGCCCGTGTGCTGTAGGAATTGTAACAGTTTGCCAATCTTGGCGCGTCCACGCACATTGTAGCTGGTGGCCAATGTGACCATTTCCTCCATGGCAAGTGTGGGCTTGGCTGCGCGACGCTCCTCCAGGTAGCGTTCGACCAGCACAAATGGCGAGGGCACCATCTCGTTGACCATTGTGGCCTGTGGAAGTGATGCGATGATACGTTCCTTGAGTTGTTCTATGAATACATTATCGGTGAGTGTGAGGAACATGAACTCGATCGCACGGTTCAGGTATAACTTGTGCTTGTTAAGTGCACGCCAACTCGCCAGCCACTGGAGGTAGGTCTGTTCGGAAGCCGCCTGGCCCGCAGCCACAATGCCAACGGCAAAGATCTTGATCTTGGAGTGGCGATGTGTGATTGAGTCCAACCAATAGTCCAGAGTGGCGTTGTCCGTCGCAATCTCCCCGCTGAACGTGAACTGCACGACATAGACCGTCTTGTCTGTGAAGAAGTGTGGCTGCCACGCGCGGAAGTGTGTGTTGCCAGTGAGCTCCCAGATGCGCAGGTCGATGGGGATGCTGGCGGACTGGTCGTCCGGATTGGCGCGCACAAATGGCGGGGCGTGCACGTAGTATGGCACAGTGTCAATGTCGACACCACAGCTGTTGATGTCGGTCTGATGTTTGTACTGGCGGCGATTGTAGAAGAGGTTGTGGCATAGTCCGCCACCCTTGCCCACGCTCTTGGTATCGCCCACAAACATAATCTTGGCTCGCGCACATGGCTGTATGCTCTCGACCTGCTCCTTCATCTGTGAGAAGATTGAACTCATGTTGGTGGTGGACGCTGCGTCCGAGCTGTTGCCGCTACCGCCACCGCTGATGGTCGAGCCTGCGCCAAGTGCGCTGCTGGGCGTCTTTGCCAACAACTTGCTATTCTTCAAGTTGGGATTGCCCTCGATGTCAAGATGTTTGAGTGATGACATCACGCCTAGTGATTGTGGTAGCGACTCGAGCTGGTTGTGACGAATGACAAAGTTCTCCAATGATTCGAGTGAGCCTATTGTTGGAGGTATGCACGTGATCATGTTGTGGCCAAGTCTCAAGACGATCAACTTCTTCAATTGTGTCAACTCCTCTGGTATTGCTGTAATCTGATTGTTCTGGATTGACAATGATTGTAGGTTACCAAGCTTTCCAATCGACTTTGGAAWTCTCCTCGATCATGTTGCCATCCAACACCAGCTCCTCCAGTGCCTGGAGACTACATATCTGGTCCATCTATTGATCATATGGGATGAGGGTGTGAGTGCGATTGGAATGATTCCTTGTTTGATTGATTGATTGATGAGACGAACCTTGGTAATTTGATTGGATGATAAGTTGAGGTGCTGGAGCTGGCGCAGGTCGGCAATGGAACTGGGCATCTTGGAGATCTGGTTGTCCATGAGGTTGAGACTCTTGAGCTGACTCAACTCAGAGATGAGACTTGGTAGAGTCTTTAGTTTGTTGCCTGCAAAGTGTAACTCGGTGAGTGAGTAGAGGTTGACTAGCTCAACGCCAAACTCCAGTGCATTCCCATTCAAGTTCAAACATATCAGGTTGGTCAATTTGGTAATATGTGGCGATAGCTCACTGATCTGATTCTCCATCAAGTTGAGCTTGCGTAATGATGTGAACTGGCCTATCTCGCGAGGTATTGATGTCAGTTGATTGCGCGCCAGACTCAGATATTCCAGTCCCTTGATCTTATCATGCAACAACATCCAGAACTGAGGTGGAACGAATGATATCATGTTGTTCTCAATCGTTAACTCCTTCAAAGCTGTGGGTCATGGTTAGTAAGCTGATTGAATGGATTGGATGAAGGGAGATAGGATGTGCACTTACTTTCGAATCGGAGAATGGTCGTGGGTATTGCGTAGAGTATGTTGTCAGAGAGGAAGACTGAGTGGATGCATTTGAGGTATTGGTTGGCGTGAGGATGGAGGACTGAGGCTGGCAGGTTGAACAGGCCGGAAGCGTTTAGTACCAGGTTTACCGACTTAACGATGTTCTGGATTGCCTTGGCCTGATCGATCTGCACCTTCACCATCCTATTCACATTGAGTCTCGTTGGTGATGTGATCCATCTCGTATAGAACTCGCTCCAAAAGTATAAGTTGTTGCAGCTGAACCTAATGTGTTTGGTTGGGGCGAGGGTTAGGGTGAGGGCCAGGGTAAGGCGAGGGTCAGGACCACTTACTGCTTGATTGGTAGCGCTGATAATGAGTAAGCTTTGTAGTATGGATTGATATAACGATCTGGGGATGCAGAGATTGTGGCCCAGATGGAGGGCGTGGCCATGTGGATGTTGAGTTGGACAGCTTCTTTGGGTGAGCGCGCCAAGAAGTTGCCAAAGCGACTGGTGAAGGCATTGTGACAGACGAATTGGATGAGCGATTCGTTGTACTCAAAGTCAGTCGGGAACTGCATGACAAACTGCACCAGCACATCGCAGAACATGTTGAACGACAGAGCGCCAAGCTGAGACGCCACGCTGCTGCTGCTCTTGGGTTGTTGATGAGTGTGGCCAAAGGCTTGCGCGCCAAACTCGATCCAATCCTTGTTGATCAGTGCTTGGATACCGGCCAGCGTGCGGTAGTGCGGGTCCAGGATGACCTGTGCCAGCGCTGACATGAGTATCTCGTCGTGATCGTGGCCCTCGCCACTTTGTACAATTACAGGGGTTCCTCCAATCAGCGACTCGGCCACGCGAAATGCCGCGCGAATAGTGTTTGAAATGATGTCCATCCACTCTGTCGTGGCCAGGGCGCTCTGCCACTTGGCGCGATTTGCCTCGAGGGGAGTGGCGCTGGTGCATAGCTCCAGCAGACGGCAGTGAGCCTGACGCACCCTTTCGCCCTCGTCCAGGGCCAGACTACTAAAGCTGCATTGTGGGAAGATCGCCTCGTACTTCTTTGAAGGCGCAGCGACACCCGTGTCCAATACGAGGATGCGGTCCGCCGACGCAGCCTTGTGCAGCGCCTTGAGAAGACGGATGTCGAAGCTGTCCGTGTCGTCATCGGACAGCGGCGACAATGACGTTGTGTTGAAGGTGCATGATTGATGGGCGACCGCCAGGAACACGGTGCGACCACTCATTGGCACGAGGTTGGTCCACGTGACCGCGGGGAAGCGGCCATTCACACGAATGTTGCGCTTGTCCCTGATGTGTACGTCCTCCACCATGGCCGGCAACACAATCGACGCCGGATACGAGTTGCAAATGTCGAACCTTGAGTTGACCTGTGATATGCGCCATTGATTGCAGTTCAAGTTCATTCGCTGGTACTCTGAGGTCACGCGAACCAAGTGTGCGCTCGTACTTCCACTTCCAGCGTTGTCCATCGATGATGACGATGATGATAATGTTGTGTTGTTGGCTCCGCCACTGCCCGCCAGTCTGTTCCTGCCGATGCCAATGGTGTTGTTGCTGTCGGATGGGGCGACGGCAAGGGTGTTGGGGTCGGGTCGCTCGAGATTGGAGAATGCAAACTGGAACTTTGTGGGCTTGTGGAATGCCAGCTTGCCGACCAGGGTCACGAACGTCTCCTCGTCATGCTTGTTGAGGAATGCGATGTAGACCACCTTGAACAGACGCGAGAGCACGCGATGGTACTTGTTCACACTCTTCTTTATCGAGATGATTGACGCCAGCTCTATGCCCTCCAGCTCTGCCTGCTCCAACTGCGTGTCCCTCTCCAACGACCTGTATATTATCCTGTAGTTTGTGACCCATAGTTTGATGAGTCCTGCACTATCACTTGACGATGTGGATGATGTGGATAACGATGATGTCTGGCCACCTGAAGAGTTTGTGTCTGGCGCTGTCAGCTGATACTTCACATTGTCGCTCTCAAACTGGATGTTCTCGCCAGAGAGAAAACTTGGTGTAGGTATTGATGAAAGTCTCTGGTTGTCCAGGTTGTTATCCTTATTGTGTTTGGCCTCCTGCTTCTGAATGCTCTGATCCCTTGCCTGTGCCAAAAGTTTAATTTGATTGATTTGATTGATTGATTTGATTGGTTTGATTGAATGTGAGTGAGTTTGTGAATGTGTTTGATTGAATGAGTGAATAAATGAATGAACGTTAATGTTATATCTTATATGTATTTGTTATTTATATATTTGCAGGTTCACTGATGGTAATGAAGTGGTTTGTTTCCCTTGCAAGGTAATATGTATCTTGGCCCAAACCCAAGATTAAGCCAATCACACGCACATACACCTCTTTGCAACAAAACAACAACATCAACAAAAAATGAATCCAAAAAGATCTAGACTTGTGTGGGAGTGAAGCCGTCGGGACTTACCAAAGTTGTTGACAACGGTGTTGTGTGTGATGGGGGTTGTTGGCGACTGGTCCCATCATGGTACTGAGGAGTCCTGACTTCGTACCCAACACCCCAACAATCACGTGATGTCGTCTTGTCTAGATTCTTCTTTGGAAATCGTCAAAGAGTCATCTGAATCGTCTGACTCTTCTGAGCCATCTTCTGTGTCGTCTGAGTCGAGTCAACACAAAGAAAGTCATGGCTCATGAGGCCATCCATTCGTAGTTATGTTACAAAAGAGGAAGAGTCTCGCGCGCGCATATATATATTGTTATTGAAGTCGTCATTCAGTTGACATGACATGTAATGAATACAACATTTACATCGTGGTCGTCGTAGTTGTAGTCGTCGTCACTGCCATCAGCTCATTCTTGAAGTTCTCTCGTTCTTCTGGCGGCAGTACTAACTCTAACATCTCAATCATATCGCCAACCTTCTTTATCGTCTCTGTTATATTCAATATATTATCATTAACCTTGTCCATTACTTTGTTTGTTTGATTGATTGATTGATTGAGTGAGCGAGCGAGTGGCATGGTCCATGATCAATCACATGTCTTATACATACCATCTTTGATGTTTACATTGCTCTGCTTCACATCGTTGACAGTGGCAATGAATGATCTGGTGAACTTGGATGACTTGTTAAAATCAACGTCTCGTACGCGTTCCAGTAGCTGGTGTTGTTTGTCGTTTATATAGCCAGTGGAGTTCTTCAAGTAATGTTGTAGATTGATACCAATGCTCGCGACACCAACCTCATCCATATCCGGCACGAACAAAGGATTGTTATACCGTTTATACAATGGATAGAACTACATGTAGTTGTAATGATTGATTAGTCTTGTAGCCGCCATGTCGTCTCTCTCCAATCAAACATACCTGTGGCGTCAGCTCAAGCCTTTCAATCTCAGGCTCCTTGGGCTCGATATCTTCTTCGTCTTGCTCTTCATCTTTTGTTTGATCGTCGGCTGCTGATGCAGAGTCGGACCGCGTGGCGTCTGTGTCGCCGCTAGGTGATGGGCCGCCGCCAGGCCGACTGTACTTGAGCATGACGTCCAGCTCCTCCTTTGTCGGCTTCTTCTCGTAGGAGTAACTTGTATATGGGTTGCTATCGTAGAGCAGTGCACTTGCCACTGCAGGATTGCTTATAAGTGCGCTAATATTGGCTGGATCTAGCATTTGAAGTTGTTGTAGTTGACTCTGCTGACTCTGACCCTGAGCTTGATATTGATATTGATGTTGATTGAAGTAACCATTTACAGTTGATGCATTGCCAGTATCACCTGATGCCATATTCATTGTCATCATATCATTCCTAACATTGCCATTGCCATTGCCATTGCCATTGTTATTGTTATTATTACTATTGTTGGTTGTTGTTGTCGCATTGTTTGGTTTACTCTCAGTCTGTCCCATTAGATTGATTGATTAATTGATTGATTGATCGAGTGAGTGTACTAATGTTTTTATTTGTATATAATGTATGTATTTGTTTGATATATATCAATCAGACGTTTGTTTGTCTCAATGTTGCCAGTCAGCCATCCATTAAACAAAGTGTCTCAATCCCAACTTCTGCAAAGTTTACTCACACAATAACACAAATCGAAATTGCCTCAGATCTTTCAATTTGAGTCGAAAAGAGTGACAACACAAACAAAGACAATGCCATGGCACAAGAAAAGAACAATGATGAAACACAAACAGATAATCAATTACTTGTTTTATACTTTTAATTCAAACAACATACATATAAATAGATAATACAAATGTAAATAAATGTTATGTTTTTAATTATAAAGTATTATATGTGCTTGTGCCAGAGGTTTGAAACAAAGGTACAACAAGTTAATAAGTTTTTGTGGTTGGACCTCCATCCTGCCAGAGGCGATAATGACGAACATTGTTGTCCTACCTTCTTTGTCGAACACCTCCCCCTTCATCCCCATTCACCATCCATCGAATTAAAGACTTACCTGCCTTCCAAAAATTAATTTAACTAAAATGTTCAGTTTCGACGGCGAACCAACCACAACAACAACACAACAACGCAATCTAACATCTCTCCATCCAACTCAACTATCCACCATCACACACACACACACTTATATATTATTTGATACAAATACACTTACTTATACACATACACATTCAAACACATACAAATACACACTCACACTCACTCAATCAATCACAATACTTAACACATACATTGTATTGTTTCACTTCATTCATTCATTAATTCAATCAATCAATCAATCAATCATTCTAAGCTTGTGATTGAAACTGAACATTGTACATCATCATATTGTGTCATACTTTAGAGAGTTAGACATTATACATATATATATATATTAAAAACACACAGAGATAAAACACAGACAATAAAATACAATACAATACAAGACAAGACATTAATAAATAGATATATATAGATAAAGATAAAGATATGAAGGATAAGAGGAATAAGGAAAAATCAAATTATTATAGCCCTTGGAACAACTTGGAGGTTGGTGGACTGGGCGGCGTCGGCGGTAGTCTGAGCTTTGGCGGCAATGGCATACCGATGAACATGGCAACTGCCCAGCAGCAGCAGTCACAGACAACGACGACGACCACATCGCAGTCGCTGACGTCACTGTCGTCGACATTCCCCATCGTCATCACGTCGACCCTGTCACCACCCGTGCCAGCCAACTCGCTGCAGTCGCCGTCGGGCGCCCCCGCGCCCCTGACGAGCGCGCACCAGAGCTACAACGGCACGATCAAGAAGAAGAATATGGCAACGTCACCGTCGTCGCCCACATTCAGCTCGCTGTCAAACAAGATCATCACACTGTTTGCGCCGTCGTCAGGTGCGCACGGCACTCCCAACAGCAACCCCTCGTCACCGCGCAGCATTGGCAAGTCGCTCAAGAACTTGGTTCACCATCACAGCAGTCAGTCGCAGCAGAATATGCAGCAGGGTTCAATGCAGTATCTCCCGCCCCTGTCCGAGGGCGATCTCGACATTCTCAACCAGATGAAGCAGCTGCATCTCTCGCTACTCGAGCCCGAGGTGCACTTTGACTTCTTTGGCCTGCCGACCGAGATCCGCATGCACGTGCTTACATTCACCGACGCCACCGATCTGGCCCGCTCATCCTCCGTGTCACGCGTGTGGCGGGAGATGGTCAACGACGAACGACTCTGGTTCACCTACAGCAAGCGTGTCTTTGGTGATAGTGTCAAGACTGATCCAGTAAGTTAGCCTCGCTTAAGCGATACATCATGTTGATATATGATGATCTAACGCGCCCCAACTCAATCATTAGACATGGAGGACGGTGGTTACAAACAATCTTATCAAGCTGCGCGAGTTTGAGAAGGACTCAGACCTGGAACCAAAGTTGTTGTGGGCATGCGAGAATGGTCATGACCAATTGTTGCAGCGTGCATTCGATCACAAGAGGATAACCTGTGCAAGTGGACCATCATGTCAGTGTCCATCATGTGCCAGACCATCCTACCTCAGCCTCAATGAGCCCAGTCAATCAGTAGTCTCTGCAAACTTGAACAGTAGCAGTATCTACAACAATCATCTCAACAACAACAATAACCACAACAACAATAACAACAACAATAATAATAATAATAACAACAACAACAATAATAATCGTTCGAATCATCAAGATAATGACAATAGAGAGATTGATGTCGACTTGGAGATGGAGGACATTGATGTAGCCGCACCCACTTCACCATCAGGTGGAAACAGCCCAAAGATCAACGATACAACAGGCATCACACCAAAGAAGCGCAACAAGTTCCTGCTCAAGGCATCGTACAAGGGACACCGTGCAGTGGTCGAGTGCCTGCTCAAGAATGGTGCAGAGGTCGATGCAATCACGAGGAGTGGCTTCACCGCGCTGCACATGGCCTGTGGCAAGGGTCACGCAGACGTTGCCGAGTGTCTGCTGCAGTACAACGCCAAGATCGAGTTCAAGAACCGCAACGGATCCACACCACTTCACACGTCTGCTCAAAAGGGACACGTGGCTGTCGTTGAGCTGCTCATACAGCATGGCGCATCCATCGAGGCCACCAACAGCAATGGAGTCACGCCACTCAACTCTGCCGCACACAATGGTCACACCGTCGTAGTCGAGTGTCTATTGTTGCTTGGTGCCAACATGGAAGCGACCAACAAGAATGGTATCACTCCCTTGTATTCAGCTGCACATAGAGGACATGTATGTATACATCCATCAAGATTGGATTGAATGAACAAGACTAACATAATACCACAACATAGTTCAAAGTTGTAGAATGCCTGTTAAAGTATCATGCTAATATAGAGGGAACAACAAAGAATCATGGAGCGACACCGTTGTATATATCGGCACAGGAGGGATACACAGACATTGTCAGTTTGTTGTTGGAGCACAATGCCAACGTCGAAGCAAAGATTCGTTCGGGCATGAGAAGTGGAGCCACGCCACTGTACACGGCCAGCCACCGAGGCCACATGCGAATTGTTGAGATGTTGCTCCAACGAAACGCCAACACACAGGTCACCGATCGCAATGGCTATACACCACTGCACAAGGCAGCTGCTGAAGGATTCTCTGAGGTGATTGATTGTCTGATCAAGTATGGAGCAGACCTTCGCGCCAAGTCCCGAGACAACACAACACCAATGGATGTGGCACACAAGAATGTCAAGAAGCAGCTCAAGATGTACTTGGCCAATCTTGAACCCAACCATCATCACCATCATCACAGTGGACCCGATTGTTCGTTGATGTAATGTAATAATGTATTGTTATTAGTTATTTAGTTAGTCAGCCAGTCAGTTAGCTATTAAACACCGATATATATATAATATCTTGGAACTCAATGAAGTGTCGTCATCATCATCAAATCCATCTAGTCTTTCAATTCAACCAAATCATCAATCAATTATTGACCTTTGTCAGATCCATGAAAATGATAAATTGAAGGTCGACCGAATTGGACATCTCTGGATGGGTCCAACATATTCCAAGGAGGAAGGACTCACCAATGTCATACGATCAACATAGCCTACAATGATCATTGAGTGTGTTGGGTCACTGTGTGTGAGAATGAGAGAGTGGAGGGAGTGTGTTGTGGGGAGAGAGGAAGTGTTGTGATTGGTTTGAATGAATGGTGAGGGGTAACAATGTGAAACAGAGAGATAGGTAGCACACATACATAACCCTAAGCTTGTGAATAAGTATTACTAATAATAAGAATATTATTTGTTATAACTATTTCAATCATTCATTGATTAAAATATTATCTTTATCTTTATTATATCTATCGACCAAGGATTCAACTAACAAGACAAAGAGTAGTAGCAGTAGTAGTACCAAGTCGAGTCAACTTATATAATAATAATAATGTTGTCTAGGGAAATAGTTCGATCGACTAGGAACCTGATCATTCAACATTTGGTGTTTGCTTCATCAAGTGTAACTACGACGACAAAGTCAACGACAAAGAGTTTGGGTCGTCGTCACAAGTCCACAAGTGTAGCATCTGGAAGTGTGACTGCTCCAACAACTCCGCCAGCATCATCACAAGATAACACAGACAGCCTAAACAGCCACAAACGTGCAATTCAAAGTCTGTTTGCAAACAATGAACCAAGCGTCATCAAGGGCAAGTCAACTTCATTTGAGGTAGGTTACCGGCAGCAGGTGAGTCGAGGCAATGTTACTCAATAGTTAAATCAATCAATCAGTGGGAGATTATGGGACATGAGTCACAGGTCATCCAACTACAACTGGATCCAGATTCTTCTATAACTGCAGAGACTGGTGCATTACTAGAGATGAGTTCAACGATGGAGATGGAGACCTCTGCAAGAGGAGGATTCATGTCCAGTATCAAGAGAATGTTCACAGGACAGGGTATATTCCTAACAAAGTTCAAGAACTCATCGCTCACTGTAAGGTCATTCGTTCACTGACTGAGTCAAGGATGTGTATTACTAACGAGGGATACGATCAAACTATAGGAGACTGGTAGGATAACATTCAGTTCACCTTATATCTCCAAGATATTGGCCATTAAGATGGCGGATATAGGAGGAGAGTTGATATGCAAGAAGAATGCCTTCCTCTGTGGCGAGAACGACATTGAGATAGGTCCACGTATAACCAATCGATTCTCTATTGGATTCTTTGGAGGGCAAGGTTTCATACTTGTATGTCCATCATCTATCCTTCGATCAATCTATCAATCATACTCAATCGCTCACATCTACAACTACTATTCATTCAAATAATATAGCAAAAGCTTACTGGTAATGGCATGGTCTTCATCCATGGAAGTGGATCAATCATTTATAGGATGCTCAAGCCTCAAGAGACTATCAAGGTGAGCACTGGCTGCATCGTGGCATTTGAATCCAGCATCACGTATGATATTGCTTGGGTCAGTGGCGCCACCAACATATTGTTTAGCGGTGAAGGCTTGTTCCTGGCGACTCTGTCCGGTCCAGGTCTTGTAATACTACAGAGTCTACCATTCGAGAAACTTGTATCGGCCATTGCAAGCCAAATGCCAATCTCTGGTTCATCATCATCCATGTCATCATCATCTCCATCGTCATCTGATCAGTCATCTTCATCGTCATCATCATCATCTCGCTGACCTGACTTAACTATACCTGTCTAACCTAACCTGACCTACAATATTAAACTACAACGCAATGTAATGCAACAAACTCTGAATATCTATCTATAAAGTATATTGTGAATGCCATTAGAGTGCGGCGGGCGCGTGCGCCAGAGTGTGTTTCCAATCTGTTTGAGTGTCGCCGCAGGCAGGTCTTGCTGACAACATCATCTACCATGCAATCATTGGGTCTTGATAAGATGTAACAGGCGTACCATGGACGCGCAGTCTATAAACACAARGTGTAACTGAAACCATAGTTTGACAGCACCTTCAGTACAACAATGGACGATCCAATATTAGTCTGTTTGATTGATATGTGATTGATTAGTGAATATAACTACTTCCAATGGTCATTGAACTGACTACTACTCTACTTACATCTATTTTGAATGTCTGTACGTGCCTATTCTTGGTGGAGTCGTAGGTAAACCTGCCAAGTTCGACACCTTCGTCGGTGGCATTCTGGAGACCGATGATGGCAAACTCTTTGAGTGCTGACTCAAAGTGGAAGGAGGAACTTGGACGTGGATGCTCGATGGACACGGCGCTGACAATGATTGGTGTCGAGAGCTGGACACCAACACTTCCATTGCCACCCTTGAACGCCCAGCAGTCGCCCAGCTCCTTGCGTGTTGGGTCGAGGATGATCTCGGGCACGTTGGGGTTGGACGATGCGCGGAACCACTGTGTGGCCACTCTCATCAATGTCGGAAGGGATGCATCGGGATGCGTTGGAGTGTTTGGATGGTGTTGCAGTCTGTAGTGGATCCTGCCACCGCTGATGCTCATGGCAAAGTCGGTCAAAGCGGTTTTGTCCGCAGCATAGATCTCGAGGGCATCCTGGATCATATTCCTGAAATCTCCAGCGTTCTCCAATTGGTTGTGAATATTCTGCATGTCTGGATTGTTGCTGATCCACTGTTGGATCAATGTCATTTGTGTTGTCGCCTCGCTCAGCAGTCGTTCTAAAGTAAGTGTGAGTGGCGACACGCGTCAGTAGTGGTCGTCATCCAGTGATCGATCGATAAATCGAACGTGATACATACCCAGACTCTCCATCTCCTTGCTACGGGTGTCCTCCAGCTGCCTCACCCACTCCTTGACCTGAGTTGAGCCTGTGGCACTCAACTCATCCATGAGTTGCTTGATCTTGATGGATGATTGTTCGGTCATCAGACTGATGTGCTGGTCTCTTGCGGCCAGAAGTTCATCCAGCAATGATTGTGCCTTTTCGCTCAGTTGTTCATTCTGCATACGTGCGACATCATTGATCTGTCCAACTCCACGATTGGTCTGTCCCTCCAACTCCACAACGCCAAGTTTTGTAGCCTCAGTGAGACGTGATGAGCTGGCCTTGGCCTGAGTCTCGAGCCCATCCAAGAACAGCTGGTAGCGTTTCTCGCCTTCCTTCATATATTCGTCCAACACTTGGTTGAGCTTGTCCTTGTCGAGGCCGGTCTGTGACTTGAGTCTGAGCTCCTCGATTGCGTTGTGCAGTGGCACCAGGTTGTCCTGCTTGAACGTGTCCAGGCCCTGGCTGATCGAGCTCCTGACCTGTTCGAGGCCGACAAAGCTGAGCAGTCTGCTGTTGAGTTGCGAGTTGGACACAATGTCCTTTGTCCTGAGCTCGTCTCTTATCCACTGGAGTACGAGCTCCTTGTCCATTACCACATTACCGGGTTGGACTGGATGGACATGTGTTGGTGGCAGTATCGTTGTTGGCAAACCAGTTGCAAAGAAGATATATAAATAGATACAGAGCAATGACAGTATAGACACCAACGCCACCCAAAAGGTCTTTCTACATTGTGTAGATGCTCTTCTACTCTTCACATCGTCATCATCATCCTATGATTGATTGATTGGGTGAGTTAGTGAGTTAGTGAGTGTCCGCGAGACATGGACATGGACATGGACTTACCTCAACAGGACCTCTGAATATACCCATGACTGCTGCATCCAACCATGTGATGGGCAGTAGTATAAGACCGAGCAATGATACGATGGGGCCAATGGTGTATCGATATATTCTCTCCTTTGTTGATGGGCGAGGTCGATGTATGACTGATGAAGACGACGATGATGATGACGGCCATGGCTTGATAGCACTTGTATTGCCAACTACTTGATTGTAATCATTTGATGGGGCGTTGAAACCCTTTCCACTTGTGCTACTTGAGCCTCCACTCGGTCTATTGATGTTGTTGTTGTAGTTGATGTGTGTGTTATCGTTCATGTTTGAATCACCTCTTCCAAATCTACTGTTGCCGCTATTGTTGCTGCTGCTGCTTCCGCTGTAGTTGTAGTTGTTGCTCATTGAAGGTTGTTGTTGTTCAAAGAGGTTTGAACCGTTCAATGCTGTTGAGCTGAGCGGGTCGTAGGCTGGGGCATTGCCGGCATCCGTGTCCATTCCATATTTAGTGACACGAGAACTCCTTGGGAAGTGATTGGCACGCTTCCTATGCGGAGATGAATGTTGTACAAAGCTTGGTGTATATGTATATCCGTTGTTCATTATATATATATATCTCTCTCTCTTTTACAACAAAGTTATAACAAGTCTGTCAATGAATGAATGATGTTCACAAAGTGATCAAAGTGTTGTTATTGGGTTAATTTGCAAGTGAAAGTGCGCGCAAAACTTGAAGAACCAATCGTTAACGATTGACAAGACCCAATTACGAAGAATCAATGATCAGTCAAAATACTCTATTTATTAACATATATACATTGGTATCATGATACCATCATTCAGTCGACGCCAGATGGATGAATGATCGAGTCGCACTATTGAGACTCGGCCAGTGATTAAACAATGTCAGATTTGAATGGCCCGCAGACGTACCATCGATCAATCAATCAATCATTGCCTTGGCTTCTTCCTGTGTCTTCTTTTGTCATCACCACTATCATTATCACTGCTACTGCTGCCACTGGAGTCACTTTCATCATCATCACTATTCCTTCGCTTTGATGAACGATCTTTTTTCTTCTTTGCCTTCTCCTCTTTCTTGATTTGTTTGAGCAGTAGCTTCCTTTGTCGCTTTGTCAGTCCGGCCAAGAACTCTCTAAGTATGCTATCATCATCATCGTCCACCTCTTGATCTTTTGAATGGCCACTGCCTCCATCATTGTATCCATCATTCTGTGGCATGTTGAATGCAGACAGGGGGTCTTCGCGCTCTTGTCTGCGTAGATCGTTGGGGTTGATGTCCCTCATGAGACAGTCCCTGTCGCCACTCTTGTGTCCCCATTGATTACATCTGATACATCGAACGTCTCGCAGTTCGATACCAAATGGCTTGTGTGTCATCTTGACGTCGCTAGAGTATCCTCCCTGCACAGGTGCATTTGCCAGAAATGGGAACTTCTCCACGTCGGTCATCTGTCTATGGTTCTTGCCTTGTCCTTGTCCTTGTCCTTGCTTTGTCGAATCATCGTGTTCACGCTGATCCTCAAGATCTTGCTTGGGCATGGGCATCTCTAACTTTGACAAGCCAGGTGGAGCGGCGTATAAGAAGCCAACCTTACTGCGTTGCGCTTCGATGTATGAACTTGCCAAAGCAGCTTTGTTTGTAAAGTATTCATGCTCCTCTTTAACCTCCTTTGCTCTTTCCTCTTCCCTCTTCTTATCAGTGACAGCTCTCTGTTCAGCAATATATAACCTCTTCTGGTTTGCCTTATTACTTGGATGAAATGACTTGAGGTTCAAGAACTTCATTCTATTATATATCTATATTATATGTATGTATGTATCTATCTACATTGATATGTTCATTCATTCACTATTATTCATTCACTCATTGATTCAATCTTTCGTCAATCAATTGAGTTAATTTCTTCAAGATAGAGCGAGTGTGTGAGCTCATGTCGTCACCAAACACTGACCATGCGGTAATAAACAGAAGTTCAAGATGTCCAATATGTCGATGATCAATCTCATTGCATGTCAGAGTAAGTTGAGATGTCCAAGTAAGTCTATGACGTCACTAAATGAGCGTTGTTGCGTGGCTATTACCAATCATTATTTATAATATCGCTCAGGTTACATAATCATCATGTGTTTTGGATTCTGATCGAAGAATCTGAAGTTAATATCTTATGTCAATAAAGACCATCGACATGATGGTAATGTCATTGACATATCCAACCAGTCATATGACTCCAAAGAATGAATGATGAATGAATCGATGAATGATTGAAAGTTGACCCTTCCATGACCAAACACACACTTATGATGTGCAAAGAATGGTTTTGACTCACCACCGAGTATGTGTATGAATGTGTTTGAGTGTTTGGGAGATGATGAAGGTGTGTTGTTCAATTGAACTTGCATTGTTGTTGAACCCCAACCCTACTCACTGTTCCTTCCTTCCAACAAACATTTAAATTACTTTATAATTAAGTAGTAGTAATACTTATCACTATCTATATTGTTTTATATAACTCATAGTTAATGAGTGAGTGAGTGAGTGAGTGGCAGTCATTACATACATACATACATACAATTCAATCAATCCAACTCAATCAAACAATCAATCAATCATTTCCTTCACTGTCTCACACAACATATTAAAGTTGTGAGCAGTAGTATTAAGATATGGCAACAACAAAGATTGGAATAAAGGATGGAAGGATGCCTGTAGAGACAGTTGTCAATTCCCCGATATTCAGTTCGGTGCCACCACAGCAACACCCTGCAATGTTGGCAGCAGCCAATGCAGCGGCAGCAAGTCTAAGTGAGTTGAAGCTCAATTCTGTTTATGTCCAGCGCAGAGTGACCAGTGGTGGAAAGATGTCCATTAGGTCTTCGATCTCTGTGTGGAGAGCGGCCAACAACATCGAGCTGAAGCAGGACGATGCTGTCGACGCCAAGTTCCTCCTGCACATCGAGCACTTTTGTCCGCCTGCCTACTCCTCCGCCATCCATCCGGAAGCCATGGCGCTCAAGGCCCAGATCATGGAGGCCTTTGACTACGCCCTGGTGTTCCCCGATCACGCACACATCCTCACGGCATTCAACCTGCTGAAATCATTCGTCATGCTCAAGTATCCTCTGCACCGTGACGATCGTGAGTGTCTCATTGCCAAGCTATTCACGTTGCTCTACGATCATTGTAAATATACTTCCCTCGTGTCAACAACATGCGCTTCATTGGCCAACCTTATTACGTATGTCATCAACCATCCGTCCACTGCCATCAGGGCGCCCTGTCTACTACATCATACTAACATCATCTTCAAACCTCAGAGCTGGACGACAACAGATTGATATAGTAATCGATTGGCGTCCACTATCCGACCTCTTCAAGACCACCTTCCGCTTTGCATCCGAAGGTACCTCCTACGTCGACATTGACGACTCTGACAAGACGTAAGTCCAACGCCTCCAATTCACTCTCTCGCTCAATCACTCATTCATTCAATCATTCAATCATTCAAACATTCAATCATATTTAGTAAGTTGCAAACCAACTTGATCAGCCTTGTGATTGCCTGTCGTCCATTCTTTGCAATTGACTCATTCGACCAGATTATGAGTGAAGCCAAGGACTGGATGTGTCCACACTCAACATCGATGTTCATGGGCATCTACACACTGTCTTACTTCTTGCCTGCGCACCACCTGGTCGAGCTGAAGGAGGTGCCGCACTGGGTGTTGGAATTCTTCACATACTGGGAGCAGATCGAGCATAACGTCGGCTGGGACGAGCGCTGGGTCAATCTGTTCTGGCGCATCATCAAGCACGCGACCAACATCGACTGGGCACCGTATGCCCCGCGTCTCTACACTCACTTCCTCAAGATCATCGATCTCTCCATTGGCAACCCCAAGTTCTCGCATCTCAAGCCCATCAAGCATCACATCCCCTCCACCTTTGTCATCAAGCGTGTCGAATCGTTGGAGTACACAGCCATTGGCGGTCTGGCTGTGACTCTTCTAAAGTACAACACAATCGAGTTGCTTCAGAAGCTATTATCATCAATCTCTACGTATGTCTCTCTCTCACTCATACGCCTGTTTACCATTCACGCGACTGACACATGTGTTCATTATACAGATACTTCCATCCAAGCAATCAAGGTGATTGGACAGCATCCTTGCTTGAGGCCATCGGCTCGTTATCCCACTACTTTGCAAAGTACCATCACAAGAGTATGTAGATGTCTTTGGACTGCTGGCTGGCATCAATCAAACTAACATTCCCCACCTCATCAGCTCCATATCCTTCCGAGCTCGTGGAACAAGTTGTGGACACTGTGCTACCTCATATTACCTCCACCCTCTACTCAAAGAAGAAGAACATAACATTGAGTGCCTGCAAGATCATCAAGGAGTTGGCATGTATGTTATCTTAATCACTCAACAGCAATCATATGTTGTGCACTAACTAACTCAACTCATTCCTTTCCATCCACTGTAGACCTTGCACCACAAAAGGTATTCCCCAAGTTGTTGGAGCGTGTATACGCGTCAGTTGGTGGCGAGGAGGTACATCGTATTGTGAGTGAGTTGGAGGTGGTATCCACTTGCTTCCACCCTTTAATATCACAGCCAGAGGCGTATCCCGAGGGTATATCACATGTTTACAATTTGTTGGAGTTGGCCAGCTCATCGATCGACTCGAGCTATCCCAATAAGGCCTCGGCAGCGTTCAAGTTCCTCAATCGTATCTTCCAATGTGTGTTGCTCAACGACGAGACCGTGCACAACGAACAAGAGGACTATGCCAGCGAGCACGAGAAGCAAGCAGCCCTGTCCACCTCATCATTCCTCGACTGGTCACTCCTGTTGCTTGACTCTGTACTATCATTTATCAAGGACTCGGCGACCAAGAAGGATATCGCGGGACGCAAGAGACAGATGCCCACTGGCCTGTTCCTGTGGGAGACGATGGAGCTGTTCTTCAGCCAGATGTCCGACGACATCTATTCGGCCGTGCTGGAGAAGCTGGCTAAGTTCTTCTCCAAGAGCTACTACCCAGACTACTACAAGCAGTACAGTATCATTTTGATGGCGGCCACACTGAGGAACCCTTCAAAGGCATTGGCGAGATTCCTGCCAATATTCCTCAACAAGGTGCTCAAGAAGCAAGAGGGCAAGTACCAGCTGCGCGACTGCTCCGACGAGGAGTACCGTTGGTACCTGTCTCTCGTTGGCTACTCGGTCTTCAAGACGGGCAACTCACTGCCCGAGCACAAAGACACCATCATCAGCGTGTGCAAGGTGTTGATGGAGTCTGGCAACAAGGTGTTGGTGAAGCAGGCTGCCAAGATAGTGCGCAAGTCCATCTTCTCACTCACCCGTTACTATCCATCCAACAACCGATCCATCCCCAAGACCCTTCTTGCTGAGCAGGACTGTCACATCAAGTACTGGGGACAGACCAACGAAGGATGTTACCCAATCGAATGGTTCCAACCTAACGAGAACACCATCCAGTTTGCCAAGGAGTTGATCGAGTTGTTTGCGATCCAGAGAGTCGCCGAGCTTGACAAGTACATCGATGAGATCAAGACCAATCCATCATCATACGATCGTATGAAGGTATACAACTACACTAAGGGATTGTCGAGTGTGTTGCGAACAGCCATGTTTGTGGTCGAGGACACTGATCTGGCAGAGCCTGTGCATGTTCCAGAGTCCAAGTACAACCCGCCTCCAATCCCCATCACCCACGGCAGAGTGACAATCAAGGAGTTGGGCGACCTGACCAGCAAGATATACCATGCCATCGACAAGCTGCACACATACATGGAGAAGGAGAAGGACGACGAGGTGTTGATCCTGAAACAGATCGTCAAGGTCTACTACGTGCTTCAGTACGGCATCAATGATGTGCACGACAAGAACTCGGACGTGTTGCACGAGAAGTGGTTCACACTCAAGAAGCTCAAGACCAGGAACATGTTGGTGTTCAAGTCGTTCAAGGAGCATCTCACGCGACAGAAGCTGTTCCACCATAGACTGCCCGTGACCAAGTGTCTCAAGAGCACACTGAGTGCCCTGAACAGATTGGCCGTGCACAACTACGTGCAGGTGAGGACCATTGCCCAGGAGGCGATCCAGCGTGTGCTGCTACATCATCCATCCGTCTATCACATCTATATCCCGACAATCCTCGACCTGTATGAAAGCCTTAAATCAGAGGAGGTCATCAAGGGTACCATCCATCTCTTCTTCAAGAAGCAGATGATGAAGAGGCTCAGGACCAACTTTGCCTATGTCCAACGTATCTTCTCGACCTACGTGGGCATCCCCCAAGATGCCAAGCTCAGGGTATGTTCACAACCAATCTTTCAATCAATCAACCAATCCTGAACTAACAATCAACCAATCATGTATAGCCATCGACAAGGGAGCAGTTCAGCAACTTTATCCAACACTTTGTATTGAACAACTCTGACCCAACAATCGTGCGACAGTACTCCAACGTGATGATCAATGTCTCATTGAACACGACTGACATCCCCAATGATGTGATCATCAAGGAGAAGGCATACGTGGACAAGAAGAATGAGGAGAGCATCCACTCGGTCATCACAATGATTGGCGTGCTCAATGATGCACTGTTGCTTCACCAGAAGAAGGACCATCTCAATTGGAAGGACCATCTCATCTTCCAGAACTTTGCCACCTACTTGGTGGGCGTGTCGCTGCGCCAGCTGAGGGACAGCTACGAGGGCAACTGTCTGAACATTGCCAAGTTCACCAAGAGCTTCCATGCGTTCAAGAACACGCTGGACTGTACATTCTACAACCTGGCCTGTGACTATCCAATCTCGCGACTGCACTCTGTCAACCTGCTGTCCAGTCTGTTCCCCGCCCAGGACATGACCTACTTTGAGAAGTGCAGCGAGAACTACTGGATCAATCATACCAAGGCACAGAAGCCCGTCAAGACCGCGCAGGTCAATGAGATTGCCAAGAAGCTGGCCGTGACATCCGTGCAGGAGAACCTGAAGGAGCTCGTCAACAATGAGTTCCTCGACAAGATGATCCACTACCTCTCTCTGGATCAAGATGCCGAGAGTCAGTCTTACAAGCTAGCCGCCAAGGTATCACAGAAGCTGATGACAGCCATGTGGCCACACTCAAGACATTGGTTGCCCTCATTCGGATTCGTAATCCAGTTTGCAACGTTGTTCTATGGTCTGACGATCATTCGCGAGGAGACATTCTTTGAGCTCATCAAGCCATACATTGAGAAGCTCAGAACAAGGACGGACAAGGAGGATCAGAATGTGTTGGCCGAGATCATTGGCGGCCTGGGCCGCTACTATGCCACCACGCCCGACACCCCACGCACACCAGAGGTCATCAGCTACCTGTCCGACCTGCTCTACAACTCTTTGAGCACCTGCTCTAATGAGTTGACCGACTCTTGGATGACATGCATTCGTTACATGTCCTACAACACAAAGGTGCACCGACTGAAGTTCCTCGAGGATACGCTGTTCAGACTGACCGAGGGCAACTCGCCGGAGAACATCTCGTCGCAGTCCAAATCGCTCAAGTTCCTCAAGGCACTGATGTTTGAGTACACGTTCAAGTCCAAGCCATACCTGGATCGTGTGCTTGTCATTGCCCAGAAGGAGTTCTCCAACCCGTACAAGCAGGTCAGAGACGAGGCCTTCAGACTGTTCACCCATGTGCTGGTATATCAGACACAGTTCCAGGACAAGGACGGTAATCTGGTCGTACTCCAGCCGCCAACTTTGCCAGCCGATTCGATTGCAGCCATTGACGTCCTCATCAAGGATGCCACGGACGCCTCCAAGGTTGTCGATGGCAAGAACATCACGAGGGAGACACTGATCGCCATGGTCGAGTACACATTCTCCAGAGGTTTCTCCAACACACTGTTGCGTCTTGTGCCCAAGTTGCTGCCCGTGATCATCTCATTCACAGCCGACACCAACCAGGACACATCATCCCTGGCAACAATCTGTGTGACCTCAATGGCTCAGGGCTTCTACTCTGACTCGAAGCTACTTGATGAGATCATCAACAGCGTCAAGAGCATCACGTCCACATCATGGAGAGTGCGCCGTGCCACATTGCCCTTCCTCCAGATCCTGTTCTTCAATCACTCGATCCTCTTCACTCCCCAACAGATCGACTCTGTATACAACATTGTTCTGGGCTATGTCAATGACCCTCAGATTGAAGTCCGCGAGTATGCCAAGAACACCCTTACCTCATTGCTCAAGTCCAGCAAACATGATACTGCTCGAATCAAAGCACTCATTGTAAGTTTAATCCGGTGGATAGCGCGATCTGATCAATTATATTAACAATATCTCGCCTCTTAGTCCAACGCAACCACTCAGTTATCACAATCAAAGACTACATCGGCCAATGCATCACAGAAGCATCAGTACATATTGACACTGAGTTCAATCGTCCTGTCCAGTCCCTACCAAATACCAACATATTTCCCAGAGGTACTGGATCATTTATCCAGATATTCTTCTTCCATTTTCCCATTGAGTGTAAGTACAACATCAAATCAATCAACCATCCATTACTAACTAACTGGTCGTTATTATAATTATAGAACACTGTACAGAATACACTGTCTGAATTCTGGCTGACACATAAGGATACTTGGGAGGAGGAGAAGCTAAACTTCACCGAGGATGAGATTGAAAAGATGCATGACACTGTAGCATATCCAAGTTACTACGCATAACCAAACCATCATCATAATCATCCATATATTCATTTGTAAACATCAATTAATCAATCAAATATTAAATAATTATTATTACCATTTAAATTACACACTCAGATGGTGGGGATTGTGTTGAAGATGTTGAAGGAGAGGATAAAGTTCATTTGAATAATTATTTGTTTGTAATATATATATTGACATTAGAGAAAATAAATATGAAACTAAATGATATTATAATAACATTAATAATTAAGTTATTATTTACCAATGTGTCTTATAAGAGGTGGACCAGGAGATCATTATCTTTGGTCAATAGGTCATTTCATCGAATCCTTCAATCAATTCATACCCATCTTGTATTCAAGTTGGAAACTAAGTCGATGTTCTACAATGACAAAGATAATGTACAAGCCTAGAGACCGACATGTCAATGATGAACTCTTTGGTCGATCTCAAAAATCATATAACGAACAGATACTGTTTGTACAATGCCCAACACAACACTTCGATACACTTCAGATCATGGAATGTCTCTCCTGAAATGATCATTATTCGTCGACTACAATGTATCTACGAAGCGGTACCCACTCCTACAAAGATTGAGCAAGTCAGGTCTCTACTTGGTTCATTGTCCTCTAGAGAAGAACGAGCCGTTACATTCGATCTTATTGGATTATCACCTCTACATGTCACTCATCTCATACAACGATGTGGATTGGACCCTAGATCAATCAATGCAATAACCATCGATCAACTCTATCCACCCTTGTTTGATGAGACGTTGGTGGAGTTTAACAGAGGCAACCAATTGGATAGATTGACGCTTTTGATTCAAGATTTCAAGACAACAAACTATAACAAGAACAAAGACCATACTTGGATGAGATTGATTATCAATGACCTGGCAACATGTTTCCATCGTACTCTTACACACTTGACCATCTCATTTCAATGCCCAGGCTATTTGAAGGCACTCAACGAAACACCATCAATATTCTTTGTTCCTCTGGATCGTTTCCCAAGTCTCAAACACCTCCATATGGTCATTCAGGACGTGTCATCGGTCTGAGCTAAAGACTCGGGTTTGTTCATCCAATAAATGACACAATCAATTTCAATCAATCATACAATCGACCATCATTCATTCAAGCTTACCTTACCTTTATTTGTTTGTTGAAGGTGGTACTATGATCACTGGGAGACCTACAACATTGCATGTTGGGTCAGGTACACCACTCCTCTTCACCAAGTCCTTGCCAGTTAACTACCGATGGCGTCACAAGAAATGAATATTCAATGTTTTAACATGTGGCGCCAAAAATTCAAATTGAGATACCTATTTGAAAGATGAGATAAAGATAGAGATAGAATAGAGATAGAGATAGATAAAGATAAAGAGAGAGATAAGATGATGCCAAACTATCATAGAGTAAATGGTACAGGATCTTCACAATCAAGGCCAACAACAACAACACCGCCAACAACATCAAATGGATACACAAGATCAACTACACAGCCACAACAACAACAACAACAACAACAACAACAACAACAACAACAGCAACAGGATGAATTGACATTGTGCAAGATGGAGTTGGCAGAGGTGCGCACAAGATACCTCAAGTTGATGGAGAACTTTGGTGCATTGTCTGAGAGATACACAAAGGATACAAATGCTCTGACAAAGGCCAATGCCTCACTCACTGCCATGCACGACGAGCAGGTGCGAGAGTTTGCCTACACATCTGCCGAGTTGATACATACACGCAATGCCAATCAAGTCACTGAGCAAACGTTGCGTGACATTGCCCGAACATGCATTGACTTGGGACTGGTCGGTCGCGTATCCCTCGACGACCTGGTCGGCATGGACGCGGTGGTCGGCGAGCTCAATCTCATGGTGAAACACATCGCACAGCAGCATCAATCATGCATCGAACAGGAGCACTATGATCAGCTTGACAGCCAGGTGGCAAACCTTCACACACAGCTACATGAGAGCGACACCAAGCAGCGACGAATGGCTGAGGAGAAGGAGGATCTGGCACTGCAGCTGGAGAAGGCAAACAGCGACATCTTCAAGATGCACATGGATACACAAAGCAAGACGGCCAAGATGCGCGTCGATCAACAGCGCATTGCAGAGCTCGAGAAGGAGCTGGCAAAGAAACAGGAGCTGCTGGAGCGCACCGACCTCAGGCTTAACAGCGTGCGCGCACAGTTGGATCAGTCGCGCGGCAGCAACGACGACGATGGCGAGGAGATCAAGGCCTCAATCGAGGAGATTGAAGCACGCCTCGCCACTTTGACCACCAAGCACGAGGAACAGGACGCTGAACAACGCGAACAGATCACAAAGCTGGAGCGTGAATGTCAGCGCGCACTGGACTCGGAGAAAAAGCTCAGCTCGCAGGTCCAGCTTCATCGCACGCGCATCAACGAGCTGGGCGGCCAGAAGGAGCAGGTCGAGCGCAGGCTGGCGCTGTGGGAGGAGTTTGGTAGCGAGATCATGGCCAAGATCAGCAAGTACTATGTGAGTGCCACGTACACCAATCCTTATCCGCTCGAGTCGCTGCGCGTGGAGTTTGGACGATTCATTGGCGATCTGCGACAGGACATCAACGATCACAACAACCTGGCGGATCTTCGACTCATGCAGATGAACAAGATAGTACGAACGATGTGGGAGGCTCTCAGCCTGCCCAACTCGCCACTCCTCTCCAACCTGCTCTCAATCGATCGCAAACTATTTGAAGAGAGTCTTCAACATCTTCGTACACTGATCAACACGACTCTTGCACATGCACATACTCAAAGGCAGCGATGACAATGATCGAATGAATGAACGAGAGAACCAAATGTAACATAATAATAATGGCTAGACCTCATGGTTTGGCATGCCGATCACCATGGTTCTCTTTACTTTCCACAGCAGCGTCCAATGTTCCTCATTGAGTTTGATGGACGGTAGCCTCCACCGCCTCCGCCACCATTCAGTGAAGCAGAGTAATCGCGACGATCAAATGGCTTACTACTATTCTTTGATTTGTCCGCCTCCTCCTCCTTTGCCTTCTTGATTGCATCACGTGCCTCTTGTTCCAATCTCTCACGTGCTGCTTTAGCCTCTTCATCAAATCTCTCCTGTTGTTTCAATCTTGCCAACCTTGATCCATCATCTAGCTCCTCTACAATCTCTTTCTCTGTTATTGATTGAATGAATGAGTGAGTGAATGAATGAATGAATGAATGAATGGGCCATGATGATACGGAGGAGTCACGTACTAAAGTATGTTCTCTTCTGATATTCATTCCATTTGCTTTTAACAATGATGATTGTGGCAAATGATAGTATAATAGTTATCCAAACAGCTTTGTAGTTGATACTAGCAAACTCAAACCAAGTCGTAGCATGTTCCATTAAATTATCTACTGTGTCTCTATTATTAGGTATATCTCCTGCTCCATGTTGTTGTTCGTCGAGGCCACCATGGTTAACATCTCCGTCTTGAGTCAATTCCATTATTAATTAATTATTTGTTAGATAGATAGATAGATAGAGATAGTAATACTTGATTGTTGAATGTTATACAATGAGATAGGGCACTATGTGTCAAAGAATGGGAATGGGGGAAATACAAGAATATGAAGAAGGACCTGATTCACCCCCTCATCTTCACACTTTATAATCGATTCATTGTTCTATTTGATACAGATACATACATTCATTCATCAATCACATATTCAATCAATGGAAGAAGGAGAGATAGTAGACGAACAACCAACAACAACATCAATAACTACACCACTGATACAAGTTAACAAACAACAACAACAACAAACAAATACTAATAATAAGAGAACATTGGATGATATTGAACAATATGAAGATGATCACTTGAGTTGTGATCAACAGGGATCAGTCATCACCGTCGATGGTGTGATTAGCACAAAGACCCAACAACTACATCAACAACAACAACAAAGTCGGAAGAAGAAGAGAGCCAACAGTCAAACACAACAACAACATCAACAACAACAACAACATGATGGAAAGAAAAAGATAAAGACAACTATTAGGATAAAGAACTATGATATATATAAGGTGTTTAGTCCATTCCATAGGATGTTGGATCTAGGACTGTGTCCATCATTGGATGATCTATACACAGAGTTCTTTCATCTTCTCAACATGGACAAGTGTGCATTACTCAATAATGAGATGAAGACATACACTTCATCATCATCATCATCATTGTCGACGAGACAGAGACCGACACAGACACAGAGTCATGAGCAACAGATGAGAATGCCACTGGAGCATCATCACTCAACATTGGAGATTGACTCGATTCAATTCAGAGACGACAGGTCAATGATCGAGACAATCGTGCGCAAGATATGTGGATTCCTCAACAAAGAGTCTAACATGGTGTTGGTCGAGCTGGTCGTCATGTCACTTGGTCTAACCAAGTCAATCGAGCTGCTCAAACATACCCTGGACATTGAGCAACAAGGTGGGATAACGATCAAAGTAGTGACAAAGGACGACGAAGGAGAGCATGATGGAGACGACAATGATGATGAAGCAACAGAGACACAACAGGTCCGAAGGAGGACACCTGGTGGAGTCTTCTTTAGATTGGCTGTGATGTCCATACCGCCAAAGCTCAAACTACAGGTGTTCTCAATGAGTGCACTGTCCAAGTACAAGAAACAGAGACATACCAAGGGCAAAGGAAGATTCACTCTCATCACAGACTTTGTGCCACTGCCATCAATCGAATCGATACGCAACGACCACGAGGTCAATGCCCTTGACGAGGAGTTTGAGCGATTGCTCTCACTCAATGACTGTCCTGTATCTGTTTCCAACGATCACAACAATCACAACAACAACAACATCTTTGGTCGCCACGATGAAATGCAGGTCTGCAACTAAAGGTGCGCGTCGGCGTCGTCGAATAAAAAGTGAGATGAACTGATTGTCTGTTCATTCATTCATTCATTCATTCATCTTTGTTACAATGTATAACAGACTAGTGTATAGATCATTCACTTTGGGTACTAATGTATCGACGGCACTGAGTCGTCAAACACATTCTCTTTCGATGATGATGTCGTCGTCGTCGTCGTCGACTAATGGACAACGATTCAAATACACAACGACGACATCAAACAATGAGATGGCAGTGTTGGAGAATATATACAAGAGGATCATTGGACAACATCATGATAAGGTTATGATCAAGGACACTGGTACATCACATGGTCGTGGACTATTCACAAAGGTCTCCGTGGCAGCTGGTAGTACCATCATCACTGAACAACCATTCGTCTCCCATCCCTCATTCGATCAAGCATCAACAAACTCTGTAACTACCTATACTCTGCTGCGAACGACTACACTGATTGATCGATTGATTGACTCGCTAACTCAATCAATCAATCAATCAATCAATCATACATAGGTATGCTCTCACTGCTTGACCAATCTCCCCACCCCCATCACCAACGCGACAACTACTGGCAACAACAAACATCAACATGTTCATTGTCCCAACTGTCGTCAGAACTACTGTTCAGTCAATTGTAAGAATACAGCAGAGACACAGTATCATCTGGCATGCTGTACATCGATTGATACAGTGAGGAAGTACTGTCAGGCGGAGAAGAGGCGATTCCCACTACTAGCCGCCAAGATAGTAGCCCGTATTCTTCTCGGATATCACTTCAACAAGACAATGGAGCATTGGGAGAATCTTCAAGTGTTGTCATTCGCCAAGGTAAATGTCTTGTCAGGTCATGTCACATGATCATTCATTCACTCACTCGATAATTCATTCAATCAATCTATCAATCATGATACAGAAAGATCCACCAATGGAGTGGAAAGACGATTACCTAGCATTCCAACGCGCAATGTTAACAAAGGAGAGCAATAAGAAGAGTGAGTTGAGTTCATTGACTGAGTTGGCGATTGATCAAGACTTGGACACTTACCCACCATTACCCCTCTGGAACTATCCCAACCCACCCTCACATCCTAACACTCAATCAAGAGTTCAACTATGAATGGTTCGTTAGAGTAATGCAGATACTGTATATTAATACTGTCGGAATACAGGTTGGCGCTACGACACCAACAGCAGCCACACCAGATTCTGGTATTGGATTGTATTACTTGGCATCATTCATCAATCACAGTTGTGAACCAAACTGTTTCCTGGCATTCCCCAATGATCATACTCTCAATCTAGTGGCATTGAAGCCTTTGAAACAAGGTGACGAGTTGACCATCTCCTATGGCGATCCGAACAAAGACTATGTCGAGCGACAAAGTCACCTCTTTGACAACTATGGTTTCAGTTGTCAATGTCCCAAGTGTTTACTGGATCTGCCATCCAAGCGTCCCAAGAAGCCTCTCGCGGCGGATAAGTAGATATTAAATCAAGAACCAGGCCTGGACTCTTTGAGTTGAACAATCAATGCTTCACCTGGTTGAGTTTTGATCAAAATGCGGAGTCCGACCTGATCAGATCACTCAATCAATTTCCCCCATCAAGGGTTGCGGATGATCAACCCAGGGATTGTTGGGTTGGTCTCGGAGTCGCAGGACAATGCTTGTTGATGAAGACTTGATTATCATTCATAAAAGTAGTACCATAGATCAAATGAGCAATGTAATATTAATACTGTTGGCATTTGTCCTTTCAGTTTTGGTTGATCATAGGTCATGTGATCAATCGATTGAACTCGCTTATATCAATATAGGAGTCAATCCATCTTCAACAAACTCATCTTTGTTGTGCGGATTGTCATCAATATCAATCAACGATGCTTGTCCAAACATAACATCTGCCTTCCTCTCATTTAAGACACTCATATCAAATCCAGTCAACACAATGGTCAATATCCAACTTGCATCAGGACAGTACTTTATCACCGAGAATACCGGAGTCTTTAGTCAAGACCTCAACTTCACCTTTAATGGTGCAGCCCCACCCTTGTCTTCCGACTTCTACTTAGAAGGGTCACAATTTCTTTCCATCTATGGCAATGATCAGTCTCCAAAGATCACCGTCTCTCTAAACAACCTCAACATATATGATGGCCTGACCAACCAACCGAGCAATGTCATCAGCATCCTTGGCTCCAACACAAACATCACGCTCAATAATGTTCATATCCACAACTGCACTGGCTTTGAATGGATCTTGATAATGACAGCCAACATTGTCAACCCCAAAGGAGGACCATCTTGTTTTCTTGCACTCAACAACTGTTCATTCACAAACAACATGGTTACTGACCAACTATTGAATTTACAACAGGCCAATGTGACCATTGACAATTGTCTATTTGACCAATTTAGTAGTGCCGCCCTCGTCTTGTACCAGAGCCATATCGAAATCACCAACTCCGTCTATTCCAACTCAAACAACAGCCTTGTTGTCCCCAACTTCTACGACACCCCTCTCATCCAAGGACAAGACAGTATTACCATGGACAATTGTACCTTCTCAAATTTATCTTGGAGAGAAACCCTCGTTGTAATTGGTCCCAACTCTTTCCTTTCCAACATCAACCTTGTCAATATCACTCATTCTGACTACTACCTTGATGTCTATGGCGACACCATCTTAACCAATATTAGAGTAGGTGGGACATTCTCCTCTGGCTCAGTTCTAATAGAATGTCAAGAGAAAGCCAACCTAACAATCAGCGGTATCAACATGTCCTCTGCTGATCATGGTGGCCCATCAATCACCAAATGCAATATTTCCTCAACTTGTAACATTGCTGGCGTCAATGTCCCGCACTGTCCAACCAAGCACCATCTCAATGGTGCCGAAATTGCCGGCATCACTATTGGAGCAGTCGCCGGGCTTATTATCATCCTTCTAGTCATACTACACTTGATCAAGAAGAGAAATACTTCATCGTATCAATCAATCAACCAATAAACTTGAATGAATGAATGAATGAATAATGTTGCATCGAGTCGCGTGGACAGTCAGTCCAAGCCCATGTTTATTGATTGAATGATTGCAGTTAGAAGCCACTGCCGCCACCTCCACTGCCAATGCCGCCGCCGCTGCCACTGTTTAGTTGAGAGTCCTCGGTCCAGAATCTTGCACGATGGTCATTGCTACAAGTCATCAAAGCATTCTCTACAGGCGATGACGCAATCCATCGTATCGATTGAATGTGTCCAGACAACTTCTGCACGCACTCCTTTGTTCTGCTGTTATAAACTGCCACTGACGATGGCTGTTCATCCAATGTAATAATAAAGTCTTCTGTACAATTGAACAGAGCGCATAGTCTGTTCTTCTGCTCGTGTGGTGGAGGTTGATAGTTAGTTGAGCCCGACTCGTCGACGCTGGCCAGCAACGAAGCGATGACTTACAGAGTTGTTGGACAAGTTGACGCCAGTGTTGATCGATTGAATCATGCGACCAGAGGATATCTCCCATAGTTTGACAAAGCTGTCTCGTCCACAGGACAGCAGATACTTTTGATTCTTTGAGATCTGGACAGAGGTGACATCGTTGCCACTGTGCGGACTGGGCAATGTGTTGATCAGACTCATGTTGACTGCGTCCCAGATCTTGATGGTGGCATCCTTGGAGCAACTGGCGAATATGTTGCCATCGACAGAGTAGCGCACCTGATTGATGGGGCCGTGATGATGTTCGTTGACTTTGCGCGCTGTGAACGATTGGAATGTGTTGACGTCGTACAGACGGATCATGTGGTGGTCGGTGCCCGCCAGGATCATGTCGCCACACGGGTGGAAGTTGATGGTGCGCACGCTGTGTGTGTCCTGCAGGAACTTGAACGAGCGCTTCAGCGACGACTTGTAGTCGTAGAAGCGGATGGTGCAGTCCTTGGAGGCGGACGCGAGGATTGGTGCCGACGGGTGGAAGTCGAGGTCGGTGATCGGCTGTGTGTGATCATAGAACGTTCTGATGACGGGTCGCGATGGGGCAAAGTCCTCAGTGGTCTCGTTCTTTGTTTGATTATAATTGCGCATCTTGTTGACATCCAACAACTTGATCGATGTATCTGATGAGCCTGTCGCCACAAACTTTCCATCCCAACTGAACTTGGCGCATCTACATGCATTCTTATGAGTCGTTATGAACTTTGTCAAGAATGACACCTTTGATGGTGTAACATTCTGCATCGCCGCAGCATTATCAAAGTCCAATCCCTTTGTTCTATCTCCTCCAATTGTATCAATACCGTCTGTGTCCATTTCTGTTTGATCGATTAGATTGAATGAACGAGTCAGTCGTCATCGCTACACTTTAGAGTTAGTTGTTGTATATATACCATCGAATAGTGTATTTGAATCCTTTGTTGGACCTATCGTTCCTTGTATGACTTGTGACAATCTGTTGCTTGCATCTGATGGTAGAGGACATGGTATCATCGTTGATTCACTCAGCTTTGTAGCCTCATTGATGAATCCATCATGTACCAATTGATTTATTATCAAAGAGTACAAGTCCCTCTGTTCCTCCTTCATTCCTTTATCTATCTATATATGTTTGTATGTGTATGTAAATGAATATGATTGATGAATATGAATGATTGAATGAATGGGACTGCGTTGCGAGACTTGTCAAAGTTGTGAAGTTCCTTTCAATTTGCATGGTTTTTGAGGTTCAACACTCTGACTCACGACCTGTTTGAATTCAAAAGTTCAATCATTCATTCAATCATTCAATCATTCATACTTAGTTGTTGTAATAGTAGTTATTATAAATCTCATTCATCCATTCAATCAATCAATCAATCAATCAATATATATCTAAATATACTTTATATACATATAATTAAACAAACAAACAAAATAACAGGATGCCAACTACAATCTATGAAGGAAATCCAACAGCTCCAAATGATCTTGCGTCACTAAAGACATTGGTTGGAAGGAAATACCAGAACTTGATCGAAAGAACTATTACCTTCTTACCACATAGATGGGCTGCTGCTGCTTGTATGTAGCATTATTCATCATTCATTCAATCGATCATTCAATCAATCAACCGACCGATCGATCAATCATTCATCATTCATCATTCATTAACTAACTTGATTAATTAATTTGTTACACTATAGTATTATTAATCTTATATATCTTGAGAGTGTATACATCTGGAGGTGGATGGTACGTTGTTACCTATGCACTTGGAATCTTCTTGTTGACGCAGCTGATAGCATTCCTCTCGCCAAAGTGGGACCCAGATAGCGATGTTGATGGTCTCAACGTGTCTCTCCCAACCAAAGGTGATGAGGAAGTCAAGCCATTCGTAAGAAGACTCCCAGAGTTCTTGTTCTGGTTAGTATCCCATTCATTCATTCAATCATTCAATCAATCAATCATGAACTGACCAACTAACTTATGCTCGATCAATCAATCAAACATACATACTTACAGGCATCTAATTGTAAAGGCATTGACTATTGCCATCTTCTGCACATTCATTCCATTCCTCGATCTGCCAGTGTTCTGGCCAATTCTCTTGATGTACTTCTTTGTCTTGTTCGCCATCACCATGAAGAACCAGATCAGACACATGATCAAGCACAAGTATATCCCCTTCACAGTTGGCAAGAAGGTCTACAACACAAGAGACTAGACAAGATAGAATGAATCAATAGGAGAGAGCACGACGAGCAGGAACAGCAGTGGATACTCTAGAGCGTAGACTGTAGAATGAATGAATGAAGACTTAAAGAATGAACATTCATTACGACTTTGATTATTATCTTATATAACTTTATTCCAATCTTATCATCATCCAGATCATGGACTCGAGCGACAGACGGAATAGTTGCTGCTTGGGCGAGTCAGCACGTTCGTAAAAGACAAGGAGGTGATCGCCATGCAGCGTGGCGTTGAGCGCTGCGGTCGATGATGGTGGGATGTCTCCAGTTGTGTTGTGCACGCTCCATTGAAGTGATTCCAGGTTGAGCAGGTAGATCTGATTGAGAAGGCGCGCGCTTTGATGCCAGCCGCCAAAGACTACCAGGACGCCATTCCAGAGGATGGTCGTGTGGCCGACCATGGGAGGTGGCGCGACGCCGTGGCACGGCACCATCTGCCAGGTCTGGCTGCGGCTGGCCGATGCCGAGAACTTGAAGCGGTGGAAGCTGTCCTCGATCGACGCCATCACATACTTGATGGTCTCTGCAAACATCTGCGGCGAGATGGCACTCGTGTTGTTAGAGATGGCGTCCATCGTCGTCTTGACGGTGGCTTTGTGCATGCCTGGGATGTTGATCTGACGATGGGCATTGTCATCGATGAACACCTTGTAGATGCGCTTGGCCACGGTCTTGAGCTGCTCGCGCTCCTCTAGGGTGGTGTTGGGCATGACGCTAAAGGCGCGAACCGACTCGTAAAAGATGAGGTTCTCCTCGTTGAACTCGGTCTTCATGTGCTCAAAGAACACCTTGTACGTGGAGCCTGTGCGGTCCTTCAGCACGTTGGCCAAATTCTCCTCGAGCATCATCGTCGCCAGGTTGAGGCTGAACAGGCTAGAGTGTGGCTTGCCATTGGCGCTCCAGCCGCCAAACTGATACATTCGCTCGTTGTATACGATGGAACCGCTGTTGGGCAGTGGCAGCTTGGAGTAGATGTTGGTGTCGGATGACAGGAAGTTATAGTTATCGTCCTTGCTCTCCAACTCTGACTTTATCTGTGCCAGTCTGTCCAAGATGTCCGAGAATGGCGGTCTGTTCAAAGGATCTCCAGACCAACAATCCTTGATCAAGTCGCCAAATGATGGCAAACAATCAGGTGGCAATGATGGTCGTTGGCCATTTATCACCATTGACTATTGATATGGGTATGAGTGTTAGTCTGAGTGTTTGCGTGTGGCGCGTTTAGCGAGGGAGGTGACAACATACGGAGAATCGCTCGTGGTCTTGGAATGCGATGGATCTGGTCAACAACTCATATAAGATGATGCCATATGAGTATACATCAGTGAGCTCATGGTAGTTCACCTTTTGGAGTATCTCTGGTGCATGCCAGGCTATTTGATGGGTGGTGTGGAATGGTTCCAGGTGTCAATCAATAAATCAATAAACCAAACATCAAACTATCATACGGGATACTTACACTTTGGATTGATACTGTCTGTTGGGAAGAGAGCTGGGAGAATGGATACATGGGAGAGGTCGCAGAGGTAGGCCTTGACACCCGATTCAACTTGGGTTGATCGCTCGAGTTGAATGGATGATGTGGAAAGGTTGGTGACTAGACATGGCGGTGTGAGTTGTTGCAGTGGCTCCATAGCCTGTGCAATGTCAATGGCAATCTTGAGCTTGTGTCGCCAGGACATGTCAGGGTACTTCTGGCGATCTTGTGTGTACTCGGACAGAATGGTGGCGTACTCTTGCTCGGCACCCGAGGGATTGGCCGAGATGATGGCCAGGGGACTGAGCGATATACCAATGATGCCCACAATGTTGGGATGGCGCAGGTTGTGTAGCGCCAGTGCCTCCTGGCGGAACATCGACAGCACTTTGTTACAGTCGATTGGGTTGTTGGACGGGGCGTTGTAGCGTTTGATGCTGACGACGCGGCCGTGCAGACGGCCGACCGATGTGGTGACCGACGTCGACATGAGGTACTCGACGTGCTGGTCCGAGATGATCTGTACGTCGTTGAAGTCGATTTCGTCGACCTGGCTCGTGAGGAGGTCATGGTCGAGCAGCACAGATGTAATGTGGATGGGGATGGTCAGGTCGAGGCTGGGCACATGTGTGCCAACCACCGAGGAGCTGGACGATGTCAGCGACGAGGTTGACTCCTTGCGCTCAAACACTGTCGCACCCTTTGACTCCTTTCGCTCAATCACCATGCTGTGTTGCTTGCCATTCATACTCTTGGACGAGTTCTTGCGCTGTTGTGTGGATGTCAGAGATGGCGATGGCATGTCTGGTGTGTTGCTGCCACTGCCACCGCCAGGTAATTGTTTGTGTTGCTGGCAATATACGTCCTTTTCGCCACGGACAATCGCGCGCTCGCAATCGTCTAGCTTGAAGTAGTAAGGATGGGCCAGTCTGAGTGATGTGCAATGTGAGCAGGCCACAAATGTGCGACAAGTGAGGCGGTACCACTTGGTGATGAGCGCGTCTGTGATGCTGTAGATGTACAAGGAGAGTGCCGAGCATGCCTCAGACGCTCGCGTCGTGATCTCGATTGTGTTGGTCGCGGGATCGACCACAACCAATATGCGTTCGCCATGTGTGTCGTCCGCGGCGCTGGCAGACTGGCCACCGCCGTCAACATTTTCATCGGGCACCAACACGGCGACATTTTGCCAGCACTTGAGCAGGTGGCAGACTTGCATCAGCCTGGAGAGCAGGCGGCCAAACAGTCCGTGGGGCAGGAAGTCCAAGATGTAGCGACGTGTGTATTGTAGCATGTCTTGGGTCTCGGGGTATGCGTCCCAGACAGCCTCGCAGGTGAATGGCACGCCAGTGCGCACGGGTGTCGCGGGCTGAGGCAGCAGCGATGAGACCAGCACCCAACCCAGTCGCGAGTTGAACGAGCTCGAGCGTCCATTGCGCACCTTTGAGTTGGCCGTGAACTTGACCATCGCGGCCATGGCCATCGAGGGCTTTCTCAGGTCGATCTGTGCAGTGGTGTGATCAGTGATGATTGTGTAAAGATTGATCGCGAGGTCGTTGCACTCGAGCAGCGACAGGAAGAGCGAGAAGAAGCGCTCAGGAACATGGTACTGTGTGTTGGGTCCCCAAACATATCGCAGGATTCTGTGCGGGAGCACACCACGAATCGATTCGCTATCGTCGTGTGCTGGAGCTGAGGTCGAGGGGAGGGCCTGGGGGTCATGCGCCAGGAGCGATGCGATGGCACGCGCGATCCACTTGGGATTGAGCGTGATCACCTCGGTCTTGGTCGGCGCTGAGCCTGGCTCGAGACGGATGAACTGCTCGAACGATGTGATCGAGCCCAGCGCGTTGAACAATGACTTGAGCTGCGTGAAGTGTGGTTCATTGTGCAGCTCCATCGTCTTGGCCAGCTGCAGGAAGTGCTTGCGCGTGACCAATGGTGGTGACATGAGGTTGGCCTCCTCACGCAGGTAGTCCTCCAGGAACATGAATGCCGCCGGGTACGTCTGCTTGAGTATGGGCAGCTTGGCCACGTAGTTCTTGACATCGCGGCGCAGCCTGCTGAGGCCGTCGCCATCACTGCGAGTCGCAGACACGCAGTGTATCGAGATCTGAAGGGTGGGGAACTGGCTGCGGAAGTACAGCAGCAGGCGATCCATTGTCTTCTCGGCCGCGCTCTTCTTGGGACACTGATCGAGGTGAGTGCCCGCTAGGTACACCACGGCCTTGCGGTCCTTGAGGTAGATCAGATGCAGGTATGACTTGAGTGTCTGCTCGTGGCTGTTATTGTGCTCGCTGTTGCCGTGCTGGCCGGCCTGTGCCAAGAGCGTGGCGATGTTAAATGCCACCATGTAGACGATGTTTGGCACGTAGAAGATGTGGCCCACATCATTCTTGAGGCCCTCAAACTCCCATAGATGGATCGTTACCAGCTTCTTCTTGCGACTGGCCTCCACGCCCTCGATATGCAGGTGGCACTGCCAGTCGTGAATGTCGAGCACGTCGGTCGGAGACGGTGCTGCCACGGCTGCCTTTGGAAGTTTGCGCAGACATTTGATCAGACTGCTTTTGCCGGCTGCCTTCTCGCCCACTACGATCACACGCGTGCGGTAGCAGGGCACGTTAGCCCTCATGATCTCGGAGAAGTATGTGAATATGCCCTCCTTGCCGCGGGCCACATATTTCTCGGGTATGTTGTCGCGCAGTGGCTTGTTGCCCATGATGTCCAAGGAGACCAAATGATTGAGCGCAACAATGCCAGGAGGCAGACGCGCGATGTTGTTGTTGGCCAATCGCAACTCGATTAGAGACTGCAGACGGTGGATGGCCGAGGAGATGGCTTGGATCTGGTTGTTGTCCAGGAACAGCTTCTTCAGGTTGGTTAGCATCAACAGCTGGGGCGGCAACGCTGTCAGCTTGTTGGTGTTGAGGTTGAGTTCGAGCAGACCAGTCAATCGTTGGATTGCTGGCGAGAGCTCAGTGATCACGTTGTCATGCAGTGAGAGCACCTGTAAATGATCGGCCAGGGCTAGCACGGCCTCTGGTATCTTTGTAAGTTGGTTGTTGCTCAGGTCCACGTACCTCAGGCGAGACTTTGATGATGCGCCCAAGTCGCCAGATGTGACTCCAATGTCGCCCAACTGATTGTTAGCTGCTTTAAGTACTTCAAGTGATTGTAGTCTGTGTGTGAGTGGAAGGGAGAGGGTTAGCGATCGGAATAGTTCCAGATGTGATTGAATGATTGACTTACTGGAATATGTCAAGAGGCAGGGCAGTAAGATTGTTGTTGGATATGTTGAGTGTTGAAAGGGTGGTCCACTTGGAGAGTGATGGAAGGACGGTCAGTTGGTTACGACGCACGCTGAATGTCTCGAGATGTGTCAGTCGCGCTCCAATAAAGTCAGCATGCAACGGCAGTATCTCTGTGAGTTGATTCTCGTCCATGTGGATGACCTTTAGAGAGGTGAGACGGGCAAGGTCGCCCACGGGGAACACCTGGAAACGGTTGCGTTCCAGGTGTATCTCCTGGACCATGCGTGACATCTGTTTCAACTCGCTGGGTAGGGTGTCAAGCTCCATGCCTGTCAGGTCTAAACGGCTGGCCGCGCTTCTTGCGCGTGTCGGTGCCAGTGCCAATGCCATGGCCATGCTTTTGGTCTCGGCGCTAATGAATGAGTACACTAAATTACAGGTGCTTTGCTCTTGGAAGCTAAAGGTGATGACGGTCTTGATGTCACTGCTGCAGTACACCGTGAGGCTGGGCATCGCCTCGCGCCGGGTGTGTGCCGCGGCCATGATCACCTTCAACACGCTACTGAATAATAATACAAGCTCGGTTGTTGCTGTCGCACCATTCGCAGCGGCATCGGCGGCCGCTGTGGTTGCCGACGCATCCTTGGCGTGCCAGATCAAGTGGCGCTGTGTGAACCACATTGTGCCCGGCGTGGCGGGGCCTCGTGGGTTGGCCACAAGCACTCGCTCCACATATAGTATGGTGGCATCCTCGTGTGTCTTGTCTTCGTCCGACTTGAACAGATGATTACACTGTGATATGAACATCGTCAAGATCTCGCGCGCTGTCGCCCTGTGCTGCTCGGACAGTGGCGCCTCTGACACGGTGCACGCAGTCGGGCGCAGCAGATACGTGTGCAAGCGATCGACCAGCAACTCCATCGTCGTGCCATTGAAGCAGCTGTACACCAACAGTTCGCTAAGGTAATTAATAAACCTAAACAATATCGACTTGTTTGGCTGGTTCATCTTCCTCAGCATCAGCAACAGCAATGACTCTGAGTAAAGTGTTCATTATGGTCCCAGTGTGTTAGTGGGGCGTGGGGTGTGGGGTTGGGGCTGGAATGATTCCAAGCCCAATCGATCAATCAATCAACATACCTGTCTGGTAATAGTTCAAAAGGGTCTCGAAGAACTCGGAACTGATGATTGGCTCGGGTAGTTGATGCATGAACTCGACCAGGAGCTCGGCAACGACGTCGACGCGGTATTGGCTGAGGTCGACTACGGCCTGCGCATTGCTGTTGTACTGCTGCACGATGTCTTGTACAGCACCTGAAGCTCGCAGGGGTTGCTCATTGCGGAAGAGGTGTGCCTGCGCCAGGCCCGTGCTGCTCTCGAGCACATTGAATATATCGTTGAGGATTGAGGGCATCGCGTTGCCATGCTCGCTCTTGTAGCGAAGGATGACTCGCAATGGTATGCCAAAGATGCCTTCGAATGGAGTCGTCTGTTCGAGTGGCGTCGGGGCGATGAACGACGACTGGCTCTTGTAGACCTCCTTGGTCTGCTGCACAAGCTTGCCCATGCGCTCCTTACTCAGCGACATCTTGCCCAGGAAGTGCTTGACCTTCTCGCTCGCGCCAATCGGCTTCTGCATCGTGCCCTGGCTGCTGATCAATGGCGGCAACTTGATTGGCTTCTTTGCTGTGGCCGACCCAGACATGATACTCAATGATCCCTTGCGTGGTGATGTCACCAATGGAGGTTGACCTTGACCTTGAGGTTGAGTCTGAGGCTGGGCCTGAGTCTGGCCGCCAAGTTTGAGTTGCTCGACGCGAACAGAATTCATCGCCGGCGAACCGTTGCCGGCACTAACGGATATTTTCCTTGGTGAAGGTAGCCTGCCGCGTCTGATCTCTCCCGCTGAGCCAGTCATAAGTGGCGGGGTCGACGACGATGACGCAGAGTCATTGGAGCCATTCAAAGTTGTGTTGCGCAATGGTGGAAGTGAAGGTGTCGCGATAGAGGAGGTGTGAATGACCTCGTCTTCACTGTCGCTGTCCACATCTGGTATTATTGATGATGATATATTATTGTTGTTGTTGTTGTTGGTTGGTCTGGGGCTATTGCTTGGACTGCTAATGCTGCTTATACTACTGTTACTTCTGTTTCTACTGTTGCTACTTGATAAATAAGATAGAGGTGATGGTGATATTGGTCTAGTCGATGGTGGGAATTGTACATTGAAGTTGCTTATTGGTGATGGTTTGGCGCCGGTCGATGTTGTAGTGGTAGTTGTTGGCGTGGATGTGGCTGTGGGTGTGGCTGTGGGTGTGGCTGTGGGTGTGGCCGCAGAAGTTTGAGTGGAAGTTGGGGTGGCGGCGGAAGTTGGAATGGAAGTTGGAGTGGCGGTGGTAATATTACTGGTTGTTGTTGGTGATACAATAGTTGTAATGATGGACTCTGATTGAAGAATTTCTTCTTCATCTTCCATCATGTCCATCATCATCTTTGAAAGGTTTGAAAAGGTTGTGTTTGAAAAAGACAAACAAACAATCAAATAAACAATGTCAAAGTGTAAAGTTAAGTTATCTGTTTATGTGAATGTATATATGGATTAGTGTTTGATCAGAATGTAGAATCAATCAATGTTTGATCTGTCTGGGCTGTGAATGGTCCAAACGGTTCTGAGCGTTTGACTCCTGGTATACGGCCCACTAACTCATTCAATCATTCATTCAATCACCCAACCACACATTCTACCCTACCATCACTTACTATCTCTGGCATGTCGCATGCTTAGCCAGCCAACTGATCAATTCACAAGTATTTGAATTCTTTGGGGCAAGGCCCATCATGACCACCCCCCCACCCACACTCATACATCACAATGTTGTTTGTTTGATTGTTGTCTGACAATCTTATGCAAAAACTCAAAGTTTTGCGCAACAGACCCACATCACTCGTAACGGATGATCAATCTCAGAGATCAGATCTAAATCGGTATTCATTTGCGATTGAAGTGAGTGAGTGTAGCAGTGGCACTACATCTGCACATTGTTATGTCCCGGCTCGGCAAACATACGTCTATGTTAAGGGCCGCACTGCACTGATCATTTGCTGCAAATCTGAAGTCGTTGTCGTTGTTGTTGTTGCATATGCAACAGAACAAACAATAGGCTAAAGATGATGACCTGATGGTGATGATGATGGTGATGGTGACCTTAAGGTTTATGATCTACCATCGATAAAGCTCATTAGCTTCCTGTATATTTTGGCAATTGGTCTATCGGATACAAAGTCCTCGCCTGTGAACGTGTCCTTGAGTCGTCGAATGAGCATGTTGATCATTGATCCAAAGAAGAGAGCAAACACAGTTCCAGTCAACGTGATCACATTGTACAGCATACTGAAGTCTGGCGTTGGCAGTGTGATCAGCAGTCCTTCAGTGTATATCCTAACAGCTGTTGGCTTTGGCTTGGATGTGGACGACGACGATGCTGATTGATTATGATGGCGATAAGTGTAGGGAGACCATTCGATGTCTATGGGTTGGCTGGTGTGGAAGCTGTCTGTTAGCTGGGCCGTGACGACGCCTGAGCCTAGATCAAAGCCACGGTTGGCATCAGGAGGATGTTCAGTGTAGTGCAGGAACACCTTGTCAAACTCGATCGACATGGACGACACCGAGTTGCCTGGCAACTCAAACTGAATCTCCAAAGTCGATGGCGATGACCTTGTCTCAGCCGGGGATACCATCTTGAATGTGAAGTCTATATTTGATCATTGATTGATTGAGCGAGTAAGTGAGTGATGTACATTGTTCGAATGAATGAAGGGGGCACATACCTTGGTCTTCAAACTTGCGCTCATTGTTGATGTTGAACTTGAATGTGTGGAAGTAGACGCGAAGATACCAGGGGATGGCCTGGAAGTAGGTGATGTTGATCGGCAGATTGTGATTGTTGTATATTTGGATGGCAATGCCTCCTCGCTCCTGTCCATAGCCAGTGAGATGGCTGTGCGCTGTGATTGGGGCTGGCGTCGGGTTCTTGGTGAACCGACTCCACTGCAGTTGCAACTTCAGGCTGCTCTTTGCCGAGTAGTCGGCGATCAGATCGTAGATGAGGAAGCCATCGGTCGCAAGTGATGGCTTGGGTGTCAACACGAGTTGATTATTCTGTTCGTAAGGCTTGTTCACCACATATATCTTGCTCGATGATGCCAGAGGGCATGCCGACAGGCCACCCTTCACTCCAAACAACTGTTCAATATCAACGTCCACCTTGTCCTTTGGCTTTGATTGGTCTATGAGGGGATGTGTTAGCATGGAGACCATTGAGATTGATTGATGCTAAGGCTAAACTTACCCTTCTGTCTAACATCATGGACAACCGAGATTGATTGAATGATCTCGAGGGTTGGGTTGACACAGGTGCCTTGATCGCTGTCACAGGTCTTGCGAACAGTGATCGACATGGAGTGGTAGTGAACATCGTAGAGACGCAGTGGGTTTAGCAGACGGCCAAGTCCAGCCTGCTCACGGCACGGCAGCAGCTTGACCCAAGGCGTCAGGTTCTCTGTGCATACAGACTCTCGAGGCAGGATGCCGTAGCGCAACTGAAGTGGTGTGGTTCTGTTGTCGGACAACGATAGGATGGCCGGTGACGTGGCCGTCGACTGCTGATGATAGATGTTGGATTGGCCCTCGGGGCGGAATGATCGCGCGGGTACCGACGTGTGATGCGGCACCTGGTAGAGGAACTGCATGCTGGCGCAGAAGAGGCCGGACAGCGAGTGTGTAAGATCACGCCACTGCGCGTCAATGTCTGTATTATCGAGCGGGCGCAACCAAGTCATCAGCTCTACACCCACCGGTGCTGAGCGCACAGGGTTGCCCCAGTCAGCATAGTTCCATCTTCCCTGTGTAAACTGAAGTGTCATCTCCTCCACGCCCACTCTAGTGATCAAGTCGCCGATCGATCGAGAGAACAGGTCATAGTGTTGAACTTTCAATTGAATGATTGAATGATTGATGTTAGAGTGATGGACCAACGGACATGCTTGTCTGTGTACTACTTACAAGTTGATTGATCGTAGAAGTTCGCGCTCCACTTTGTTGTGAACTGTACATGAGTATAAAGCTTGCCGTTAACCAGTGGCTTGATGACCATCTCTTCGTTGAAGCTTTGTTCATTGTTGTTGTTGTTGTTGCTATTGGAGTCTGCTGCTGCTGATATTGTTGTTGATGTAGTTATTACACTCAGCAACAACAATAATGAGAGCAATAGACGAGGCAAGGTCATCCTTGTCCCCATTGCCAATATCTATATATCTATATCTGTTCAATATTCGAATGATTGATTGAATTGTAAATGAAAGTCAAGGTGAGAACTTCATTGAAATCAAGTCAAATGTGTGTGAGGGTGTGTGTGAGGGCAAGGGTAGGGTAGGGTAAGGGTTCAAATGAAATCAGTGAAGTGATACATTTAAATGGCTGGAGCTAATCAGTGTAGTAAGTTCAGTCAGTTGCAATGGACACAGCAACTCAAAGATGAAGCGCATTCAACGCCAAGATATGATGGAGCACCAATCAGCAATATACTACAAAGAGTGATCATCGAATTGCTCTGGACTGAGTTTACAAAGAAATCGAGCAGCGATGAGGGCCAGAGATGGGCGCGACAGTTGATGCTCGTGTCGAAGAGCTGGAGAGATCATGTGTCCAGACTGTCGGCGGCCCATCTCTCGCTCTCGTTCGATAAACACAATCTCCTCTCAGAGTACCTCCAATACCGATCTGTAACGGACAAGTGTGCGCCTCGCTCAATCAAGATTGATGCTCTTAACAGTGGTCACAACGACAACGACTTCGAACAAGCCTACGACGAATTGATCACAACAAAGATGGATGTCCGATCACTCGACTCGGTCACTGGCTCAATCGACACCATCGTTTACTTTGCAAGGTGTTCGGCTACGCGCCATCGAGATTGCACAGTGGTTTGAGATCGATGATTATCTCTATGACGGCGATTATGCCTATGTACATGGTCTATCCGATCGTTGTTTGGAGGAATGGTCAAAGCTGATCAATAGCCCTTATGCTCAGACGATCACCAGCCTCACGTTTGGCTCATACGTCGATCTGTTACAGTACAACGAGGTCATCTATCCAATGTTTCAAATACAATGGCGGCACGTCACGAGGTTCAAGATCTATGACAATCCGCATAGCGCGCATGCATCATTCAGCCAGTCACTCATGCATAGAGGCACTATATTTGAAGATATGGTCGCGTGTGGCTTGCATCAACTGCAGAAGTTCGTTCTGATGCTCGAGGTCAACGACGTTGATTTGTTAACCAATGTCCACTTCGATCAAAAGTTGCTGGCCTACCTCAAGAGCACAAAGACACTCAAGACATTCAGGTACAATCAGCAGATGACACGCGAGACACTCGAGTTCCTCCTCCAATCACCCGAGAGCACAATCAGGAACCTGACCCTGGTGCATTACGATTGGTATAGCAATGACTATCCAACGATCTCCAAACACCTCCACAAGTTGTCCATCGAGTTGGTCTATGTTGAGGAATCCAATGAGCGGGCATTATTCAGCGACGAGTTCCTTAAGTCACTCAGCAATGTGGACCACCTCAAGACCAACATGTTGTTCCAATGTTCGCGAATGGTTGGCCTCAACAAAGGGTCCACATCAATATCTTTACCATTTGGCCTTATCAGCGACAGTGTGTTTGATGACCTGATTGAACAACTCACCAACAACTCCACCATCTCCTTCATCTACAACTTTGCCACGACCAATATTGTCTATCATCTTAGGGATTATGCCAGCCAGGACCAAAGGCTGATGCGCATCAAGAATGTAGTTGACTCTCATCCATCCATCATCAACAAGTCCACCTGGCACTGGCAACTCAAACCTGGAAGGAATTAATTTGATTGATTTATTGATTAAAATATTATTATTATTGGTTGACGCCCTTGGCGACGAGGACAGCTTGAAGGAATTGCTCAAAGTCAATTGAACCCAAACCAGAGACTTATGATAATGATGAGAGCGAGGGAGTTAGTGAGTGATGCCACCTAGCTACAACTATCCATGCACGCCAAACAAACATAACTTACCTGGATCCCATCCAGCTGCGGCACTGTATCCATACTGGCAGCAATAGGCACGGTTGCAACGGTTGCTACCAACGGTGATGTCGTTGAATGCCAATGGGTTGGTGCTGGCCAGCTGGTAGATCAGTGGGTTCATGAAGCCCAATGGCGACTTGTTGTTGGCCAACAGACGATCGTTCACCAGTGAGATGAGGCCGGCCAGCGCGGGACTGGAGCACGATGTGCCGTCGACTGGCAGGGAGGCGCATGGGCACTGGTCCATGTTGTTCTGGTTGGTGCTGGCAATGATGTCGTAGTTGTGGCCGTTGAATGCCAGGTCAGGGTAGGCACGCATGGCTGGGTTGAACGAGTATGATGGTGGCAGAGCATTGTTGTTGGTCAAGTATGCGCCGACAGCCTTGGCCTGGTATGAAGGCTGAGTCTGGAAAGTGCTGAAGCCTCCTCCAGTGGTGATCTTGGCGCCGCTAAGGATGGATGCTCCGAGCTCTTGGGTAACCTTGCCATTGCGGGCGAGGAACTGGGTGGCACCAATCGATGTGATGTAGGGCGATGAGGCGGGGAAGTCTGCCGAGAAGATGGGTCCGTTGAAGAGGTCGAATGAGTAGGGCGAGATGGTGTAGCCGTTGGAGGTGATGTTCTGCAGGCTGTCGCAAGTGCATGTCGAGTAGACGTGGGGCAGGTTGGAGCGGTCGTTCTCAAAGGCCAGCGAGCAGTGGCTGTTGGTCTGGTTGAACACAGCGATGGCAGCGTACAGGTTGTTGTCCTGTAGCACGCCATTGCAGCCGTCACTCTCAACACCCTGAGGGAAGAAACAGACCGATCCGTTGGACACGGTGACGAACGACAACTCTGAGCACAGGGTCTTGGTGTGGGCACAGCCTCCGGTTGGGCAGTAGGTGCCGACGTCGAGTGGACAGTTGCCAGAGGCGCCGCCCAAGCTGGGTGCTCCATCGTCTCCGTCGGACACGAGCACGGTGATTCCCATCACTCCGAGCTTCTGCAACTCGCTGTTGGTACGAGTGACGTACTGCTCTGAGCTGTAGCCGTATGTGGAGCAAGCGCTGGTGATCTCACACTGCTCGATCTCGGACCATCCATAACTGATCGATTGGACCAATGGTGGCGAGTTCATCATAGCAACCTCCTGGGCGTAATCCAGAATCCACTGTCCATCACTATGTGCCATGAACAAAGTTGGGATGTTTTGTCCCATGGATGTAATGTATTGGATCTATAATGGTGTTGATTGAGTATTAGTGAGGTAGTAACTGGACGGAAACAGACTGGCCGCATTAAAATTAATGCGGCCACACAACAACCTGGGTAACATACATCAAGGTCAGACTCATATTGATCACATGACTCTGGGAAACAGTCTGATCCATTACGGGTGACGTTCTGAGCGGGGATGTTGTACTTCTTGTAGAACTGTTGGAGTGCGCCCATTGAGAAGTAGTCGGTGAAGGCGGCAATACCTTGGTAGTTGTTTGATTGAGTGCCAGTGACGTTGGATGGCACGTCATAGTAGGACTTGAGGACAGATGGCGTGATGAGGATGTCATCACCAAACTCGACGTGATCAAAGTGAGTTGCGGCGTAGTTGTCCTGCTTGGATCTCTTCTCGACAAACTCGGTGAGACCGGTGACAAAGTCAATGTGCTCGGTGGTCCAGGCGGGCAGGGAGACAGCGCCCACAGATCTAACACGTGACTTTCCGTTCTTGTAGTTCCTGTACAGGGCGAAGCTTGTTTGGAACAAGTTGGAGGCGACACTTGTTGAAGTGTCCACATGGATGTAGTCGGCCTCGTGCTTGATCTCCTCAGATTTGACACCATGATCAACAAGCATCTGAGTGATCAAGTCGAATGACTCAGACTCTGGGCGGACCAAATCCTGGACCTCCTGGCTGGTCATGAACTGACCGTACATCTCTGATGTTGGATCAGAGCATGCCTATATTTGATTGAGTGATGTAAGTTTGTGTTTGATCATTCAATCAATCAATCATACTTGGACTTACCCAAAAGTATGCTTCCAACTTGTCCAGACGTTGTTGCTTCAAGAGGATCTTGAATTGGATTCTCTCTCTTGGTCTGGCATCTCTCTCCAACTCCCATACTGATGATGGTTTGGCTTCGGCAATCAATGATCTAATATGAACTTCACTGGTGGCATGTGTTGTGGCAATCAGCCCAACAACCAAAACAATGAATAAAATTGTAGACTTCATTATTTCTTTTATCTCTTTATATATATTTATATCTTTATAACAAATGATTAACTAGTTGATGTTGATGTTGATGTAGGTGTCACATGTGATAATACACTATTTATTACTCGTTTCTTATCTCCCCTTCCCTCCCCTACCCTTGGGCCTTCAAGTTTTAAACGAACGAGTGTGAGCGGGACTACCCCCGCCCCAGCAAGGGTGCTAGCTTCAACACGACCAATCACTTGGGAAACTGACGCATTTATATACTTGAGAAGAAGCAAAGACAAAGATAAAGTTCGCTGGAACATGCCAACGAAATATTTGGCACATGATAATCACTAATCAACTTGTCAAAGGAATATTCATCATTGGTGGTGGTGAAGTTGCCCACCCATCATTGTAACCCCAACACCAACTCGAGTCAGGTCACCATCTTATCATAATAAGATTAGATACGAGCTTTGTTACCAGTATGTAGTCAATATGGTCGTGGAACTTCAGTAACAATGACGATGAGATTGACATAACTGTGATCTTCAAAGACTTGTCAAGTCTTGATTCATTCAATCAATCAATGAATTCTTTTTCGGAAATGAAACAACAATTATGTGATACCCCCCTCACACTTTCAACAACAACACAAACAGATAATAATAGAATGAATGAGTTGTTTAGGTCTGTTATAAACAACAGCTATCTGTTTGGACTGCTAAAGGAACACTTACACCTATCTTGTACTTGTATGGAGTGTCAACAGAGGACAACAACAAAGCAACATACATCCGATCAAAGCCATACAAGCAATGGGTAACATTGGAGGACATCTGTAAGAATGATCATCAATCATTGCTCTACTATAAACTACATCAACAACCTGACAATACATCAATTCAAATGAGAGGCTACATTGATGTTGTTACAGTGTGTCAATTGTGACTGATGATACCATCTTCTCATACCTTTATTCCCGATGGCAACATATGTTCATCTGTCCCACGCTACTTATGCATGCTGTAACTGGTGACAACTCTAATGCCTTGCGTATCCTCATCGCTCAGACCACACCCGTCACACTTCCCGTATCCATCAAGACGCTCAATCTATGGGCCAAGAATCACAACAACAGTAACATGGATCAAGGCGTGTGGCGTGAGATCATGGCTGGTCTTCTCGATCTCCGCTGCACTACAGAGCACTTATCGAGAAAGTTTGACCATGATGTCGAAGAGAATCAGAGCTCATTGTTATTGATTGAGGAGGTCGTTGCTCATTCCAGAGATGCGACTCTCTGGAGCAAATTTCAACAACTGCGCAAGGTGCTCGATGAACCAATGGTCATGGTGTTTGAAGAGTTTGATCGCATCAGCTTGAAAGACGGTGCATTGCAGTCGGACGACCCAACCAAGGCCATGGAGGACCTGGAACACCACCTTGACTATCAAGTCATGTGGTCCACCGACCTTCACTCATTCATCGAGAGCACTGTTACACTGGCAAGGCGCGCTGGTTTGGATGTTGATGCTATGATGGACAAGGTCTCGCGAGTTATCGATGCTCTTTCGCCTGCACCAGACTCACAAAGCAGGAAGGAAATCATTGATACCTTGTTGATGGCTGAGATCATTACACATCAAATCTCGCTTCTAGAAGATATGGATGAAGTCCAACAGGTTATGTACGGTGACTTTATGTACGTCACTGAACACATTGTACAGTTGAATCGATTGGATCTCATTGAATACTTCATGTACGAGATTGGCAATGGCACCAGCGAGCAGTTCTTGGCAATTGCCAAGCATGGCTCACTCGAGATGGTTGTCGCAGCAACAAAATGCGTCCATACAACACCCATCGCCAACTGGAGATCGGCACTCACGAATGGACTTGATGAAGCAGTACGCAGGGATGATAAAGAGAGTGATGACATTGTCCGTCACCTTGCTGCCCTTGTCAGTGTGGACAGTTTGGAGGACGAGGAAGACATCATTGTTGCCTCATCCTTTGACAAACTTCTGGCCCTCAGCAAGGTACTTGATCAAGTCAAGCCGGCTGTGATAAACCTTGAGCAGTATAAACAACTCTGTTCTTTGGACCCTAGCGGCACCATTCATTCCAAACGATTCATCCAAGAATCACTTGACACAGCAATCCGACTGGGCGACATCCCACTAATCGATCACCTGATCGGCCTCGTTTCAAAAGAGAAGAAAACGAGTCATGTCCGTTTGGTTGGCATGGCATGGCAATGTGGACAATTGGGGGTTGCCAACAAACTGCTCAACAATCCAACATCTCGTGCATCACTGCTGGTGGATCTTCGAAATCCATACTGGATCGATATGAACGAGAGTTGTCCAGTTAGCATATTCATGGATGGCCTGTTCACTCACAATGATGATGACCAGATCAGGCAAATGGCCAAGTCAATATAAAGAATGATTACAGGAATGTATTCGAATGGTTCATACTCGCCGCCATCAAGCATCAGCGTGTGAGTGTATTCAAGACCATCTTTAAAGACAATGTCAAAGACCCGAGCACACTCTATCCATTCGGCGGATGTGTTGACTATGCCATCTTCCACAACAACATCCCCATCCTCCAGTTCATACTTGAACACAGTCCAGCTATAATCGAGGATCGACCGATGTTTGGCCGAGAGATCATACGAAAGGGTGGCAACAAGGAGACACTTCAATGGTTCATTGGCACCAAAGATGACAATGAGATCCTGAAACATCTGACCACTCATCAGAAACGAGTGAATCCATATGAAGACAACTCAGATGCTGAGGACTACGAGGATGAGAATGAATTTCCTGGGGAAGATGAAGATGAATCAAATGATGACTTTACACCTATAAGATGGTACCTCCATCGAATTGGCTACATACTCTCTGATGGATTGGATCATAAACTCTTTATTTGGGATTAATCTAATGTTCATTAGGTACAATAAAGCACATGCAGCAGTTGTCGTGGCGATAATTCATAGGAGACACTGATGATATCATCATTATTCCAATCAATCTGGGTGAACCTTGAATAAATAATATCTTCATTTTTCGATCCAAGAATAAAACTACAAAATGATCAAATCCTTGAAAATACAAGATCTTTGGGATGACTTGTCATTGATCCAGGACCAATATAAATGGATTGATTGGTACCAATCAATCAATCAATTAAATAATAAAACAAACAAACAAACAAATATTATAATATTATAATGGCAATATTTAAGATTGTAAAAGCTGATGGAGCCGAGCGTAAGGTGTCTGGATACCAATATGTTCCACCACCTCCAGGCACAAAGCAGTTTGTTAGTACCAAGCTTGGTAGTGCTGCCTTGCCACCATCGGTTGATCTTCGTCCTCATATGACCACCGTCGAGAACCAAGAGGCAACCAGCAGTTGTGTAGCCAATGCCGTGGCAGGCGCCTACGAATACCTGGTCAAGCGCTACCACAACAACGACTCCTACGACGTCAGCCGTCTCTTCATCTACTACAACGCTCGTGAGCTTGCCGGAGAGACCGAGATCAAGGACGAAGGCACATTCATCCGCCATGCCATCGAGGGTTTGAAGCAGTATGGCGCGCCATCCGAGACCACATGGCCATTCGACGTGAAGAGGGTCAATGACGTGCCCGACCAAAAGTCCTATGACGAGGCCGCCCTGTTCTTGATCGAGGAGAATGAGTTGGTGCCCACCGAGTTGGACGCCTGGAAGAAGTGTCTGGCCGAGGGCAACCCCATCATCTTTGCCATGCGTCTCTACAACTCGTTTGACTCGCATCGCAAGGCTGGCCTCGTGCCAATCCCATCGCCCGCCGAAGAGTCGCGCGGCTCCCACGGTGCCCACGCCATGCTCTGCGTCGGTTACAATGACAAGGACCAAGTGTTCATTATCCGTAACTCTTGGGGCTCGACCTGGGGTGACAAGGTAAGTGTTCTGGACTCCACATTCATTCAATCGCTCACCTAACTCACATCGATCGATCAATCTATCATCGCTAGGGCTACTGCTACATCCCCTACAGATACCTGATCGATGCCAAACATAATCATGGTGATAGCTGGATCATCAAGAGACTTGAAGTGTTGGAGCTTGACGAGGAGGCATGGGGCGACAATGTGTCTATAATGGAGCATGTCGAGAATGAGCTGTCCAACATGAGCGACGAGGAGTACGCCGAGTTTATGGATGCGATGGGCGACTCACCCTTTGAGTACCGTCTCGCTCGTCTGTTCCTGCACGCTGCATCGGCCGACAACGAGTTGACTGACGCCGAGTTGGATGGCATCACTGACTATCTGCAGCAGGTGCTCGACAACCTGTGCATCAAGATGGGTGCGGGACGTCTGCTGAACCGCTGTCTACGTGACTTCCAGCGAGAGTCCGACGCCGATGTCGAGGCATTCCTCCAAGAGACCATCGATCTGTTTGCCAACAACCTCTCCAAGCCCACCCTGGGCGGTCTGCTCGCCAAGCTCGAGGAGGTCGTCAGTGGCGATGACCTGGCCGCCGAAGAAGCCGACTTTATCGACATGTTGGTGGAGCAGTGGCAGATTGATGCCTAAGTGTGTACAGAACATAAAAGAATATGTGTATGTTATTGATCCTGGAAAGGTTCCGTTGATTGAATGATCATGACCGTGATGTGCTCGGCGCTCCATCACGAGTGTGAATGCGACGTTGTCGATTGAAGTATTGTTGAACGCAGATTGATTGCATGTTGAATGGTTCGTCGGGCTGTTCATTGCACCAGGCCATAAAGAACCAGAGCTTTTGTGTTGCGAAGCGGATACTCTGTTTGAATGATTGATCGACATCATCAGTGGCACGCGCGCCAAGACCATGATCGATGGACGACAGATGCCTGTGGAGATGGGACAGCGCAGCCAGCACTCTGCCCCTGTGCTTCAACAACTGCGAGACATCCTCGAGTATGAACATTGAGAAGTAGACATCGTCGGTGGCCACGTCAAGATGTTTGAATGAATGAGTGTTGGCAAGCACTCGCGAGAGCACTGTGTCCAAACTGTCCATTGGTGGTGCCTTGACGCTGGTCCTCCGCAGCACAGTCGAGAGCTCGAGTATGACATTGCACTCATCGATCATTGTCTCGAGCTCATCACTCAGTCCCGAGTCATTGGCATTGGGCTTGAACGAGGCCGAGCCCCACTCTCCATTGAACCGACGCATTGCAAAGCAGTAGCAATAGATGATATCGACCAGGTGATGATAGAGCATTGGTGATGGTGTGCCTGGGAATATTGTACGCAGTGCGGGGATGGTTGATGTGGTGGGGATCGTCGAGTTCGTGGAAGTAGTCGTTGCGTCCAACTCTTGTATCTTTGGCGTTGTGATTGATTGAGTCCACCAAGGTGTCCACTGCTCCAACTTGTCAGCGATAGTACCGTCAATGATTGATTGACGGAACTCCTTAATCTCATCCTCAGTCAGCAATGATAACAACTGCTCCTCAGTCATCTCATCCAACTTTAACGATGATATATCGACAAGCTCATCATCTCCATCTTCATCATCGTCATCTTCGTCGTCTTCAAAGTCATCATTGTCATCACGTGTGAGTCTATCAAATGCTTCATCCTCGCGTTCATATATATGTTTCATTCGTTTGAGTAATGCCAATGAATCCTTTGGATCGACCTTGTTCATTGTGCGTAGACCATCCTGTAGTTGTTGCTCATAGAACTGTGTAGTACATCTTGCATTATGTTGTTTGAAACACTCTGATGAGCAGTACCCAATGAAACATCTTGGACAACTATATAAAGAGAACTGCTTTGAACATCTATGTTATGTTTGGTTGGATTAGTATTTGATTGAGTTGATTGATTGAATGAATGAGACTTACATTGAGCATACTTGAGATGTTTTGTTGACCTTGTCTTGTTGGTCGGACCCGACTACCTCCTCATTGTTGGATATTGATGATGTTGTAACATCATCATCCAATATCTTTATCTGTATACTCTTTTTATTTGTTACCGACGATGATGAAGTTGATGTCGTTCGTCTTTGTCGTTCATTACCAACTATTAACAAACTGTTTGTTGATAATACATCATCATTATTATTATCACCAACATCCAATCGCTCACTATGTTGTATAATTCTACTCATATATATATTATTTATAACAACTATCAATCAATCAATCAATCAATATGCATTGTTCATGCCAATGAACCGAGTTTTCAACATTGAGATCACAGAACCAGTAAAAATCTGGTTGTTGACTTTCAATCAATGGTCAACCATACGCCACTATTGACGTTGACATCAATCTTAAATCTTAAAGTCAAGATGTCGTATTGAATACCTTGTGTCAATAATAGTTGACACTTGTCGCACTTCCCATCTTCTTTGTTGTTGCCTGAGAAAGTTGTGTAATGTCGAATACGAAGAAGTTAACTATTCATTCAAAAAGCTGGTGTTTGGCGGGAAGTGCTGGAGAAAATTTGGAATTCGAAGAAATAACGATTTAATGTCTACAATTGTCTCCAAATCACTTCTTTGGGAGATGAGATGGAGTTGATTGACACATCATATTACATTATTATTATTATTATTATTATCAATAAATAGGACAAGACACAGAGCATAGCATATACATTCAATCAATATATTAATATATTTATATACCAACAACAGCAGACATGTCTTTCGATCAGTCCACACAGGAACTGGACAATTCCATTTGTTTATTACAACAACGATGTGCTGGCAGTGCACTGGCGGCAACATGTGTTTGTGTCGCTTGTAATGCAAACAATCATGCAACACCACAATCCAGTAGTAATAGCTCAGGCAGCAGCACTCAACCAATAGCACCATCCACAATTGCCAGAGGCAAGAAACGTCCATCTTCCTCATACTCAAACATTGGCGGCGGCAGTGGCAGTAGTAGTAGTAGTAGCAATAGTAGTAGTAGCAGTACAACCAATACCAATATCAACATTATCAATATCAATAGTAGTATAAACATAGAGACGACGACTGGATCGAATCCAGATTCGTTCACATGCCCAAGGTGGGCTTCGGGCGCAGTGCCATCGCGCAATGACCATCTGATGTTCTTTAAGGGCGGCGACAAACATTCGACATTTACAATCCCGCTCGACGAGCTCAAGTACATCCTACTGGGACGCTCCTCCACAGGTAGGCTTTTAAAATTACAAACATACAACAACAACGATGACGAAACGAGACGACGCGTCCAACAACGCTCCCACTCCGAGTTGCCCCATCGCGTACCACCGCCGTTTGCCGCAATTCCTGCTGCTCCGACGACCACGACGAAACGGATAACAAAGATGACGCGGTGATGGATCGATCGATGTCAATGTCCCTCATCTACAAACGATGAACAACTCACTGATTCAACTCTTCCCTCATCCACCCAACATCCTCTCATTCAATCACAATCGATCAAGTATGCGACTATGTTCTTACTCATCCAACGGTATCAAGGAAGCATGCATTGTTTGCACATGACGCGGAGGGTGTCCTCCAGATAATGGACTTGAACTCATCACATGGCACCTTTGTGGATCAGGTGCGCATTCCAGCCGATCGTCCCATCCCACTCAAGAATGGTCAGAAGATATACTTTGGCGGTGACCAATCCTACATGGTAGTATGTAGGAACATGTACAAGTATGTGGCCGAAGCACTGTTACTCAAGAAGCAAGACCTCATCATGAAGAGGAACAACAACAACAACTCCATCAACAACAATAACAACAACACCGAATCAACATCAACATCATCAACTTCATCTTCATCTTCATCATCACCTCCCGACATTATAATATGCACCGACAACAACAACAACACCGACAATAACAATACAAGTAGCGACAATGAACAAAACCGATCAATTGAACTCGAGGAGGAAGACCTCCGAGATGAAATCACCCGATTCTACAGTCACATCAACCGAACGTTATCATTTGAGCATTCACCAGAGATCGACTCGATCCAGTCCACTATCAAGCAGTTGACGCCCACCAGCAGTCCGTCCAAGAACCACCAGCAGACTGGCAGCAAACGCAAGAGTGCCTGTCGCGACACCCACGACAAGTCCGTGCGCTTCAGCAGCTTGGTCTCCAAGTTTGTCTACACCCTGGAGCAGCCCGTCCAGAACCAGTTCCCAACCATCCACTCCATCGACCTCCTCAACGACGAGGAGCAGTCGCAGCAATCTGCCTCGCCACCCGGCCAGCCTTTGCACCAGCAGCTGGCGACCAATGGTCAATGTCCTATCGACGTTGATGTTGATGGCACCGAGTTCTATTCCGAGGACTTCCGCGTGGTCCGCCGGGCACCACCATCCTCACCATCGTCCCGCCTGCGACCCTCTACGTCAATGTCCCTGTCGTCCTCGCCCAAACCTTTGCGCTTCAACACATCTCCTTTGCCTCCTCTTCAATTCCAACACACAGCACCAGCACCAATGACTACCACCAACACCACTGCCGCCAGTCCGTCAATCAGTCACCATATTAGCCGCGGCAGCTCCTCAATTTCAATTCCAATCACAATCCCAATCCCATTACCAATTCACCAGCTCACCTCTTCGTTTGAGTTTGAGTCATCTTCCATCGATACAACCGAATGCGACAAGATTTGTACATAAACAATTATCACACAGCGTCCAACCCTTTGGATGGTACCCTTCCCTTGCACACCCAACCGTCCATCTCTCAATCTAATTAATCTAATCTCCACCGCCACGCCACCCATCTGGTGTCCAGTCCACACAGGTCGCCTCTGATCCTTGCAGCATTACGTTCCACCTTCGCTTGGTCGTCAGCCTCTTTGTCCTCATTGTGTTCCAGCCAACCACTACACATTCGTGACATCAAGCTGCGTCCATCCATCTGTCCATCCATCATGTAAATGCGTATGTGCTGGATACTTAAAATGATCGTGGATTGATTATTAACGTGCGCCCATGCCCAAATCAATCCTATTATTAGGATCGTATTCATATAACACACACAATGTTCTCTAGGTTGTTTGGCAGGATGGCAAAGAAAGACGGCGATCACGAAAAAACCTGTGTGTAACATTGGCCAAAATTTTTGATCAATCGATCTCGATTGATTGTTTGCGAATGTGCTGTTTTCCCCCCATTCGGTGGGTGGGACCACCTTTTTTTTCATTTCATTTCATTTCAACACTCTAATTAGTCTGGATGGGCGAGAGTGAGCGGATTGTGATCGTGAGTGATGGATGGATTGATGGATGACTGACTAAGTGTGTGTTTGTGTGTATGTAGGGTGTGTGATAGTATGTGATTAAACAAAAATGGTGATCAAGGGGCTGTTTGATCATATTCCAAACACACTCAGTCAGTGAGCTAAGCTTGATGTTTGGTGAGTGAGTGAGAGTAAGGAGTGAGACAAACAAATCAAACGTACACACACAGACAAACACACAGAGAGACAAAGAGATACAACACAGACATACACAATCGACCATCAATCAAACAAACACACACACCACACTGTCTTGTCTGTCTGTTTGTTTGTTTTGTCGGTCATAGCCTAAACAACCGGCCACAACACCAACACCCCAACAATCATCATCCAGTCAGTCCAACATCATCAACAACCAGTCAAGTCTATCAATCAATCCAATATTGGGTGGTGCATGTTTTAAAATTATTATTATTATTTCTTAATATATTCATTCTTATTATCTTGAGATATATAGATATATATTTAAATATATCATTTGTACAATTACTTAAAGGTATGTGTTGGTTATTATGTTAATCAAACAACAATCAAATAAGGGAATATAGAGAAAGGGGATTGGACCTTGTTCGCGATTCGCAAAGTCCCAAGTTGCGCCCCCTCGCGACAACCACACAGCTGCGCGCATGTTTCTTTCAAACAAACAACTAACCACTCAATCACTCCATGGAAACAGATTGGCGCGCGCGACTCCCCGCACCACTACCATTAGCACACACTCACTCACTCAATCAATCAATCAACTGACCAACTCTCTACTCATTAGAGAGCAACAACAGTGACACACTACTACTACTACTATATTCTAAATATACACAACATATACCTACTACAACTACATTTCACAGAACAATAATTATAGATGTCGACTGCATTGACGGCGGCTAATGCCGGCCAGATATTCGGTGTCGACTTGGAGACATTGGTACTGGCACAAGCGGGCCGCAAACCAAATGCATCTCCTCCCGCAGATTCAAAACTCCTGGGTCTGACTCATTGCACTGCCCAAGAGATACCGTTCGTCGTGCTCGAGACAGTCTCGTGGCTCGAGGAACACAACGCCTTCAACGAGGAGGGCATCTTTCGCATTCCAGGCAATGGACAATTGGTGCAGGATATCAAGCGCGCCTACAACGAGGGTCGCGCTGACCTCTCCAAATTCGGCATGGCCGAGATACACACTATCGCCGGTGTGCTCAAGCTCTACCTTCGCGAGTTGCCTGAGCCCCTATTCATCTGGCGCTACTACTCTACCTTTCTTAAAGTCATAAGTATGTTTGTTGTTGTCCTCGCGAGCTTGACATCTTTGATCATCTCACTAATTCACCTTACTCACCTCAATCAAACTCGCGATCGATCGATCAATCAACCAAACAGAGAATCAAGATGCACTTCAGAGGATGTTACATTTGAGGATGCTGATATATGGTTTGCCAAAGCCTAACCGCGACTTGGTGATATATCTGATGAACTTCCTTCACCAGATTGCTTTGTGTGCAAAGGTCAACAAGATGACCTCGACCAACCTCGCCGTAGTATTTGCACCAAACGTCATCAGACATCAAAAGGAAAGCCTCAATCAGATCATGGAGGACTCGTCACATGTCAGCAGTGTCCTAAAGAACATGATCGAAGAGATCTTTTACATATCTAAAGTATGTACCATTTGTTCGATCGATCAATCAATCAATCAATCAGTCATCTGACCCCCATCTCACCCTTTGGAATCATTCCAATCAATCAATAATAGGCTACACATCACTTGTCAACATCTTTCAATGATGTACCAACTGCGATCATACCAAAGTCGCCAGGAGACAGGTCCCCGTTGTCGGGCTCAACTTCATCGGATGCGATTACCAACCAGGAGTTCTTGTATGCACGCGCTTTGTATCCTTATCAGTCGACGGGAGAGTGGTATCTGCCATTTGCCAAGGACGATATTGTTACACTGCTCGACATAAAGTCCGAGGAGGGCTGGATGAAGGGCGAGTTTAAGGGCCGCGTCGGATACTTCCCCGCGTCCTACGTCGAGATCGTGGCCGTGCCACAACCAAATACACCAGTCACGCTGGTGCCCCTGCCCGATCTGGACCAGCAGCAGGACTTGACGATCATCACGACCACAACGACTACACAGCAGACGACAACGACAACGACGACCACGACAACCATGACGATGATCTCGTCGGCCGTGCCACCAGCCTCGGCGTCACACTCTAGCAGCTCGTGCATCTCATCCAAGCCAGAGACGGCATCGGCTCCCGTCGCGATCACAGCCTCCAAGTCGGGCTCGTTCAGCAAGCCCACGCTGCCGCCACGCACCCATGGCGACTCGCCAGCGCTCTCCTCCACACCACCCAACAACACACTGCAAACACTCAAGAGCTCGGGCGAGCGCAATGCCTCATCGGCGTCGCTCACCAACTCACCCGACCTGTCCAAGGCCATGTCCACGACACCAAGGATTCCAATGAGCTCCAGCATGACAATGCCGCCACCCATGCTCACAACACCACCCGTCCTGAATGTGCCACCAGGAGCCGGCTCGTTCCAAAGCGGCCTCAACAAGAGCATGACGATCACCCCATCGTCCTCGGCATCGTCATCGTCGCGTTCTGGCTCGTTCAACCTCTCGAGCAGCGGATACGTGGGCGGCGCATCCAGCGCGGGCAATGCCTCGCCAGACCTTTCCAAACTGTCGCTGCATTCCAAGCCCCTGCTGCCATCGCGCATGCCCTCACTGTCGCCCCTGTCGCAAGCGCCCCTTTCTTCATCGTCGGGCTCCAACTCAAAGTCGGGCTCGTTCATCGACCTGCCCCCTCCACCACCCCTTTCACTGCCAGGCGACAACGTCCCTCTGCCTCCACCAATACAGAATGCGACACCAATCAAGGCGGCGCCACCCATCGACATCAACCACTTCCCTCCACCCCCGTTCTCGCCGTGCTCACCCGACAACCCGGTTGTCGACGCCGCTGTCACGGCCAACTTCAAGAAAATGACCGAGATACCTCCCCCACCTGTATTTATTGAAAGCCTGAGCCTGCCGCTGCCGCCCCCACCACTGGTGGATGCAGCTGCCGCCATCACAGGCCGCGACTCGCCATCTCTCGAGGTGGTGTTGAACAGCAACATCCCACTGCCACCCCCACCCCTCAACCTGGAGAACTACCGCAGTCCCGTGATGGACGCAGGTAAGCTGGCCGAGATGGCCAAGAAGCGCCGCGAGCGTGCCGAGGAGATGCTGACGACGGAGCGAACATACGTCAAGCAGCTGACGACTATCTACGACCTCTTCATCGAGCCGTCCAAGAAAACCAAGTCCTTCTCGCTGTCCGAGGAGATGCTCAACACGTTCAGCTGTATCGAGGTGATCCTGTACGCGCACAAGACCAACATCCTCAAGGCGCTGGAGGAGCGCATGCCCGTGTGGGACCAGCGTCCAATGATGGGCGACATCTTCTGCAACAACACATCGTTCATCAAGCTTTACAAGCATTATGTCAACAACTACGACAAGTCGATCGTGTCGCTCAAGCAGTGCAAGGAGAAGAGCAGCGAGTTCCGCAACTTTGTCAAGACGCTGGACTACAGCGAGCAGCTGTCTGGCCTCAACGTGGAGTCATTCCTGATCCTGCCCGTGCAGAGAATCCCACGTTACGTCCTGCTGCTGCAGGACCTGCTCAAGTACACTGGCAACGACCACGAGGACTTTGACCAGCTGTGCGACGCGCTCGGCACCATCAAGGACTTTGCCGAGACCATAAACTACAAGAAGAGCGAGGAGGACAACTTCACGCGCATTCAGCAGATCCAGGACTCGATCAAGAACCTGCCGCCACACGCGCTCGAGCGCCGCAAGCGACTGGTGTGCGAGGGTCCGCTCAACACCAAGAAGGACAAGTTCCATCTGTTCGTCTTCACCGACGCCATCATTCTGACCAAGCCCAGCAAGGACAAGAAGAAGTTCAAGCAGCTGATCAATCTGCAGATTGCCTCGCTCAACACCACCGACGAGCAGGGCGTCATCAAGATCATCAGTCAGGAGGGCACATTCAAGTTCATCTGCGAGAATATCAAGGAGCGCGAGGCCTGGATCAAGGTGTTCAAGGACACGATCGAGGTGGCCCGTCAGGAGATGATCCAATCGGCGTTTGGCGAGACGTCCATGACAAGCGAGGGCAGCAAGGGATTCAACCGTATCCAGGACGAGAAGAACGCGCAGAAGAAGAAGCATTTGGCCGAGGAGATGCTGTCGTCTGAGGGCGAGTATGTCGACCAGCTCAACTACATCCAGAACATATTCTTGGGACCAATCCGCAAGTCACTGGACACATCCTACCCCCTGGTCAGCTACTCGGAGGGTCTGGACATCTGCTCCAACTTTGAGACGCTGCTGACGTGCCACAAGACGTTCCAGGGCGTGCTCAAGGAGCGCGTCGACAGCTGGGACAGCAAGCCCACGCTGTCCGACCTGTTCCTGGAGAAGGGCGGCTTCCTGAAACTGTATAATTACTATGTACAACATCACTACTCGTCGCTGCAGACGCTGGAGCAGTGCATCGAGAAGAACCCGTTGTTTGCCATCCATCTGCGCAACATCGAGTCCAACGAGAAGGCCGAGCTCAAGCATCTGCTGGCGGAGCCCCTGCGCAGAATATCCAGATACTATCTCATCCTGCAGGAGGTGCTGCAGCACACGCGTCCCAAGCAGGACGACCACGAGAACCTGTCCAAGGTGGTGGCCAACCTCAAGGAGCAGAACGACAAGTTCAACATCGCTTCGATGCTCACCGCCGGCAATGTCGAGGTGGGCTCGAGGAGTCCCCACAAGTCCAAGTCACTGCGAGTCAAACAGCCCAAGGGACTATCCAAGGATACCAAGATCAACAGCAGCGGATACTTTGCTGTCTAATGCGTGCACTTTGCTGATGTCCAGCATGCCAGATTWATTATTATTAATAAAATTATGATTGGTCACATGATCATTCAATCAAACACTCACTCACGATCAATCACACACACATGATGGATACACTCACAAGCTTGACCATCATTAGGAACATCTCAAACTACTTGGATGAAGTTGATATACTATGTTTAGCATTGAGTTGCTGGAAGTACTTCAATGCCCTCACGAACAAGATACCAAGACTAGATTGGCTACACGAATGTCCTTCATCAGACCTGTCACTACTTCCCCAGCCACTCCAATCTCTCTCGCAAGCATGTGATATGAGGAACGGACAACTGATCGGCCTAGTGATAGGTATGCACTTTGACAAGCCACTCCATTGTCTGGACTTACCCAACACGATCAAGTCTTTCAAATTTGGATACAAGTTCAACCAGACAATCTTGCCCTCAGAGCTACCCAACTCAATAACAGCACTCTGGTTCAGCGATGACTTTAATCAACCAATCGACCCTGGAACCATGCCAAACTCACTCACAATTCTCTCCTTAGGTTATAATTTTAACCAAGCATTACGACCTGACTCCTTGCCTCAATCTCTCTTAACCTTGTCGATTGGCTTTGCTTATGACACACCCCTTGTGTCTAGAGCACTCCCAAGTTCGCTGAAAACCCTTCATATGGGCTACTCATTCAATCAATCAATAGACCATGGTGTTCTCCCTGACTCGCTCACAACTCTGACTTTCTCTGACAGCTTCTCAAGGACAATCCGACCTGGTGTCTTGCCCAATTCAATAACTTATCTCGAGTTTGGATACAGATTCAATCAGGTGTTCGAGCCTGGCAATCTACCTCGATCACTCAAACAACTTATACTTTTCCCACGTGACAGTCCCAAAGGACAGTTTGGACCAGATGTTCTACCTCAATCTTTAACATCATTATCATTGTCATCTGAATCTGATTATGTGTTGGACACCCAGACTTTGCCACCCTCTCTCATTGACTTAAAACTGGGCATCGGTATCTCAGTGGCTGATGGAGCATTGCCATCCAGCATCACGGCATTGAGGTATATGAATGGACCGGAAGATATCCTGACATGTGAATTTCCAAAGTCTCTCCGGGTACTCGAGTTTGGAGGAAGGTTCAACAGGCTGTTGGTCAAGGGCGAGCTTCCGGATTCACTTACCACTCTGGACATGGGAGATTACTTTGATCAACCTCTGGCCAAGGGTATCCTCCCCATGGGCCTCATCAAACTGTGCATTGGCCCAGCTTTCAAACAGCCTCAGTCATCAGTGGAGATACCTCATACTCTACGATATTTTTCAACAAATTCAATCAATCAATGTCAATATCTGATGTGTGCATCACCTTGCAGTGTGGAGAGAGTACGAATAATGGATTGGATCAAGTATGTAGGCGGTCCTATTTTGTCGGATCTTCAGACAATCACTACACCTTTGGTATCGCTACACGCAAAGATTGTCGTTGATAGAGGTGTCAAGGCTTTCATCAAAATGCTCATGAGGAAAGCGCCAAACGTTGGTACCTTCTATATTCAAGACAAGTTACACCGAGTTAAGCACATACTCAGAAGGTTGGAAAGGAACAGAACATTGTGCATCACAACTCATAATGACGCCATCCTTCAGTACTCCCATGACCCTCCAAAGCGTCTCCTCTTTATCACAACCTAAAGTTAGACAATGACAATCCATCACTCTTTATTATGAATGAGTCACAGGTATAGTTGGACCGAGGTGGATTTATTATTCATATTTTTTTATTATTTATTTATATATCTTTATCTCTATATTAATTATTTTTATTTATGTATTTTAGTTAATCTTCTTTATCACTACGTACATACACAATGGTAACTAAAGTCTACATTCCCCTTTCAGCAACTATGAGACGCAGCTTGAGATATCATCAACCTTCAAACATCTCAGCCCTTCATTGTACAAACAAACAACGGCACCTCCCAAAACATCAACCAAATCAACTTCACCTTAGATCATTTACAACTTCTGGTAGCGACAATAGTAACACTACTATCGACCATATAGTTCCTCGGTTCCTCTATGGTGATGGCAACTTCAAGAGTGTGTTCCATACTCCAGGTTCATTCTATGTGGACAACAGCAACTATATTCGAGATATAGAGTCTTTGAGTAAGTCTATACTCTCTCTTCGTCCTAGTCGGTTTGGCAAGTCGCTGTTCCTCGACATGTTGCACCAATACTATGACATCAATAACAAAGACCAGTTTAACATGTTGTTTGGTAATCTGGATATTGGAAAGAACCCTACTGAGTTGAAGAACTCATTCATGGTGTTTCATCTTGACTTCTCCGGCTTGAAAACCAAATCCTTCCAAGAAAGTAGTGAAGAGTGGAGTGCCAGACATATACTTTGGTCTAACTCAACCATCACCAGAAATTCCAACAAGACTTCAACACCAAGATAAATGGCTCTATTGAACAATTCAAATTGGACTACAGTGATTGACTCAAAGTTCCCATCAATATCTCAGCCACCAACTGTCTTCAGAGTTTTGAGAGAGCTTGAGGAGATCTGTTACCGCATCACACGAACGACTCTACATCCTCATCGATGAGTACGATGTCAGCATCAACGACACCATTCGCAACAGTCCAGTCAACGCAAGAAATATGCCAAAACCCACCGCAACAAAGACGACCAAGATCGAGTGCACTTTCAAAGCATTCTTCAGCCGTGTTAAATCAGCGTGCAACAATTCAAACAGTCGAGTCTTCGTCACTGGTGTGACTCCCCTTGCCATGGCAGAGTGCACATCGGGATGGGACGACATGGTAACAGACCTCACTCATGAACCAAAGTTCTCTGGTCTCTATGGCTTCACCCAACAAAGATGTAAAAGAGGGACTACAACTTATTACTCCGCCTCTAGATAAACAGACTCAGGTGGAAATATTCAAACACTTTAAGGAAGAGAACAATGGATATCGATTAAGCCAGGACCAAGTGGATGGCCTATACAACCCAGCAAGGGTCTTGTACACACTGCGACGTCTTCAGATGTATCGCAATGATAAGAAGTTTTACCAGAATCCAATTGAGCTCCTTACCGATTTACCTGATCCCAACACCATGCCAGCTTAATCCACACTAGACTTGGTGACCAAATATCCCCTTGGTCGAGAGATTGTTAATCAGGTTCTCATCTCAAACGAAGGTATCCAATGTGATGGAGCACCGATGGGTAGGTTCACTCTCACAATGCCAACAATTATATAAAGATCGAAGGCTGTTGGTCTCGCTCATGTACTACACTGGTGCTCTAACCCACCTTTCAGTTGGAACCCATCTGTGTATCCCCAATTTGTTGGCCAGGAAGGAATACCTCCAAAAGGTCAAGAACATCATAGACCGTCAATAAACGATGACCAACCATCGCATCACTCTTTATTATGCGCCTCATCAAATGAAACCAAATCCAGAGTCTAGCCAATCGAGCATCTGTAACAGCTTCTTCTTTAGCGTGTCAAAGTCACTGTAGTCGGGAAGATCAAGTTGGTAGCTGCACGTATGTGACGTGGGCAACTTCTCGCTCTTGGGAATGTGTATGATGGAGAGGGGACGCTCGAGTCCTTGCATGGGGATCACAACCATACCCGTCATGAAGCGCAGGAACAGGTGAAGCTCGTCCTGAGTCATCGCGTCGATAATGTCCAAGAAGTGGCGTGGCGTATCGCTTGTAGCCGGGAAGCCAATGAACTTGATGTGTCGCTTCAGCACATCGGCATCGACGATCGTGTTGCCACAGATGAGCAGTTGGAGCTCAGTTGGCGAGAAGAGTGCAAAGTGTGCGTTCAGGCTGTCGATCGACATGAATCCGCTTCTGAACGACTCCAACTGGTACTTCCTGCTGCCAATGAGTATGCGATTGATGTTCCTCTGGATAAAGTCCTCCTTGTTGAGGTCCGTGACGGCGATCTCCTCGCCGCCCTCCACCAGGCCTTCGAACGTCGTGCTGAGATACTGATCGATGTTCTCCAGCAACAACACCTTCTTGAAGCTCTGGCCCAGCTGTGGGTCGTACGCTTCGAGGTCCTGCAGGTTGGGATCGATGTTGAGCAGGTATTTGAAGAATGATGGTGGGAATGCGTCGGGGATTGGTTTGCCATCGATCACTGCCTTTAGGAACACCTTGCCCAGCGTCTTGTATACAGCCTGCTCAGTCTTCATGAATGCCCATAATGGTTCGTCCATGTCCAGTTGCGTGGCACTTGGTAGGTAGAACGGGGACTCGGTAGATCCCCTTGCCAGCAGCTTGTATCTGTTTGAGAATATACTCTTTGATCGATCGCCTCCATCAACGTCATGAGTTTCGTTATTGTTGTTGCTGCCGCTGTTGTTGTTGTTGCTGTTATCTACATCGTTGGACTTTCGATAGAGTATCTCACTGTCGTTGAAGAAGAGTGAGTACATCTCTGATGATAGTCCGCCATGATCCAGTCCTTTCTCGCCTTGGAAGTCGACCTCGAGGTGTGAGAACAACTTGATGCTCTCCATCTTCTTGAAGAATTGGAACACGTCGACAATCAATGATGAACGCTTGACGGACATCACCAGCGACTCGTTGGTCTCCTCGGACAGCATTGTAAGCGACGAGATGTGTGCTCGGAACGCGGCAATCTTCTCGCGGCTGTCAATGAGCGTACGTGATGAGAGCAGGTCCTCGACGAGTGACGTCACAAAGTAGGGATGGACAGCGATCTGATGTGCATTGGGGCGTTGCGATGGGTTCCTCTGGAGGATGGAGCCCAGCAGTGCGGTCAGTCGCTGGTCGGGGTGCTGAGGGATGGCCACGGACATTTCGCCAGGCATCAAGAATGGGTCGCGAGCGCGAGGGAAGTGTGCCTTGTATAGCATCACACCAAATGCCCAGATGTCGGTGGTGTACGAGCCCGTCGACTTGGACTCCTTCATCTCGGGCGCCAGGTACATCTCGGTACCACCCGCAAACAACGTGACGGACGAGCCGCCACCTCCGCCCGAAAGGTCCTTGGACAGGTCAAAGTCAGAGATGACGGGTGTGTCATCTTCGCGCACCAACACATTCTCCAACTTGAGATCACGATGAATAATACCATTTGAGTGCATGTATGCGATGCCTTGAATGATCAATTGGAATGCCTTTTGAAGCTCCCATGGTTTCCTGCCGTCTTGCGAGTCGCTCGTTGATCTTGTGCGACTACTGCTAGTCAGCCACTCATTCAGTGCGCCTCCCCTAACATACTCCATCTGAATGAATGCGTTCCTATCGTAGAACACTGACTGTATAGTCATGATGCACTTGTGATTCATCAGTTTCATCTGTTTGATTGGTAGTTGGGATGGCTCCAGGTTAGTCGTTGTCCTGTGCAATGGAGAAAGGGGATATGAGACATACCAGGGCCACTTGTCGCTCAAACATCTGTTTGCCAAGCTGGTCACCAATTCCAAACTCCTTGAGGACTACTTGTTGGTCGTCAAATGATGCCAAGTAGACTGAATGTGGATGTGTAGCCAGTGTCTTGATGATGGTATAATGATTGAACTTGCGTTGATTGTTCAATAATCCTGTATCCTTGACTCTGTTACGTGCGTATCCATGTTAGATGATGTCAATGAATGAATGAGTGGAGGGAGTGGAGTGGACTTACTTGTTTGATATCTTATCGTGTTGCTGTAGTTTGTACTTTAGCTCTGGTGAGTATCGCTCGGTGAGCAGGAGGATGGCGCTGTTGAGCTCCATCTGCTTGGAGGATAGACGCTGCTCGTCGCGTTTCAGCACCGTGAGATCTTGGTTGAGCGATTGCAGAGCGGACTGCTCGGTGCTGTCCTCCTCCAGCTCCAAAACCTCGATCTTCTTGCTAACGTTGATTATCTCTCGCTTGCAATTCCTGTGCTCCAGACGCACGGACTCGCGCTCCTCCACCATCTGTGTGCCCAGTGTGATCTGCTCCTGATGCAGCTTGACCTCGGCCTTGTGCGCTGTTTGCACGCCTATCACCGACTCACACTGCGCTACCTGGTACATTATGATCGAACTGTATCGCTTGGCACATCTGATTGCGTCGCTCATTGCTTGCTGCACCTTGCCAATGTGCGCGGAGAGCTTGTTCTCATCGACAGGCACGTCGTCGTCAGCGGCCAGTGTGGCGCACAGCATTGCAATGCCATCGGCTATTGTTTGTTTGAGTGTGGCACATTGATTGGTGATTTCGAGCATGCTTGATGTGCTGCCAGGCGTGATGCTTCCACGTCTCTCCTCCTCCGGCGCCAAGTTCTGAGTCAGCCCATGTTGTAGTTCCTCCTGTTGTTGAGGTGTCTGTGGTTGTAATCGTTGTATGATCGGACTGAGCAAGGCCAGCTTCTGATTCTTTTGAGCTCGGTACTCAGTCCAGTAGGCTAGCGATGTAGTCAACTCATCGAACATTGATTGCAAGACCTTGTTGCGTTGATCGATCAATCTGTCAAGTTGTTCTCCCTGATTGATCTGGCTGGTGCTAGGGACAGCAACAGCTGTCGATTGATCGTTGCTGGAGTTGATAGCGGTAGTTGTGGTGGCGGGGATGAGAGAGAGTCGTTTGATCTCCTTGGCCAACTCATCCAACTCGTTGGACAGACTCTCGATGTTTGAAAGGTTGATGCTGTCCTTGCTTCCACTTCGCTCACTGTTGTTGGCAATCGTCATTGTTGGAACGGCCATAGCTGTCCTCTTGGTCAAAATGATTGAAAGCAGATGCTTGGTATCGCACAAATTTGTTATCCAATGTACAAATGTGTCACGCCATTGATCATGATCATTGCCACTCGCGAGTCGTTGTTGTGTGGCCACTGCTGTGTCGGGCAGCACTGTAGAAGCGGAGGATTTGGCCTCGACCTCGACCACATCCACATCCACAACTGATGTTGGATGTGCTGATTGCTTCAAATCAACCTGTGTTTGTGTTTGTGTCGGTGTTTGTGTTTGGGTTTGCGCCTGCGTCGTATCCTCCACACCAACAGCTTCATTGTTGGGTGGTCGCTTGACTCCGATGATATAACTTGTGATCTCGCCTGCAGTGACATTGAGTGGGAGGTAGTCTTTGATGGGACATTGATGTGGAGAGAACTGATGCTGCTCATTGAGTGTACCAAGACGACCGCCATTGCCGCAGCCCCATGAATAGACGCGGCCAGTCTTGGACAGCGCTACATTGTGTTGGAAGCCACCCGACAACACGACGATGGCGTCATCCTTGGGTAGTTGGGTGATCTTGTGCGGTAGGTTGATGTTTCCCCCGTCGCTGTTGCCAATGCCCAGACAGCCATAGTCGCCCATGCCCCAGGCGTACACGCTGCCATCGACGCACTGCACGATTGAGTGATAGCCGCCCGCTGTGATGTAGGTCACGGTCTGATCGGTCATTGCCTGGACCTGCTTGGGTGACATCTGTTGTGTTTGAAAAGAGCCGTGTCCGAGCTGTCCGCTCTCGCCACGACCCCAGGTGAATAGCTGGCCACTCTTTGTGAGCGCCAGAGTGTGTCCTCCTCCCAGCGACACGCTGGTGATGAAGTGTCCATAGAGCGCGTCGACGCGCTTGGGTGCCAGGACATTTTCAGTGTCACCGTGGCCCAGGCGTCCATGGTCGCCTCTGCCCCAGGTATATAATGTGCCAGCACTATCAATGACGGCCGATCGATTGGCGCCTGCGTCGATTGTGATCAGTTTGGCGGCGGAAGCGGGCGGGTTGACCCGACCCGGATGAGCAGTGTGATCGCTATCTGTTCGCCGTCCAAGTTGGCCAAAGTCATTGTTGCCCCACGTGAGTAGGACGCCATCGTGCGTAAGGGCGACGGTACCCTTGCCTCCACAGCAAACCGCCTTAATCTTATATTGTCGTAATGAGTCGATTGGCATTGGATGTGCAAGTGAGTCCTCGTTGCCATGTCCTAGTCTGCCCGTCTGGCCATCGCCCCAAGTATATATCAGACCAGAGTTTGTTGTCAACGCCACATGTACAGCGCCCGCTGATACTGAGACGATTCGTTCGCCACTGTACAATTGTGTAAAGTCTATCTTTGGGTATTTCGGCTGTTTCTTGTTCCAATCATTGCCCCATATCTCTATTATATCTATACATCCATGGTCATCATAATCAACATTGATTGTAAGTCGTGTGTTTGTGCACTTGATGTCATCTTGATTGAGTGATTGAGTGATACCTACATTCCGATGATGGTAAAGTGTCGTCTATTACATCATCCTTGTTCGTATCTATATATTGTTGTTGTTGCTGTTGTTGTCGCTGCTCTGCTGATGTATTCAACGATTGTTGTTGTTGTGACGATGAGGTCAAAGGAGTCGATGTCTTTGATGTCGATGTTGTTGATGTTGTTGATGATGATGTTAAAGTTGAAGCGGTTGACTTTGTCTGTTGTTGCTGTTGCTGTTGCTGTTGCTGTGGCTGTTGCTGTGGTTGTGGTTGCTGATTCGTGGCTGCTGCTGCCGGTGTCTTCTTTGTCAATGACTTGAAGAATGACATAGTTTATCAACAACAAAAGAGAGAGAGTATATATGATCAAAGTGACTGTGAATGATTCTCTAGTGAATGATTGAATGAATGATTGTAAGTATGATTGAGTGAGGAGGTAAATAACCCTAACACCGTTTGAACAAGTTCACTCCCAACCCCACTAAACCACACAAGTCGACTTGCATCTGATTTACAACTCTAACCTGACCTGGGAACTTTGAATCACGTACTACACTAAATTATCCTAGACCTTCAGGAAGCAAAGACCTTGACATGTAAAAATTATAATAACTATTATTACTAAGGCATTAATGTCATTCAAATAGATAATGGTTGTTGTTGTTATTATTTGTTTGTTTAAATCATTCGAGTCAACCCATAAACACAACAATGTGATATTGTTTTCATAAGTTGACCAGTTTACTTGCATTTAAACAAACTGTCAGGATACTTTGAGCATGCTCAAGGTTCTTTGGCATTTTAAAGTCTAATGGTCTTCGAAAGGAGACGAACAAACTCGAGATATCGGAGTAGGTTGGTCGATTCCATGTGTATCTTCAACTTCACTCCCCCTTTTCCCCAATCCAAACAAATAACAAACAACCATTCAATCAAACAAACATAACATGTAATAAGATACCAAGCAGCAGCAAACATGCTTTATTCATATTTATTCATCTATCTGTTCTCTACTAATACATCGAAAGGTGCAGGTTCTAATGTGATACCAACAGCTATTACATTGTAATTGTTGTGTTAGTTAACTTGTGTTCAAGGTTGAAGAGATGTGAGAGAGGGAGTAACTTACTTCCAGCATCATCGAGTAGTTCATCAGATGGTCGAACAAACTTGAATCTCTTGAAGAGGTTGGAGACGAGTAGGAACACTTCGGTCTCTGCAAAGTTGAATCCTACGCACTTCCTTGGACCCTCACCAAACACCATCGTCCTACTATCATCCTTAATGAAGCGGAATGCATCAAACTTTGTAGGTTCCTCCCATAGCTTCTCAGACATTGACGCAGAATAGATGTTGATCAAGATTTGTGACTATGATTGATTGATTGATTGATTGAGTAAGTATGAATGATTGAATGATCGAGAGAGTGAATGAACGAGACGAGATAACTTACACCTTTGGGAATGAAGTATCCACCAACGGTACAATCTTCGGTTGACTTGTGTGGTAGGGCGAGGGGCGCGACGGGACGGTAACGCCATGCTTCCTTGATAGTGCTGTTGAGGATGGGCAAGAGTGGCTTGTGAACACTGCTGATGTACTTCTCATCACTGTCGATACAGGTCAACAACTCCTTATTCAACAACTCTTGCTCCACTGGATGATTGGCCATCAATAGAACCAACCATTCGATTGTAGTCGCACCAGTGTCCGTACCACCAACCAAAATGTCCAGACATATCCTATGGATACTACTATAGTCCAACACATTGTCTGTTACTTGGTCCTTCTCATACTCGATGATCAACTGGTCCATAAAGTCTCTTGGGCTGCAAGTATAAGGGTATGTGTTAGCATGTGATTGATTGACGAACACACTCATGGAAAGGACATGGACTTACTTGCTGCGATCAATGGTATCAAGATGCTCCTTTACATACTTCTTGGCAAACTCGAGGATGTCATGGACAACCAACTCCAAGTCATCAAACTAAACATTGATCACATGATGATGTTAGAATACATTTTGGAACCATTCCATAGTCGACAATCTAATTCAATCTATCAATCATACCTTATTCAGACTGTTGAATGGTCTGAGGAACTTGATGTAGTCACCTGGATTACCTGCAGACATGAGGTTGGCAAGTCTCTGGCTGTCTGAGATCATCTTTGTGAACTCTGGATCCAGCTCCTTTGGTTTGAATGATATCTCCTTTCCAAACAAAAAGGTCATCATCACACTGAACGAGATTGTTCTAAGGTATGGACGAATGTAGAACTTTGATTGATTGATTGATCAATAACAGACGACATCAACAACAAGCCTGTGATGCTACTTACTGGCTTACCAGCCTTGATATCATCTTGGATGGCCTCACACATCTTTTCAAACTGACCCAAGATCAAGGTCTCCATTTGTCTGGTCTTGGCCTTGGTCAATGCCTTGCTGACTATGCCACGCAACTTGGTCCAATGGGCACCGTTGGTAAAGGCGACATTGTTCTCACCGCCAACGATGTGAGTGGTCAAATTTGTTGGTCTATCGTTAAAGAGTGAACCCTGATTGATAAAGGCCTCCTTGATCACATCAGGCTCACACAAGACCACAGTATAGACACTGCCCATCCAGATATGGAACACCTTTCCAAACTTCTGGTACAACCTGAACAGACCAATCTGTGGACGGCCATCAGCAATCAAATGCAAGTTGCCAATGATTGGCCAAGCGAATGGTCCTGGTGGAGCATTGCCTCCCTTTTTCCTCAAAGTATAGGACTGTTTGTTTGATTGTTTGATCGATCGAGCGAGTGTGAGTTAGTGAGTGAGTGAGTTAGTGAGTGATTGTGGCCAGGTGGAAGTTTGATTGATGTGGACTTACATAATGGAATAGGACAATGATCAATAAACTAAGTAATAGGGATACAATAAACATATTTGTTTGTTATAATAATAATAATAATAATAAATAATAATAATGAATAATAATAATAATGAAGGAATGATCAACGAAGGAAGGTACCTGATGGAAATACCATTGATGATTTATGAGTGATGGGAGATGGGATAGATAATGGATGGACCATGTGACCTGACCAAACCAGACCTGACCTGATCATCAAAAACTAACAAACATCTTGATTGATCATTGCCAAGAGTCTCTCTCCGACCCATCATCACTCCGACCCCCCTGTAAGGCCATAGCGGTGGTACTAAAGTAGGGTAACTAACCAAGTACCAACTTAGGTGAGAGGTGCGCGTGTGGTTATGATAGGAGGTGGCAACAACAATAACATGATCGCTTGCTCAAAGGACGGGTGGTGGGCGTCCACTACTTTGGATTGGTCCATGTCACGGATAGGTCCTTAAAAGTAAGTAAGTAAGAATGAATGAGCTACATAAATAAGTAAGTATGTTATGTGCGTGAGTTAGTGAGTGAGTAGCAATGGAGTCGACAGCTAACCACTCCTCTGGCCACAAGAAATACAATACATTACATAATGGGTAAGACGAGTTCAGGTAATGGGGAGCAATAGAGAATGATGAGCTCATGATTCAAGCAAGATAAATCGCAACGCGTGAAGTTGGTGTGGTGGTCGCGGGCATGAGGTCTCTTGACCAATTTACAATTTGATTGATTGATGGACGTTAGCAGCGACGTCTCGCCAATCATCAGCTGTAGTCAAATGTGTGTTTGGGCTTGTTGGCCGTAAGAGAGATAGCGCGTGAATGAGTGGATGAGGTAGTGAGTGGCAGCAGTATCCAATCTGATTGAGCGGAGAGTTGGTAGTCAGTCATAATAATAAGATTGGACTTGTTGTGAGCAATGACCAAACATTTATGTTGTTGGTTGTATGTGTGTGTGCACGTGCTTGATTGATTGATTGATTGATTGATGGGCGGTGTCGCCCCAACTTCCACAACACACTTGGGTGAGCGTGTGTGTGATTGGAATGAGAGATGGAGCGGATTGGCAATGAATTGAAAGCATGAATGAATGAGTGAATGAGTGAATATGGATTGTTATTGGTTGTTATTGTTATTATATATCCGATCGGATTAGTGCTACTATTAGTAGTATGTATGAATGGGTCCTATTATACAGTGGTTGTTGGTCTTCGTTGGTTGTGGTGATGGCCCTTGCCTCCATCATTGCTCATCTCCTTCATTTGTATCTCTTTGTTCTTAAGACATCTCTTCTCTCTAAGTATCTGTACATCCTCTGGATAATATTGCAACGAGTAACTGTAGATTTGATTGAGTAAGTGAGTGATCATGTGTGGCCAAATTAAGAGAGTATACATACTACTTGATGATAAAGTCTGGAATGAGTGAGATAATCACAAGGATAATGACACATAGATGATATGTGAGAGTCTTGAGTTGTACACCTAAGTTTGATTGATTGATTGAGTGAGTGGAATAGTTCCATGTGGTGGATGATGCCCATGTGGGTACTTACTGAACACATCAAACATGTTAGAGTTGAGTGGAAGGAACATGGCGTAGAGGATAAGCATGATGAAGAAGGCAAGGAATGAGAGCAGGATTGATCCGATGCTAAAGATTGTCCAGGACTTGGTCTCGAGGGCAATCTTGAAGTTTACGACAAGGATGGCGATGGTGGAGATGAGAGTGCCGTACGACCAGATGCCTGAGGTCATGCCGCCTGGTCCCATGATCTCATTGGCAAACAACAGACGCACGCCAAAGTAGATGGTAAGCGAGTGCCAAAGAGCTGCGATGTTCCAGACGAGGAACGTCTTCTTGGTCAGCACGTTGGAGTGCTGCAACTGGCGATAGAGATGCGGGTTCTCCATGATGGACGCCTCGTCAATGTCCTTCTCCATCAGGCCGTAGACAAATGGTGGCACCGATGTGAACAGGATGTTGAAGAATGTGATGATCCACGAGTCGAACAGAGTCTGGCCCGAGAACAGGTCGGAGAACGAGAACCAGAACAGGCAGAGCGTGAAGCACATGTTCTTGTAGAATGAGTACTGGAGCAGACCCGACACACGGATGTATGAGTAACGGCCATGGACACAGAGTAGACGTTTGAGATGCGAGAATTGATGGATGGCATAGTCGGACGCGCGAGCAGCCTGTGTACCCTCCATACCAAAGATACCGACACCGACGTGCGCCTCTTGGATCATCGACACATCGTTGGCACCATCACCAATGGCCAGCGACACCTTGCGCTCAGCCTGCTTGACGACACGTACCACCAGAGCCTTCTGGAGCGGGGTCACACGGCAACAGATCACTGACTTGCATGCACGACCCAGTCGCAGGAACTTGTCGCGGTGGTCGTGCAAGGCAAAGGCCAGAGTGTGTCCATCGATAACCATGCCATAGTCTGTGGAGAGCTGGGGAATCACGAGCTCGGGGGCCAGCACACCGGACGAAGCAGCGGTAATAACACCCGTGTCTTCCTCAACCTCGGGTGGGAGCAGCGCAATGTAACGGTCAAGGATCTGGCCACACTCCTCAGATGTCTCAGTGTTGATGAAGATCAGCTCCATTGCTGGGTCGAACAACTTGCAGGAGTAACCAATGTTGACGGCGGTCTCTTGCTTGTCGCCTGTTAGAACCCAGATGTGCAGGCCGGCCTCGAGCAGGTAGTTGATGGTCTCGGGAACGTGGTGCTGTAGCTTGTCCTCAATGGCCGTCGTGCCAACCAGGGTCATGTCCTTCTCGATCAGCTCGCACACCGACTCGACACGCTCTTCACGGTTGTCAATGGCTGTGTTGGCCTGAAGGAAGGACTCGCGCCACTCGTTGAACTCCATCTCGGTCAGCTCGCGCTCTGCCAGCATCAACGTACGGAATCCCTCACGTGAGAAAGTCCTCAGGTAGTCCATGGTCTCGTCACGGTGGTTGTTGCGGCTGTCGCGGGTGTTTAGTCTGCACGAGATGGCCATGTCGGCACCCTTGCATAGCAACTTGATGGTGCCCTCGGGTGTGCGCACGATCACCGACATACGACGACGGGACGATGAGAACTCGAGCGTGGCCAAAAGGGCGTAGCGAGTCTCCTGTCCGTTCTCCTTGACGATCATCTCATCGGTCTTTCTTGAGAGGAACACGTGGCCGTTGGCCTTGGCCGTGTGGACAAGGGCCAGCTCATCTGGGGACTGGGCCTGGTAGATGATCTCGCCTGTGTTCTCGTCAATCTCGGGGATGACTGTGTGGCAAAGTGCGATGATGCGCAGGAATGACTGCACACGTGCGGCCTTGGCGCCACCTGTGCCACGCATGTCCATGGCGCCAAACAGGCCGCCTGGTGTCTCCTTCTCGTCGTAGATATCATGTCCGATCGAGCACTTGCAGAAGTTCATAACGTTCTCTGTGAGCGTACCAGTCTTGTCCGAGAAGATGTGTTCGATGCGACCCAGGTCCTCATTGAGGTTGGACGTCTTGGCCTTGCAGTGGCTCTCTGTGATGTCCTTGCGGTCGACCTTGGCGCGCATGTGATGGTCCCACTCCATGAACTTGGCCTGGCCCATCTTGACGACCTCGAGCGTGACCCACAGCGAGATGGGGATCATCGTGTTGAACAGAATGAAGTAGGTGAAGAAGTTACGGACACCATATGTGGCGACGGGCAGCGGGTTCTCGCCAAGGTAGGGCAGCAGCAGACCGACGGTCTCCTCGTAGAAGCTGCTGGCCACTGAACAGATCAGACAGATACAGATCTGGAAGATGAACACGTAGAGGATCAGTCTGTTCATGAACTTCTCGACTGTCGAGAACTTGGAGGGAGGCGGCTGCTGGTTCAGGTAGAGCTTGGTGTCGACTCCTGTGTACACGATGATGCCAAACACGTGCTTGGTGTTACGCAGCTGCGAGCCACGCTGCAGGAACATAGTGTGGTTGAGCGAGTGCACAACGCCCTCGCTTGGTTGCAGCACCAGACGGCCATTGAAACGGTACAGTCGCTCGTTGGGCGTCTCGTAGACGATGCTGCCGCGAATCGAGGAGATCTGCTCGAGCGTCTGGTGTGTGTGCGTGTCGGGGATCGACTTCCTCACCTTGAGGTTGGTCTCACCGTCCAAGTTGGATGTCTCCACATAGCAGATGCCCTCGTCATTCGTTGCACTGAGCAATACGAGATCGGCGGGGAATCGTTGGCCGTTCGAGATCTTGACGATGTCTCCCACCCTCAAGTCTTGACTGTACACTGGTACCAAGTCACCATCCTTTACGATATTATATACCTCTCTATTACTCTTCTTGTCTGATTGGTACCTTGACTGAGAATTATTGAATGAATGAATGATAATGAGTGAATTGGTTCGGAAGTTGGATGTGTTTCCGTGTGTTTCGCACGGAAACACTTAGTGTGGCGCGTGCGGAAACACGGAAAGATGTGGCAACACCAATATTCAACTTACATAATCTTCCAAGGCTTCTTTGATGGCGGTAATTAATAGTACAAATGCAAGTGGTAGGATACTTGTTAGGGGCAGGAGTGGAGATACTTGTGGCACCAGTTGGATGACAAGAACACAAAGGAAATAAAAGTTGGAGAGTCTTCTGAACTGCTCAAACAGGTTCTTGGGGATGAATGTGATCAGTGTATACTTGGTCGTCCTGATATAATTATTTGGGAACTTGCGGCCCTGTGTAAAGGTCGCTCGAGCATCATTGATGAACAATGTATAGCAATTGCTAGGCTGTTCCATGTTTGATTGAGTGAGGGTAGGTTGTGTGAGTGGAAGGACCTGGAATTGAATGGAATTGAATGGAATGGATGTCTTACATCTTGGTTATGTGATTTGGACATGAACTTCATGGTAGGCAGACTTGATAATTGATCAGACTATGGTCCTAAGCGCATAGTCTATAAACTAACTCGACTGTCCTTGGATCCTGATTAGCTCACTGATTGATTGAAGAATGATTGAATGATGGATGGATGGATGAATGTATGAATTGAATCTTAATGATTCAGTGGGGATGATGATTATGATTTAATGTCCTGATTGATTGATTGATTGATTGATTGATGGTATGTCTGAGTGGGTGATGGAGGTGGAGGGGGAGTGGGAGAGTCCGCATGCATGCAGTGTCACTTGGATGGCAGGATGGACAGATGGGACTGGTGGTGATGGTGTCTGGCGACAGACAAGCTAGAGAGTCAAGTCTGACTGACTAATGATTTCCAGGTGTGATTTTAAGTAGTAGAGGTGGATGGATTATGTTGATGATGTATGGTTACAAAATGTTAGATATAGAGATTGGCGAGAGGGTGCCCTTGTGTTGGATGGATGGATTGATGGATGGTCGTGATGATCAATATCTGTGTGATAGAGTGATTGAGTTAATTGATTGATTGAATGAGTGTGACCCGAGTATGTAGTACTAATATTGCCACATGCAGTATGTGACTTGGATAAGTATATTGATATGATGAATGATGCTTGGTCAGCAGACAGTAGGACAAAGGGTGGGTGAGTGGATGGATGGGTTAGTTATATATATTTATATATTATATTATTATACATGTGTATTGCTGAAGTAGAGGATATATAAGTAGTTGATGATGACAGGTGTAAGTGTGTGTGAGTGAGTGACACGCCAACTCACCTCAGTCTCCTCCTCCTCCTTTAAAGCAATAACGACAACTTAGTTACGATTGTAGTCCAGCCGGATGCATATTGATTGATTGATTAGTGTGTGAGAGTGAGTGTGTCCATCCATTCATTCATTTAGACATTAGAAGTGGATGATGAGCTAAACAACCATCATCCATTCATTCAATCAATCATCCAAGTGATCATGATCATGATCAGAAGCCAGCCAACATCATCCATCCAGCATATCCATCTGAAACGTTTGACCAACACTATTATCACATAATAGAGGTTGGTAGGGTGTTGGAGGTCGAAGTTGATCAAGTTGATCAGCTGATGTATTAGTTAGTGTGTATAAATGTGTGTGATTGTGTTATTCTCTGATCAAACAGTGTGTGATCGATCACGTTGTGGGTGTGATCATCCAAGTGTGTGTCAAATTATGTGTAGAGACATGTGATACAATTGAATGAATATCTCAAAGCATCTTATCTTTATGTGATATGATATGATTATATAATGTGATGTGTCCACCAACATGTCTCTGCCATATTCTCTCCCATCACTCACCAGTCGTGCACCAAGCCATTACAATCTGCTTGATCCATCTATTCATTCTATTAACACTCTTTAAACGATTGATTGATTGATTGACATTAGTTGACACTTATCAATCCATCGATATCCATTGGATACATCTGATGTGTGTCCACGCAAGATGACCAGATCATGTGACACATGATCGACCCGACACCTAACCCAACCCGAGTTTGAATGATTGATTGATTGATGAGTATACATGTATAACTGGACAAGACAACTGGACAAGGACTAGAGACAACTGGGGAATTGATTGATTGGGTATATAGAGGATGGTTGTTGGCTACATTTATTAAGATCTGTGGACCAGCAGGGCTAATTTAAGCCTTGACGATCTTTTGGGCCTTGGACTTGTAGAGCTTGAGGAGAGCAGTCTTGCGGTAGTGAGCAACAGTCTTCTGCTTGCGGGTGGCCTCGAGCTTGGCAACGACGTCTCTGTACTTCCAGCCACACTGGGAGGCCAGTTGACCGAGGACGGTGACCTTGCGGGCTGGGTTCATCTTGACGATGTGGAGGGCCTCTGGCACAACCATCTTCTTGAGTCTGTCGTATGGGGCGGGGCATCCCTCGAACATCTTCATTCTGTGGAGAGCGAGCATTCCGCGTGGGGTTCTGTGTGGAAGCATACCACGGACGGCACGCCAGAAGATCTTGGATGGCGAACGGTTGTGACGGTGGCCACGGGCGTGGTTGGTGTTGGCAGTGAGGTTCATGAATGAAGACCACTTCAACTTGTTACGGTACACTATATTGATTGGTTGCGTTCATTCGTTAGCAACTTGTGTCGTGTGTTGCATCATGATCCTGTGCCTGTTGTCGGTGTTTCTGGATGATGATGATGCTGTGTAGTTGTGTGTACTTACATGGACCGGAAACAATGAGCTCCTCACAACGGACAACGACGACCTTCTGTCCGCACAAGAGCTCCTTGGCAACCTTGGAAGCAAGACGACCCAAAAGGTGTCCCTTAGCATCAACAATAACAGTCTGTTGGTTTGGTTGGTATGATGAATTAGAATATGTTTCAAGAATGATGATACTGGGTCACATCGCCACATTCAATCGCTCAACATTTCGCACAGTCAATTCGCTCATTCATTCATTGTTATATCGCGAGTCTATGAGTATGTGTGTTTCAAGTCTTGATAAAATATTATGATGCGTCTGTTCTGAACGTCACTTCCACTCTCCTCGATCGAAATAATAACATTAACAATAATAATATTGTTATTATTATTCTGTAGTCAACGTCAATGTTGCGATCGCAATTATATCGAATGACTGACTGTCATGACTGACTGACTAACTGAACTGTTATGATCGCTATTGACTGAATGGTTGACTAATGTTGTTGTTGTTGATCGCTCCATGACATGACGATGATGGAATGTTATCTACCTTTGTGAACATTGTGGCCTGATTATCCTCTCTCTGATGATGATGAATGTCGAAAAAAAGTAATGCTTGTGAGTCTAGTTGTCTTCGACATTGCACGCATCACATCCAACATTGCGCTCACTCGGGTCTCCCTCCTTCAAAAAAACTCAACTTTAATTAAAATCAAATTGTTTAAAAAATGAAAAGAAATCACACGAGCGACTCTCTTTACACATATTAATTATGCCCGGGCTTTTATTATCACCCTAACTTTCAATTTATGGGTTTGAATCATTCAATTCAAAATGAATGTTTGAAGATCACTCATCTGTTTAATTAATTAAACGTACATATATATATATATATATATATAAATAGATATAGACAGAGATGAGAAGAAGAGATGCCTTGATGGTGTTGCTGTGTATGGTGGTTGTGTTGTTGAAGACATACACGAATAGGACACTCAGTCTGAGACCATCTCTGGTCATCCCCATTGATACCAATCACTACTCCAACTCTCACTATCCTCAGATCAATGAGATACTACCAAATCCAATTATAACAGACCTTGATGGTGATGGAAAGAATGGTAATATATCGATATTCAATGATTGATTGATTGATTGAGTGAGTGACACTGACGCACTCATTCATACTTCAAAGAGATGATATACGTCACCAATGACTTGAAACTTAGAATAGTGGACCCTGTTGTGGATGGTGAGCAGAGCGATACGCAGTCACAACAGACGAGTAGTACATTTAGAAAGATTGCAAAGAATGATATTAGACGTGAGGTTTCATTGGCGTCAAAGGTTGGTGTGTCATCAGGTCGCAGACCAGTGGCACTTCAGGTTGGATACACAACACCACTCGTACAGGGCTATAGACAGATGCCCACTCAGATGGTGGTCGTTGTCACTGAAGACTGGGGCATCCTGGCCTTTGATCATCTATTGCGACCTCTCTGGGAGAGCTATGTTGTTGGTGAGATACCAAAGAATAACTATCATTCGTATGTATCGCGATTTCACTCATTCATTTATACATTCACTTGCTCACTCACTCAATCATTCACAGTGAGGTGACCATCGCCATCGTACCAATGGGCGTTGAGAATGGTGATCAAGGAGTTGTCGTGATTGGAGGCCGCCTGGAACCAATTCCAAATGAGATGCATCGATCACCAGAGATACCAGCGATTGGACTGGACATAAACAAGGCGATGGCAAAGGAGAATACATTGGATGAGGGCGAGCCAGACGACGACGACGATCACACTCATGGCAACAAGGCCAATGATCATGGCGATGATGACGCTCACAAGGACGAGAGTCACTTCTCATACTTTGCACTCAATGCACTGGATGGCAAACTGCGATGGAAGCACACAGAGGAATCATTCATGCCTGACAACCCTCATGCACATGAGAAGAACGAGAAGCGACATAGTTACAGACAGCACCTGTTCTCATTGTTGGATCATGTGGGCGAGGTCAACTGGAAGGTGTACAAACAGTCGATGCTGGCATCCATGCCACACAGATGGTCGTCCAACTTTGACACCAAGTTTGACGTGCGGCACTTTGAAAAAGGCTCGTCCAGCGTCAAGCATGGCGCGGCCGATACTGAGCACGATGAGTGGAACACCGAGGTGGTGGGCGTGCATCCCTCACATCTGGACAACATTGTTGGCGCATCCATTCTCAGTCCACACGCAGAGGCGGACCATGTCGTCGAGCCCAATGTGATTGTGGCTCACACCAAGAATGGATTGGAAGCGATACAGATACACTCTGGCAGGACCGTGTGCAAGATGATCCTGGACAATACGGATCACTACCAGAACAGCGATCACTACATTGTCTACACCGACCTGAATGGTGACGGCATGGTCGACCAGGTGCACGCGATGGCCGGTGACTTCCCTGGGGCCTCACAGTTCTCGCGTAGTCGTAGACCAGAGATATGTCTGGGTATGGCGATGACCGGACTGCCACCACGCGACTACCTCTTCAATCGATCAATATGCAATCAAAATGGCGTAGACTTTGACTACTTCTTCTGGCGCAGTGTCCCTGGCGGTGCGAACGATGCCGGTGGCGCGCTCAACGGTATCCAAACAGTGGCGCCAGCGATTATCGCACATCCAGCCACACCCAACTCCAAAGAGATCGTGTTCCTGGTCAGCTCGGGCAAGATCACAAGCGTACGATTCAACGGCGCCCAGAACTGGGCGCGTGACACTGATGCGAGATGGAGCAAGCGTGGACAGCCATATCCACACCCTTCGATACAGGGATTCTCGATCGATGCGTATGGCGCCAAGACTCACATCTTGGCAGTTGCCGAGTCTTTGGTGATTCTCACGCAGCAGGGCGATGTGATGATCAGTGAGAAGCTAGGTGGCAAGCGATCAAGTAGTCCAATGTCAACAGAGCGTACAGACATGGCTGCGGTATCCGTCATACCAATGGGACCACCAGTGATTGGAGATTTGAACAATGATGGCTACAACGATATCATCGTGCCAACCGTGCACGGATACTATGTCTATCTGATGGAGCATGGACATCAGACTACCGTGCTCACCTACTTTAGTGTCTTGTTCACCTCGGCCTTCCTATTTATCGTGTTCAAGACAAGAGACACTGGTAGTAGCAGTACTTCATCATCATCACAAGGTACAGCAGTTGTTGGCAAGTTGTTTGGAAAGAGTTCTGGTGGTGGCAACACAATATCATCGCGTTTGAGTGGTCATTACAAGAAGGATCAGGATCGTTGACGTTGTATGTCAACCAATGATCATTTCATTCTTTCTATAAATCATTCAATCCACGTGATTAAAGAATATAATAATATTAATACCTGTATGTATGTGTGAGAATAGAAGTATCTGAATCTACAACAAGAATGTCGTATTTAGTAATTAATCGCGTGTGTCGACGAATGGACATTGTTCACTTACCTAATCGGCTGGAAATTTCCATTGATCTGTCGTTAGTGTGTGGGGCAGGCCTTGGTCTTGGGGCACACGCGTTCCCAATCTTTTTTGCAATTCATGCCCATACTCGGGTAGACATCGGCATTTGGGTCCAGGTGGGTGTGTGACCTGGCACCATTGTTTAGGGGGAGAGTCTGCTTCTCAAGGACCAGGACGGCCTCCAACCTATTATAAAAATGAATAAAAATTGTGATCAAAATTGCCCATCTGCGAAGATTTCAATTTCAATTTGGCGGTGCATCTGGACACAAACCTTCAACGGGAACCAGACTTCAACTTCTTTGTCTAACCATCTATCCATCTCAAACTATCTCCTCTTCTTGTTGATTGTTGTTGATGTTGGTAATAAATATATATATCTGACTTTAGTAAAATAGTTATCTATCTCTATTATTATTACTTATTACTTACACAGACGCAATGGAAGTATGTTGAATAAACATCCACACTCATTCATTCATTCATTCATTCATTCATTCACAGACAGACATAGACAGACAAAGTAGACGATTGAGTTGATGTGTCTCAAGGAGCTTGGTCGCTTATGGTGTAGATCGATCACTCTTTTGTAACAACACCACACCACATAATCTCATCAATCAAACCACTCAATCAATCAACCAATCACTCCCTCAATCACTGCCCATCACACACACCCCTTTGTGGGTGAAGGTTCAATCAATCAAATCAATCATAACAAAGATGTTTCATCATCATTGATCATTTACACTAACATCCTCTACTACAATTACAACTACAAAAGTTTAAAGAACAACAGGTTATTCAACCAATAGCGAGTGGAAAGAATAAGATGGAGTACCATCCAAGCAGAGATACAAATAAGAAGTTGCAGAGGAAGTTGTTTGAGAACTCCAATAGAGTCAGCATTTGGAAGCCAGTGGTGGACATCAAGGAGAACGACACATCGATCGTGCTGGTCTTTGAGCTGCCAGGCCTCAACAAGGAGAACGTCTCGATCGACGTCTCCAAGGACGCCTCCACACTGATCGTCAGCGGCGAGAAGAAATACCTGAAGAAAGATGAGTCGGAGAAGTGCCATCGCATCGAGTCTTCCTACGGCAAGTTCATCCGTTCGTACCGTCTGCCGCCCGGCACCGACCCAAGCAAGATCAAAGCGTCAATGAACGACGGCGTGCTGGAGATCACCATTTGTAAAGAGAAGTTGGAGAAAGTCAGCATTCCCATTGTATCAAAGCTTTAAATAATAATATAGATAAGAATATATAATATCCATAATCAATATTGATTGGTCATTTAATTGATTGATCGACCAATTCCAAATTGTTGTTTGATGAAGGGAATGACGTGTTTCCTTGCATTCTCGAATCAAAGTCGAAACTTCCAAGTTGACGAATGTCTTGTTCATTTTAATTTGAAGTCGAGTAGTTGATATATAATCTAGATATAGAGATTATATATTATATCATATATACACCATGGATAGAATACAACATAAGATATTGGTGTTGTCCGGTAAGGGAGGAGTCGGAAAGGTATGTCTCGAGAATAATAGATTGATTGAATCTGAGTGAGGCTAACTTGCGGACCTCGCTATCACCCGAACAAAAGAGTACGATTGCTACAAACTTGGCAATGTACCTAGCACATATTGGTAAGAGAGTTGGATTGCTTGATGTAGACTTGTGCGGCCCTTCTGTACCAAAGATGCTTGGATTGGACTCAAAAGAAGTACACAAGAGTTCAGCAGGTTGGATACCTGTGTACACGGACAGCACTCAGAAACTAGGTGTTATCTCTATACAGTTCCTACTAGGTGACAGAGACGCACCTGTTATATGGCGTGGACCAAAGAAGAACTGTATGTACAATATACTACATTCACAAAGGGCAAGACTGACACCTTCCATCATAGCAATGATAAAGCAGTTCATACAGGATGTTTGCTGGGGCGACTTGGACTACCTGATTGTAGACACACCACCAGGCACTTCAGACGAGCATATATCAGTGACTGAGGAGTTGTTAAAGTATAACCCAGATGGTGCGGTACTAGTCACTACACCACAAGGTGTATCAATCTCTGATGTGCGCAAGGAGATCAGCTTCTGTCAGAAGATAGGACTGCCCATCATTGGTATCGTGGAGAACATGAGTGGTTACGTATGTCCACATTGCTCAGTATGTATTGATAGGTAGGATACGCCGGCGACCTTCGAGACACTGACACTGACGCGGCAACAACTATAGGAATGTACAAATATATTTTCATCTGAAGGAGGCAGATTGCTGGCAGAGCAGTGCTCACTGCCATTCTTGGGCAAGCTGCCCATCGATCCACTGCTGACTACATGCTCTGAGAAGGGAATGAACTACTTTGTCGAGTATCCAAACTCGTCCACACTGGTCGCACTCAAACAGTTGGCAGAAGGACTTGAATCACACGCCACATCCTCAACTACGACATCAACGACGACAACACAACCAGCGATTGCGACATCTGATTGATATTTGGACTAAACAAACATTCACATACTCGTTCATTCATTCATTCTTTCATTCAATGACATGTCAATAGTCAAGGTCATCCAACATGTCGTCTTGATCATCATCTGATACTGATCGTGTCGTTGTGGACACTGCTCGCTTCTTGCCCATCACTGGGATGAACTCTACTTCCTCCTCTTCCAGCTCCTCTTCACTGTTTTTGGATGTCGTTGGCTTGGACTTCTTCAATCGCTTATGACTCTGTTGCTGCTTCTCCTCGAGGACAGCGTCACTACCACCATCATCGTCGTCGAATGGTGATGTGTTTGAATCGATCGCCACGAATGATATATCATCGTCATGCTCTGCACTCTTGTTCTTCTTTTCCTTTGACTTGAAGATGAATGACACATTGTTGAACTTGGCCATATCGAATACCTTGCCCTTTAGTTGACGATGGTTAGTTCTTTGTCCGCGAGGCGTTGACATTCATTACTTACTAGAGCATTATTGGAGACACTATCATAATGATGCCACTTTGCCTGATGATCTAGCTTCATCAATGCCTCTCGCTTGTCCTTGGGGCTGAGGTTGTTGGTGACACTCTTTGTCTGTGTGCCACACTTGCAAGCGAGCAGGTCGTGTGTCTCGCAGCCAGTTGTGAAGTCGTTCAATGTGAACAGGTCTTTGAGCTCCTCGTCCGTGAATGTCATCTTATCATGGTGACTATGATCGACCACTCTGTTTGAGAGTGACTCCTTGACCAACTGTCGCTGATAGATCTTCTCTTCGATGGTGCCAGTGCTCATCAATCGATAGATTGATACTGGACGAGTTTGGCCGTCACGCCACACCCTCTCCATTGCCTGGATATCAATGGCCGGGTTCCAATCAGGATCGAACAACACAATATGATTTGCACCAATCAGGTTTAGTCCAACACCACCTGCTTTGGCTGACAATAGGAATACGATATCTGAGGTGGATAGTGAGTGAGCGAGTAATGAAGCGAGTCAGGGTGAGGTGGGAGAGACTTACGAGTCTTGTTTGTTGGGTCGTTGAATCGGTCGACCCTGTCCTGGCGCTCGGTTGGCTTGACCTGCCCATCAATCCTGTATGATTGGATGGACATTTGCTGGAGCAGCACTTCAAACAGGTCCAGAGTCTGTGTGAAGTTGGACACAAGCACTACCTTCTCGCCAATCTTTTGGAGACACTGTAGCAACTGCTCAATAAACAACATTTTGCCAGAGTGTCCACTGATGCATGTCTTGTCCGTGTAGTCTTTGGGAAGGAATTGTTTGTACTCATCATATACCAATGCAGGACTGTTGCATATCTTCTTCAAAGAGGTGATCGTTGATAATGTTGGCGCACTTGTGGTGGAGGATGCACCATTGGCATCCAATATACACTTGTACACCTTTGTTTGAAGATCGGACAACTTGCAGAATACAATATGGATGCTCTTCAAAGGAAGGTACTCTTCCATCACATTTGACTTCCTTCTCAAGATGAATGATGATGATATCTTGGCCAACTATAGATGTATATGTCAGTTAGAAGTGATGTTGATGATTGATTGAGCGATAATGACATACCTCGACAGCCTTGGCCAATCCTTCGATGGAAGACTCTTCTCTGCCTTTGATGATTGGGTTGGCAAACTCCTTCTTGAACTGTGCAGCACTGCCAAGTACACCTGGATTGCAAAAGTCGACCAAGGTGTGGAACTCCATCAGGTCGTTCTGTATTGGCGTGCCAGAGAGGATGATCCTGGCCTTGGACTTGATGCTGGCAATGGCCTGGGTTGTCTGAGACTCCATGTTCTTCAGGCGATGTCCCTCGTCACATACCAACAGACCACAACTCATCGTCTCGAGAATGGATGCAAACAGACGGCACTGATCGTAGCTGATGATTAACACTGGATGCACTGTGGAGGTGTTGAATTCCTCGAGCATCTCTCTTGTCTTTTTCGTCGCAGAGTCGTTGAGTGTGAAGGGCTTGATGCGCTCGCTGCCCAGCCACCGCTTGATCTCCTTCTTCCAATTGCCAATCAAGCCAGCAGGTGTGACGATGATCACCTTTCGAATATATGGTTGTCCTGAAGGGCTCTGTTTCAAAAGTGTGTACAGTGTAGTGATGGTCATCAATGTCTTTCCAAGTCCCATTTGATCGGCTAGGATGCAGCCATTGCCATGTTGATGTCTAACACCAGTAACGCATTCGTAGAGAAATTGTACACCTCTGCGCTGATGTGGACGCAGATGTGTGGACAGGAGTGGATCAACGACGACATGAATGACTGGTGTTCCATTTGAATCGACTCCAGACGCTGGAGGTGTGAACATTACAAGAGCATTGGGCGGGCATTTGGATCGTGTCGTGCGGTCAGAGTCTTTGGCGCGACCTCCTCAGCCGTGGCATTGGTGTGCTTCTTGAACTCCTTGACTTTGAATGATGATGAGGTAGTGGTTGTGCTGGTTGTTGTTGGTTCGCTTGAGGCGGGTAGTGTATCACCAATGAGCTGTTGATATTGCTTCGATGTGATTGGTTCGACCACCTCAATCTCTTTGGAGGAGAGTGTGGCTTTGAAGCCCTCCTTGATGTCTTCTCCAGAGCCAAGTGATGATGACCTTCCAATGCTCTTCTTTGTTTCGCAATCATAGAGAATTGACATCTTCTTTAATGATGAGAATGATAAGACGCCATCCATATATGTCTTGTGTTTCTTGGAGGATACAGCACACCACATAACCTTGAAGTATACTTCGTCATCGACTATATCATCTTTATCATTGCTTGATGTTGTCTCTTTTTCCTTCTCCTTCTCTTTATCCTTTTTTGAAACTGTTGTTGTAGTCTTTGTTGTTGATGTTGATGGCTTTACTGTTGCCGCTACCTTTGACTTGGGCAAAGTTGACGCGGCGGCAACTGCTGGAGATGCTTGTTTGTCTGGGGCCTCAATACCAATGAGTTGTTGATACTCTTTAAGAGTGATTGATTCAACAATCTCAATGTCTTTGGATGAGAGTGTAGACTTGAAGCCATCTTTTATGTCGCCGGGTGCCAGAGTAGTTGTCTTTCCAATTGGTTTCTTTGTCTCGCAGTCATAGAGAGTGCTCAGTTTCTTTGCTGGTGACACTGTCAATACACCATCCATGTATGTCTTATGTTTCTTTGATGAAGCATTACACCACATCACTCTATAATAGAGTTCAATGTCTTCGTCGCCTCCCTTTGATATCGACGATGTAGTCTTTTGGTCATTGTATACTGGTGCACTCGTTACCTTGAGTGCTGAATCATCACGTTTCTTTGTTGTTAAAGGTGCAGCCTTTGTTGTAGTTGTAGGTGCCAATGACTTTGACTTTGTCGTTGTTGTAGTTGTTGATGCATTGTCGGTCGTGGTTGATGGTGATTTATAAGGTGATACAAACTTCTTCATTGATTGTGGTGTCGCCTTGTCGTCGAGTCGTCGTATGGTAATGTGTTGTTCAAGTTCGCAAGAATGAATGAAAGTTCAACTTGAACAACATGATATTAGTCGTCCAAAAGATGTGAACTGAATGTATTATTCTGAGAAGTGAGTTTTGATTGAATAACTGGGGTACAAGTATTCTAATAATCGATCGAGAGATGAATTGGACTGAATTACCAGATTTGAGTGTGAAAGTGGGACTTGAATGCAGGTGGGCTTGCTTTGCCCTGGACAGGTTGGACCTACAAAGTGTTGTTGTTTGAAAAGGACAGGTTTGACTCCTAAAGTTGTAATCATCATCATCATCACTCTACTCTACTCTATTAACTCTAACTAACCAACCACATCTTATTATTATTATATTTTATTGTTGTTGTGAGCCTTTAGACTTTACACGAATAGTTTGTTGGTTGTTGTATTATTATTATTATCATTAATTATTTACTTGTATATATTTAAGTTACATTAAAGTAAACAATAACAATAGAACGAGTTGAGTTGAACAAACAACAACAACAACACAATCAACAACAACAACAACAATAACACACCAAACACACAATCATCGAGTGATATGTGAGAGCACATTGTTGATACAGTCGTGTGTGGATAACCATCAATCAATCAATCAATCAATAAGTCACAATATAACTTCAACTTATCATTCATCCCATCACTTCTTTCATCTTATCAAACCTATCATCTCATCATCCCATCAACTCATCATCCCTATCATCATCCTCACAACAAACTTTAATGTTGTGTTGTCGGAGAATAGAGGAGAGAGTAAGAGTGATTGACACACGCACCAAGTCAATCGGGTTGGCAAACTCCAACTCTATAGAACAAACAAGTGATAGATAGAGATAGATAGATTGATAGATAGATAGATTGATAGATAGTTAATAATTACATATACTACGAGAAAAGATAAAGAAAGATAACATAAAGATATGGGCTGTGGACCATCACTATCTAGGAGTAGGAAACAGGATACAGCTGCGCCAAAGCAGACAAAGCATGCGCAGCAGCAGCAACAGCAGCAACATGGCGAGACCGAGGGCAACTTCAAGCTGGTGCACAGTACCAACTTGTCGAATAGTAACAAGAGCAATCTGGTCGCAGAGTCTCACAACAATCTGGGCGCAGCAGCGGTGCCGCCGCCGCACAACCATGACAACCACACAACCACGACCACCACCACAACGACGGGCGGAAGCTCAGGCAACTTGGCCTCCAACATTGTATCGAGCACCGGAGGCAACAACAGCAACCTGAACATCACGCCAACGACCTCGTTGCTGCAGGCCAACAAGGATGGCTCGGTGCTGGCGATGGCTGGCAGCGACACACACACAGACCACAAACGCACGTCGATCAGTGTCAACAGCGGAACGCCAACAGGCAGTGGCCTACTGAGGTTGAGTCAGGGAGGCCAGCCCAGACAGTCCCTGAGTGGTAGCTTCGGGGCCATGGACGCAGGGGCCAAGGCCGCCCTGAAGACCTCCAACAACTCTGGGTCAAAGTTGCAGCCACAGACTCAGCAGTCTCTGCCGCAGCAGCAACAACAACAGAGTATTGTACCCAATGGCAAGGGTAATGCACAAGCATCGAGTGCCTATGACAATGTAACAAATAGCAACAACATCAATAACAAACCTGTAGAAATCAAACCAACAACAACACCATCATCACCAATCACAACACAACCAATCAACAACCCAGCGCAGCAACAACAACAGGCTGGTCCACCCACCAGTGCTGTTGCCAACAATGCAGCTTTCCCAGGCGCCGGATCAGTTCTAAAGAATGGAATATGGTACGCCGAGTCAGAGCTTGCCGAGGAGAACTTTGTCTGGGCGCCCAAGTACTGGACGGTGGATCGCATTGGCAAATGGGTCGATGACATCGAGTTCACCGAGAGTCAGACCACAGCCACCGGCGCAGTCAGTCCATCAACATCATCAACATCTATTAACAATACCGTATCATCATCATCAACGCAGACTCAACTACAACAACAACATAGTACAAATACAACATCAACAAAGCCAACATCAAGTACACACTTTATAGATAAAGATTAAAGACCATTACCATGGCCATGAAGTAATGGACATGGTGGATCGATCAAACAAACAATCAATCAATCATTCCACTCCTTTGACCAGGTTGTTGACTTGACCCTTGTGGACCCTTTTTTTGTAACTCATCTCCCAACTTTGAGCGCGTGTGACTTTGAAGAGTGGATGGATGGGGTTCTTCTTCAAAGTGTGTGTGAGGTTGTGAAGGATTGTAGAGTGTGATGCTCAATCATTCATTCATCAATCATCATAATAAATAATACATGTGATATATATGTTGTATATGTAGCAAGCAGTAACAGGTATCATTCAATCAATCAATCAATCAAACAAACAAGACGACGTTGCAAGTTCAATATCATTCAATATCAAACAAGCACAGACATTTCAATTCAAAGTTCATTCAATCAATCAATCATTCAAAGAATAAGACAAGATAAGAAAAGATGGGAGCGTCAATGTCAATGTTTGCAAAGCTGTGGAACAAGATGTTCAATAATGCAGAGTACAAGGTGATTATTATCGGATTGAACGCAGCGGGAAAGACGACGACGCTCTATAAGCTACTGTTGGACGAGGTGGTGTCGACGACGCCCACCGTAGGCAGCAACCTCGAGGAGTTTGTATATAGGAACATTAGGCTGCTGATGTGGGATCTGGGCGGGCAAGACCTGTTGCGAAGCACGTGGAACCAGTACTACATGAACACCCAGGCTGTAATATTAGTGATCGACAGTACCGACAGGGTGCGTGTGCCTCTCATCAAAGAAGAACTATTTAAAATGCTCTCTCATGAGGTATGTCTCGTCTTCATCATCATCTACTCTACTCCACTCTCACGAGACCATGACTAACCATGCCCGTCGACGTGACCATCTCTTTTGAACAGAACTTGAAGAAGTCGATTATATTGTTGTTCGCGAACAAGCAGGACTTGAAAGGAGCCATGTCGGCAACAGAGTTGACAAACTTATTGTCTTTGCACACGATAAAGGATCACGCTTGGCATATTCAGGTATGTTATGATGGACACTCACTCTATCAATCAATCAATCAATCAATCAACTAACTAACATCAATCAATCAATCATATTAGGCATGTTGTGCATTGACAGGTGATGGACTGGAGCAAGGAATGGATTGGCTCGTGTCCAACATCAACAAGGGATAAATAAAGACGAGTACGACACTTCTGGATAACAAAGCTATAACTACAACTACAAACATACAATGTTTATTTATACAACGACGTTGGGTTCGACCTTATCATAGAGATCACCATCAAACATATATCTCTGGAGATAGGGACGAACAACCGTGCGGAAGTCCTGGCTGGTTTGGTTGTGTGGCGAATCCTCTTTGGTGAGATGGGGCACGATCACGATGTGTTGACACTTGCCAATGTGATGCGTGTTCTTGCCCCATGGATTGATCACCGTGTCCTCCATCTTGACAAAGTTCAGCACCTGGATTCCAGTGTCCACATAGTCATCGGGCGAGATGAAGTAGGCTGGACACATGGCAATGATGCGCAGACGACTGAGCAGGTCGACTCGACCAGCCTGTATAATCAAACGGATGGCGGCGTTTGTGTGTGCCGCGCCCTCGGATACGCCAACCTGCAGGAAGTGCTTACCCGGGTTGGCGTCCAAATAGTCGATCCATTGCTGTGCCACTAGGTAGGAGGTCTTGGTGTAGCTGCCTCCATTGACGGCGGCCATGCGCAACACATCCTGGACGAAGCCGCCAAAGTCGTCGGTGGCGGACTTCTGATGAGTGGAGTGATATACGCAATGCACATTGTTTCCGTCGGCCAGACTGTCGGACAGCCATAGCATGTCCCATCCAGCATGTTCCAGATTGCTGATACCCATGCCATTGACCAATCCAATGTAGCCAGTGATGGGATCTTGTCCTTGGCGCTCGCCTCGCGATAAGTATTGTGAACCCAGTCCACCTTCGCCAAACTTGAATGATAGACACTTGAGTGGGAACAGACCAGCGATGCCTAGATGGCCCAGTCGATGCATGGCGTTTGCCAGACGATGTGTGTCTGTGAAGACGTTGTCCTGGCCCCAATGAGCGCCTGTGATTGAGGGGTCGGTCATCTTGCCCAACTCCCATACCTTGTAATATACTTCATTCTTCTGCTTTGGTGTCAATGTTTCGAACAATCCTTTGAGTGCTTCATTGTTGATGTATTGCTTGTCGACCTGTGTCACAGCCAAGTACAAAGTAGACTGTTTATCACATCTTTTTGCGACGTGATGCACTGAGCTTGAGAATGTATCCTTTATTCTTTCAAACACTTGGACCATATGTTATTATATCTTTATCTATATCTATCTGTTTCATCCTACATTGAATGGTCATTCATTCATTCATTCATTGGTTGAGTGAGTGAGTGACTCATAATGATAAAGTGGTTGACTACCCAATTTGGAAGTAATACCGAACCATCACTTAATTTATGGGACAGTCTTTGAAAGTAAAGTGGTTCGCTCCCTCATCCATTCAACCAATCATTCAATCCAAAAGGATATATATATATATGTACAGATACAATGAGTGAACAAGATAGTAATAGTAGTTTAAGAAGTATAGTGATCAATCACTTGGATAAGAAGCATCAGGTTGATATTGATCTGACTTCAACTATTGAGGACTTGAGAGCTGTTATCTATTCATTGACATTGGTACCGCCACAGAATCAGAAGATCCTAGGACTTGTAAAGGGATCAATACTCAAAGATGACGCCGTACTGAGGGACATGGATATTAAGAATGTATGTGTCATTCATTAGCCAGGACTTGGACTTGGATATTGAGGTCACAATGGCTAACACATCATACAGGGCCAGAAGGTCATTGTGATGGGCAAGGCAGAGGATGCTGAACCGACACCTCAAGTGCCACCCGCTACCTCAACCTCAACCTCCACCTCAATACAACAAGTAGCAACTCCAGCTGCTCAAGCTCAAGTGCCCGCCACAGTCATAGCTCAACCTCAATCACATGTACTACAACCTGCTCAGTTCATTGAGTTTGGAGTATGGATGTCTGAATGCTCAAGGATATATGTTGGTAGAGAGGCCATTGCCCAGCCTGCGTTCAGGGATGTACTCACTGGAAACACAATATGTTATGCTTGTTCAACAACATGCTTTGCTGGAGGAATCGTTCCAGCACCACAACAATCTCCATTCTATTGCCGTTGCTGTGAGATACCCGATCGATGTCTGTTCAAGGAGCGTGCAGATTCAATTACCAACCTCGCCACTCAGTCCAAAGACTCCATGCTAAAAGATCTGTCCATTCAGCTACTACAACAACAACGCCAGCATATGGCAGCATCACTATCCGTTAGTCCTCAGCAGCAACAACAGCAACAACGTGTCAAGGATATACTGGGGAGTAACTATCGCTCTATTATGAACTATGAGCATGTACCACTACAACAAAAGGCAATGGCATTGGTGCCCAAGACCATCCTATTCAACCGCAAGGGTGAGCCCATCGAGAAGGGCGAGGACCAGATCCGCGAGTTGCTCAGCTGGTTCAAGGCCACTTTCTTCAAATGGGTCGATTGTCCACCTTGTGATCATTGTAATGTAAGTGTGGAAAAGTCATGTGCCATGACTTGTTTGATTGACTGACTGACTTACTACTTGATCAAGAGTCCAACCAGCCTTGTTGGCACATCTCAACCATCGAATGAAGAACAACTTTACAAGGCTGGACGCACTGAGCTCTACAAGTGTCCAAGCCAGCACAACACAAGATTCCCTCGATTCAACGATCCAGGCAAGTTACTCGAGACCAGACGTGGAAGATGTGGAGAATGGGCCAATGTATGTTTGATTGAATGATTGATCGATTGAATGAATGACGCACTCACTTAACATCTTACTGGATGTCTAGACATTCACATTGTTCTGTCGAGCACTTGGATACAGATCGCGATACATCTTGGACTTGACTGATCATGTGTGGACAGAGGTGTGGAGCGACAAGGATAAGAGATGGATACATTGTGATAGTTGTGAACCAGTGTACGATAGGCCACTGACGTACGAGTCGGGCTGGGGCAAGAAGTTGACCTATGTGTTCGCATTCGAGGTGGACGGTGTGTTTGATGTCACGAGACGTTACACCACCAAGATGAATGAGTTGATGACACGAAGGACAATGGTGGACGAGTCATGGCTACAACAATTCATACAGGAGCTCAATCAAAAGATGCGTGCCCCATTCACTCAAGAGCGAAGGAGTCATTTGGAGCTTCGCGAGCAGGCTGAGTTGATGGAGTTGGCTCAGAGTCAGAACAGGAGCACTGCGGGCAGCGACCTAATGCCTCGCCAGTCTGGATCAACCGAGTGGCGATCCGAACGTGGAGAGATGGGACAAGGCCTAACCGGTCTGTCCATGTCCGCGCCTGGCAGGCCACTCCATGTCCAAACAACCGTTGAAAAGGGAGCACCACCTGCCGTCGGCACATTGATTTACAAGTTTGAACAGGGCCAGGTAGTGCAGTCAAGACTGCGCCTACTCGGAAGCTGCAAGGCACTGACGGACAGGATCGAACTGACCCCAAAGATGAATGATCAGTTGGGTGCATTCTGGCTGCGCGAGAAACAGAACATCGCAAATGGATTCGTGTGCAGGATACGCTTTGTCATTGGCACGTCTGGCGCCGATGGCATGGCCTTCGTCGTTCAGAACCACAGCGAGGACATCATGGGCAAGTCTGGCTGCGGCCTCGGCTACGATGGCATTGAGAACTCACTTGCCGTCGAGTTTGACACATACTCCTCAGTAGACCAATGCAACGATCCCAATGGCAACCACATCTCCATTCATTGCAATGGCGAGAAGAAGAACTCCAGTCATCATCGCTACTCGCTGGCACATTGCACACCCGTTGGCAACATCTCGATGAGTGATGGCAAGGTGCACCACGTGGTCATCGTCTACAATGGCACGGCCAAGACCATGTCAGTCTGGTACGACACGTACTTTGTGCTGACTAATGTGTCTGTGGACCTCACCCAACTCCTTGACCTACCCGGTGGCCAGGCATGGATTGGCATGACTGCTGCCACTGGTGGCCTATGTCAGAGTCATCATATACTTGGCTTCGAGTTTGGGTCATTGGACCAAATGAATGAGTGAGATGGATAATAAACTATGATCCCAGTAGGTAGACTTAGAGAATGATTATATGTCTGAGGTGCCATTCAATGATGAGAAAATGGATTCCTATGCTTCATACAGGTAGTGTCAATTACAATCAATCAATCAATCAAGCAATCAATAAATATAAATATACATACATATTTTCTTTACTTTTATTATTATTATTATCCAGTTATTTTCCACTTTGAGAAGGTTCAAATGAACAAACAAACACCCATTCTTTCATTACCCTCTCAATAATAATAATACGTAATTGTGATATTTGTATTTAATTATATACGATTGTTCGTTAGAGTTAGGTTGAGTCGTAGATAAAGTACACACAGATATATATAGCAGTGGCTTCTCCTATCAGCTTCAATTTAAAGAAAAGACCTCTAGGTATGTTTGATTGACGACGTCAACATCAAAGACAACGACAACGACAACGACAACAATGTGACTCACACATTTATGTACATAGATATGGCCTCAAAGAATGGTTGGGATGATGTCGATGATGAAGATATCAACAACGATAACAACAACAACAATAATAACAACAATAACAACAATAGTAATGGCCCACTAGAGGAAGATATACCAAAGGGAATGTGCACAGAGTGTACAGACCAACCTGCATCAATTCACTGTGAGCAGTGCGATGATGACCTCTGCGAGGTCTGTGGCTTGGTATGTTTGATTACATCTCAACTCTCGATGACGCTTCTAACATCAATCAATCAAACAAACTAGTCATTGCATCGAAAGGGAATGAGAAAGAGTCACACTTATATAGACCTTGCGACATCGTTACAGAAGAGCTTTGCCATTGCAGCTGGTCTGCTTAATCACAGGCCATCGGTAGCCTCTTCGTCCGCTGCCAGTGAACATATACATAGTAGGTACAACCATTATACGCATCATCATGTCGGTGTGACACGAATGAATGTCTTGGGCGCTGTCCAATTGTCACATGTTGTTGCGCCGTCACCAACTACTACACAACAACAACAACACCAGCATCATAATAATGGACAGGTCGTACAACTCCCAGACCATAGCGCCAACAGCAGTAGTAGTAGTAGTAGTAGTAGTAGCAATAGTAGTACGACGAATACTAATAATAATATAATATATAATCATAATCAAGGTGCGCCAATTGGTCTGGGAGTTGTAGAACTTGGATTGGGTCATCCTCCCGCAGTGCATCCATCAAGCGATCAACCTCAAGCATCAGACAGTACTATGAATGAAGACAACGACAGCAACAACAACAACAACAATCGCGACGAGAACAACAACAACAATAACAATGGCAATGGCAATGGCAATCATTCAAACTCAAAGATGATGATTATGTCACCTGGTGATGAGATGGATATTGAAGAACTAGAACATCATATTAGACTAGTGTGTAATAATAGCAAACAAGCTTCCAAGATACCATTCGCGGTGCGTGCCAAGTGTATCCCAGTGCGACTCAATGTCAAGGAGAGGAACTATCTGCGTCTGCTCGAGTCGGCGCTTCACGTATCAGAGTACACCGACCAAATCGATATCCGCATCAACTACAGTGCCAAGACCACCCGCATGAAGAAGCTCATCCATCAGATATGTGACATCCTTACAGGACTACTAGTCGCCAAGTAAGTCAAAGTCAACGAGGGATGCAGAGATAACATACACTCGCGGACTAACTAACACCAATCAATCAATCAATCATAGTGACTTCAAGAGTGGACGAGAACTATTGAGCTCACATGAACTGAAGGAGAATGAGGAGTTCTTCCAGATGGTGTTTGAGATTGGCAGACGACACAAGATTATGAACCCATCAAAGATGAGATCAGAGTATGGAAAGATGATTCATTTGCTACAGGATTCAAACAAGAGTGAGATTCGCTCAGCCATTGGAATGACATTGGTCACCGATCTGAAGACTGTGTACAAGACACTGGAGAGATGTGATGGTCTCGCACTGCTGGACGACCCTCTGCTCGACTTTGCCACAAGGGAGATCACACTATATGGCAAGACACGCGATGCCATCCATCATGAGACCACCCTAAAGGACAAGGCCATCAAGGCACTCTCCAACAAGTATAGATCAGAGACACTGTCCTCCGACACGATCCAACAGTGCATCTATTCGATCGGTGACAACAACTCGTTCCTGAGGGACAACCGCGACCCCGTCAGCAAGATGCTCAAATACCTCGACACCTACTTTGACCCAGAGAAGGAGGACTCGCACTTCTCGCTAAAGATTTCGTTTGGCCAGGAAGGCGCGCGCCTCAGCCACTCACACAGCAGACAGTGCATCTACGTCTACCAGTCGCTAGTTCTTTGGAAGAAGATCCTGAACGACATGTTCAAGCTCTGGTATCTGGCAGAGACGGATCTGCTGCGCGGCGCCGATTACCGTCTGTCCGAAACTGGACAGGGTCTGAACCGTATGCAGTATGCACCCAAGATCTCTGCCGAGATGGGCAGGATACTCCAGTCGGCACAGATCAAGGTTGGCTCTGGCTGGGTCGGCTCAACCGTCGTCCACATGGGCGATCACAACGTGCCCAATGCATTGACATTCATCGACAAGTACACTCAAGTGTCTCGCATCCTCAATCCCATCGTAACGACACTGGAATACATCGAGCGACAGCAAGAGCCACATCTATTGGACCTCATCAACAATCACTTCCATGGCAAGAGATTCTTGATGATGGTATGTATCATCGACAGCCATTGGACATGGGCTTTCCTTTGCTCCTCACTCACTCATTCACTAACTCATTCGTTCAATCAATCTAGTGTATTCTGACCGACTTCTTCAGGCATGGATTCGATGGAAGTGGCGCAGACAACAGCTTCGACGCAGGATCATGTATTGATGGCAGATTGACATCATGTTGGAACTGGTGCTCCAAGATCGAAAAGAAAGGCTATTATCCAATCTTCTTGCTCGCTGGCTTCAATGGATTCGATGGCAGTTTCAATTAAGTTGATTAAACTCATCGTCTTGTTATGCTAGTCTATTACACAACTCGAGTAGTCTAAGGTGTTACAGTGCAGGGTGCAAGATAGATGCAATGCAGTGAAGGGAGTTGCAGTGCGTACACACGTTGCTATTACATTGTTTAATGGTCTTGGCTTGGCAACACTATCTGTGTCTTGCCATCGTATGGCTTGACCAACAGCTCAGAGAATATAGAGAGTGATGGCACTCCTCTGATCTCAGCCTTCAACAGTGGCATCTTTGTCACGTGGAAGTCCATGTAGAGGTCGGCCATCTGGTCGAGATACTTCTGCTGCATCTTTCTTCTTGCTAGACAGAGTCCACAATCAATCTCTGGATAGACAATCTGGTTGACGATGATGTTCTGTACGTCCATGTCCAACTTTGTTAGTTGTTGGATGAGTCTCTCGGTCTCGTAGAGTGAGAGGAACTCGGGGATGCAGACTGGAACAAAGGTGGTCATGTCAGGGTTCTTGAACTGTACATTGACTTCCTCAATAGTCTTCTTCAATGATGTAATTCTATTCTGGATTTGATCTGGTGTCTGAGTAGTTCCAACTACGTTACCAATCTGATTGTTGGTAATTGATTGATTGATTGTCAGTGAGTGAGTGTCGTTTCATCTAGATGTGACCAACACTTACAGTTGAGAAGATACCAGATAGGTTACCATCCATGAACTTGGCAATACCCTTGTCCAAGAGTGATGGAATGGATAGGAGACGAAGAGTGTGACCTGTTGGTGCTGTGTCGAATACAATGACAGAGAACTCCATGCTTTGAACAAGCTTCATCACCTCGGAGAAACTCATTGCCTCATCGATACCAGGGATAGACATGGCAATCTCTGAAAAGTTGAACATATCCTTCTGCTTGTCCATGAACTCTGGTGCATCTTGATCTGGAGTTGGGTCGATTTCCTGTTATGTTGTATGACCGATGATCGGTGTTAGAATGTATCGTCGATGATTGATTGATAGATTGTCCCATACCATGCAATGCAAGTTCTTGAAGCCATTGACAAGAGATGGATGCTTAGTGAACTTCTGACCAAACGCATCGCTCAGGTTGTGAGCGGGATCTGTGGATATGAGCAACACTGAATCTCTGACCTTGGCAAGCTGAATAGCAAGACTGCAACTAGTAGTAGTCTGTTGTTGAAACATTCATTCAGCAAGTTAGTAAGTAAACAACAATGCTCGTGTAATTGTGTGTCTTCGCCTTACCTTTCCTACACCACCCTTTCCTCCAACGAATATCCACTTCAAACTCTGTTGATCGAGCAAGTTCTGAATTGATGGAGCGTACTCATCAATGCCAATATCACCTCCTGGTGCTGCTGTTGAAGTTGTTGATGTAGACATTATCTATCTGGGTATGTATATAGGTTTATGTTTATGTTTGTATGTATGTATGAATAATGATAATGAATTTGAATGTGTGTGAACTTACTCAAGAATGTCGTTGAAACGCAAATATCAATGAAATTTCGTTGGAATTATATAAATCAGTGAAACAATGATGAAATTGACTATGATTATACCCTGTCGAATCACCAAAGAATACTTGGTCTGTCCCAAGGTAATTGCCAAAGCTTACTATGTTCGGTCCATAGAAATAGCCAAAGTATTCTTTCGTAGATGACAATATGATCGCCAATGCTTGTGTAAGTATACTTTGGAAAGTGCAAAAGTACTCCCAACTCCCAAAGTAATAGCCAAAATAAACCTTGGTCAATAGACAAGGTATACCTGGGGACGACCAGAGTAATGGCCTTGGTAATTGCCTTGGTAGTAGCAATATTAACCAAAGTAATTGACAAAGTATACTTTGGTAAGTGCAAGAGAAATCCCCAAACTTTGGTAGGTACGTGTATTCTGATTTACATTCTATGGTATGTAAAGGAATGTTGGACAGATCAGAAGTTATTGATAGAAGAGAGTGTGTGGCTACATGGCGAACAAACAATCTCAATGAGCACACTATCACATCCACAAATAAATGTTGGTCAAGGGGAGGGATCTGGCCTCTGATTAGTCAATATGGTTAATCAATTGTCACCATGCTTATAAGTATGTGATTGATATAGAGTGAATGAATCAGTGAGAAGAAGAGATATGAAAATAATGATGAACTTGACAACAGGAGGATTCAGATCTGTGACATAAATGACATGACCCGACACGACATTTGCCACCTCGGCCTGACATTGTTGTCCAGGACGGGGACCAAAGTTGAGGAGAAACGAACCAGATACAAGTTTGGAAATAACCGGTGACTGACATACTGACAGGCTGACATACTGGTTAGTTGGTTGGTCAGTCAGTTGATTGATTTGTTACGTGTTGATGTCAGCGATGATGTGATTGGCTTGTCATTGTCAATCAAGAGACCCAGACCTGGGTTTTCAGAACTGATCAACTCACACACACAGTTTTGCAAACAGTTACTTTGTTTGGGACCCGCGTGAAACTTGCCATACTGGTGTGTATGATGTTTATGTTAGCGTGAAACCAGACATTAATCCAGCCGATCGTGATGTGCATCCCAGGAGAAAGTACGTTCCTATCATTTCATTTTGCCCATTGTTAGTGGACCATGAGACAGGGAGAGTGAATGAAAAAATGAAATTAAATAAATAAATTCGTGTCGACCAAAAGTGGGCAGGTGCAAGGTATTTGAATGGAAGATGGATGAGCTCACTACCCAGGCCCAGGCTCGCTCACCTTTGAAATCAAGGTTAAAAAATAGAAAGGTCTGTGTGGGATTGAGAAAAGATTGTGAGGTGGTGTGTGACTTGTTTGTTTCAAGCTCACAGCATACTTGTGCCCAGTGTTGCTCACTCAAAGACTCACTCCAAGCACCTTCTTTGCCTCACCCACAGCCAATCCATCCGTTCATCCAACACCTATTTGTTAGTGTGCTTGTTGTTGTTGTTGTCCATCACCCACCTCACATCACTTCTTATTTCTCCTTACTCAACTTATTCATTCCAACTTCATCTATCTCTATCTCTCCATACAATACATTACAATCAATCAATCAATCAAGTCAGTCAAATAGTCAGTCAGTCAACCAGTGTGCACCACTTCATAATCAAACATACAACATACAATAATATATAATGTAAGTTCGCAAATATGTTTGATGTTGATTGAATGTGATTGATTGTCTTTGTGTCTTGTGTGTGCTGATGTGTGTTGTCGGTTGGTTGGTTGTTTGCGCGACCATCAACGACAAAGTTTGTGTTGTTTCCCCCAGGCAGCCAATTCATTCAATCTTTCCCCCAGACTGACTGGCTGGACTGGATGAATGAATTAATTAGACCCTGGTTGGGTTTACCCCAACCCCCAGGAGTCATCGCGACACCCTTTACAACATTAATAATAACATATATACTAACACACAATCCTCCTTACCACTCTATTCTACTTCTAAATTAATTAATTTATTCTTTCTCCATCCATTCGTTCATTCATCATTATTATTACTACTTATACATATATACATACATAATATATTATTACTATATAATAATGATGACACTGATACCAGATAATAATAATTATAATAATATAATGGGATTCGAACAATTTGGAGTTGATAGTGATTTCTCTATCAACAGTGCATCATCTGCACAATTATATCCACAGCAGCAACAGCAGCAACAACAACATGGATCAATTATGGATTCTCTACCATATTCATTCGTTCAACAGCAGCAGCAACAGCAACAGCAGCAACAGCAGTCAGCACCAGCACCTCAATTTGAGAATGCAACAGATCTCAAGAGATGTCTAAGATGCACAAAGATATACTATCACATGGATTCATTCAATAATCAAGCTTGCTCATTCCATAGAGACAAGTATGTCATGTGCCTCACTCATCAATCACATGGACAATGACACTAACACATCTAATCAATTAATCAAATATAGTTATATCAAGACTGAAGAGAGATGGCTATGCTGCAACAGAATTGGAAGAGAGGCATCACCATGCTTCAGCACTTATCATCAGGAGGATGAGAACACTACACAGATCCTTCGTTCAATGACTGTTGCCAAGCCAGAGGTGGTTCAGAACAGCCCACTGTTCCAGAATCTAAACTTTGGCTACGTTGGCGCCGAGAAGATCTTGTACGAGGGCGTCATGAAGAAGCAGGGCAAGCGTCTGGGCTTCTGGGAGCGTCGTCGCTTCCGTCTCACATTTGGCACACTGATCAACTATCACGACGAGTCGGACAAGGTCGTGCACCGTGTCTTCCAACTGGGCGACATTGCCATCTCGTTCAAGCGCATGAACACTGACGAGGGCGATCGCATCTGTCTGATCATCAACGATGGCCAGCGCAACCACAACCTGTACTCGCCCGTCGCCGACCAGACCGAGGCGTGGATCGACTGTCTGCACACACAGAAGAAGTTCTTTCTGCAGTCCAAGTCCAACCAGAAACTGTTGCAGACCTCCGGCTCTGGATTTCAGACACTATCACTCTCTCCACCGAATCCTCATCAATTCCTGTTGCACTACCCTTCTCTGAACCCCAATGCCAACATCAATGCCAACAACAACAACAATGCCAACAATGCCAACTTTTACTCTGGAGAGTCTGTGGCGCAGCAGCCACCTCATCAGCAGTCGGGTGTGGCGGCACAACAGCCATTCCCAATCATCAACAACTACTTCCCACAGCCGCCTCAGATCATTGACGGCGTGATCACCAGCACCAGTGGCGACAATGTCCAATGGATTCATCACAGCGTGCAGAGCAGCGACACGCTGGCTGGTCTGGCCATCCGATACAACACCACGATCGATGTGATCAAGCGCACCAACTTGATCAAGAACGACACGTGCATCACTCATCAGACACTGCTCATCCCCGTGTCGGGCAACATCAACCTGTCCACGCAGGCTCCCACCCCCATGACGGAGGAGCAGCAGCGCAGGAAGATGATCCAGTTGCTATCAGTGTCTGAGGGCATCTCCAAGGAGGAGTCGCGATCCTATCTCTCCAACAACGACTGGGACATCAAGCGCGCCATCAAGGAGCTCAAGGATGACCTGGACTGGGAGTCCCAGCATCCATTTGTACAATAGATCGTCGTCTGTCATCGTCCAACCTACCAACCAACCAACCATCAGCCAGTCAGTCAGTCGGTCAGTCAGTCAATCAGTCAGTCAATCAGCCAGTGAACCATTTATTTCGATCGAACAGTTAATAACTGTTGTCGACCAATATCCAGGTTCTGGCTTGATGTCATCTCGAGATCCAGTTTGGAACAAGTGTCCCAGTGTTCACCGCCCGTGTGGTGTCACCGTGGACAATCATTCCACAAGTCTCATCGCCATCGCCATCATCATTTCCAAGTAGTCGACAAGTTCATCCGAGAACATACATAACATACATTCATTCATTCAACCAACTCACCTTCCTACCTTACACCTTCTCTCCATCTCCATCTCCATTTCAATTCAAACCATATACGACACCATAAATGCTAAAGTTTGTAACATTGGTATATATAATCCACTTGTTCCATCCTTTGTGCTCATAGTGTATGTTGTTGATTCCCATCCTACCCTATCCCTTCCTCCTCCTACTCCTCCCAACCTCCCTCCCTCCCTCCATCCCCAACCTCTCCCCAAACCCATCCATAATTATGTGATTGAATAAACCTTCTGCTCCATCTACATCCATCCATACATCCTCCATCCTCCGTCCATCTATCTATTTATCTTGAGTCTCTTGAACATCAACATTTACCAAACATGATTGTCCACGCGTCTTAACTTTAATCTACTCGATTATTGATGGTAGTTACGTGTAGTAATATTATATGTAATAATAGTTATAGTAATAGTAGTAAAGGTAATAGTGATAATCATTGAATAGATGTGATTAACATTGTGAACCTTTAACCATTCCAACATTCAACGAACAGTCTTTGACTTCAACCAACCCTGGGAGCTTCACGACTAGTGTTTGAACGGAACTCCCCACCACCATCTGTTGTCTCTTTTCTTTTTTTTCAGAGCTGGTGATGATGTTGACTTCATCCTCATCAGTACCTGTTCATTCATTCATTCAGTTAAATTACATTACATTACATACGCACTCTCTCTCTCTCTATCCTTTGAACATACATACATCAACACTACAATAACACAATGGACTTGTAAGCGATATATACAGAGATGAGAAAGTGATTGATTGATTGATTGATTGAATGATTGAATGGTTGTTTGTGATGATTGATTGAGTGTGATGATTGAATGAGCGACACTGATGAACAACGAAATGATTGACATGACATGACATATACAACCAATATAGACAAAGTACAGCAAACACAACTACTTCGATTATAGGTACACCGATTCAGCAACAACATGGTGGATCAACACAACAGGCGAATGCTGCTCCTAATGGAGGTGCAGTACATCCTTTGGCCAACAGCTTCTTCTTCTTCTACATGCCAAAGAGGCCCAAGAACACTTCCGATTATCTCAACGATCTCCAGATGATAACTGGTCCAGTCAACACTGTAAGGGATCATTCATTCCATTCATTCAATCATTCAAAGCAATCAATGCACTATCTGACACGAGCATCAACTCAACATTCGCTACAAACACATACATAGGTGGAGACGTTTTGGTCATACTACAGTCATATGATCAGACCCGTGGACGAGTTCTCCACGCTCAGCGACATATATTTATTCAAGGAGGGCATCAGACCCGTCTGGGAAGACCCAGAGAATCAGAATGGCGGCAAGTTCGTCATCAAGGTCAGAAGGAACTTCACGTCCAAGTGGTGGGAGGACCTGGTATGTTGATTGCTTTGCTTGTCACATGCTCACATGACACTCAGTTGACTAACACTATTGCTCGTTTGAACCAACAACAGTTGTTGGCCTTTGTTGGTGAACAAATCGAAGGCGGTGACTCGATCAACGGCATCGTCATATCATTTAGGTCAGCAGACAACAGTTTGATTGGAATATGGAATAAGGATTGCAATGACGATGAGTCAAAAGAAAAGATAGCGTAGGTATCACTTCAATCAATCGATCAATCATTCAATCGATCAATCATACTCACTCGCAGCTCGCACCTCCCACTCGCATAACAACAAACAGCGCCAGTCTTCGCAACTTGTTCCGAATCGAAAAGGTGGACTACAAGCCACATCACTATCGCATGCGCGATGGTACCAAGGAGGCCGGCGACGAAACTTTGACTAATGGTCATGGAGGCCTTAGCTCGTCACTGGATATGGCCGATGCCTCTGGCGCAGCCTTCCTCAAGCAGCATCAATCGGCGGCAGGAACAGCAACAACCAATGTTGTTGTTGGCTCGCTTCAACAATCACCTCAACACAACTTGTATAGCTTGTACCAAACAACAACTCCATCTTCCACTACCACAGCATTAAACAGAGGTGGCGACGTGTAGTTAGTTACTTAACGAGTATCCCCCATTGGTATAATTGAGTGATTGATTGAATCATCGACTGTGACAGTCACGTCAGTCAATCAATCAATCTACTTCTACTTCTTCATCTTTGGTCAATCAAATGATTGACTTTGTAAAGTCCCAAAATCGAGAAAAAGGGTCATTTGGCGCTCTGACATTCAATCCCAAACGTGTGATTCATGAACTTAATCATCGTGTTCATTCATTCTATACTTTCCCAATTATTTGTTTGTTCATAGATAGAGATAATATATATTTATACATATACATAGATAGACATGTCATCAAAGAAGAATGATTTGAAGATTGACGAGAGAGTGTTGCAATATAAAGCACAGCTATATGAGCAGGCTTTGGAGCATCTCAAGGTTACCATCCCTCAGAGGATCATAGATTACCAGAAGCTTGCAGTATGTTGATGATCAATAGACTACATTCATTCATTATCATACATACTCGCTCCAACACATACTTATAATCACATCACATTCACAGACTACATTGGAAAACGAGTCCATCTTTGTTGACTCTAGCAGTGATTCGGTTGCCATTGATAAGAAGAGAAAGATTGGAAACAGTACACATACATCAATGTCAATTGAGGAACTATCAAAGACGAACGCAGTATGTTGAACGCACTCACGCATGATCATTAATCAAAAGCAAAGTGCTATCTGATCAGAACACATTGTCACTCACACATACCATCTACAACCAATCAATCAATCAACCCATCCATCCATCCTCTGACTTGGCCTTCCCTGCTACTCGCTCTCTCCATTGTCCATACATACAGCACATCTTGCAATCTCACAACACATTGAAGAAGCACTATGTCGATCTGATTGAAACATTCTCTGTCATTCGTTGCTGGATCTCGTTGAATGTTCCAAGAATCGAGGATGGAAACAACTTTGGCGTCGATATCCAAGAGGAGATGATTGGCACTCTCACCAAGTTGGAGGACATCTACACCACTCTGCTGGAGCAGTCAGAAAACTACTTTATCCATCGCGCCAACACCATCAAGAAGGCGCTCAAGCATCGCGATATCGATGACTTTAAGCAAGCGTAAGCAGGACACTCTTGCCTGGCAATGGCATGCCCTTGTCCTGGTACTTTGTTCAATCAATCATTTACTTACCTATTCCTTGTCATTCATTTAGGATTATACAACAAGATGAGAAGGAGCTGATCAGGTTCCGCTTCTCCTACCACGACCTCGCCAACAACTACGCCACAACATACTCGACGATCATCAAGAACTTCCAGAAGTTGGAGGCTCCAAGACCAACATCATCAGCAATAAATATGTTGTAGAATGGAAGGTAGTTGATATATTATATAACATTTCCATAAAATGATCACAATGAGATTGAACGAATGATTGAATGATTGACTACACTATACTATCTCCTTTATTGTTTACTTCTTTCCGAAATGCTCCAAGATGTTGACCTTCTTGGAGAACTCATCGGACTTCTTGCCAGAGATGGTACCCTGGAGGAGCTTGTTGATACGGGCGAGCTCGGTGGCAACGAAGGCCTCAGTCTTCTGGATGGACTCCATAACCTTGACGTAGAACTTGCCCTCTGGCTTGACGTCAGCGGCGAGAGTCTCGACGATCTTCTTGGCCTCGGCGATGATCTCAGTGCGGGCAGTCTTGGCTCCCTCAACAAACTTGGTGACGAGGGCATCGAGGGCCTCAATGCGGCCGGCGGCTGGGAGCAACTTGCCTCCCTTGACACGCTGAGTGCCGGCGTTCTTGTTGATGAAGCTGACAAAGGTCTCGACATCACGGCCCTGCTCGTACTTCTCGCCAGCCTTGTTACCCTTGGGGAAGAACTTGATGGTTGGGTAACCGGTGACCTCGTACTTCTGGCACTGCTCCTTGTTGGCGTCACAGTCAATCTTGGCAATGACGACGTTGGCATCGTTGGCAAAGGTGTTGGCAAGGATCTCGTAGTCTGGGGCGAGCTTCTTGCAGTGTCCACACCATGGGGCGTAGAACTCAACCAACACGTCCTTCTTGGCGTCGAGAACGACCTGGTCAAAGTTGGCTGGGGTCAAGTCAACAACGTTGGATGGGGCCTTCTTGACCTTGGCGTTGGTGCCAGCGTTGTTGTTGATGAAGGTAACGATCTCATCGACTGATCTCATACCGTTGTAGCTATAAGTTTGATTGATCGATGTTGATTGATTGAGTTGATTGATTGAAAGTGTTAATGACATGTTTCAAACTAATCAATCAATCATTCTTGTTGTTCGTTATACATACTCCTTTGGCTCAGTTGACTTGGCAAAGACCTTGAGGGTTGGGTAACCAGAGACGTCGTACTTGGCACAGAGATCCTTGTGGACGTCACAGTCGAGCTTGGCGACGGCGACAGACTTGCTTCCGGCAAAGGTGTCGGCGATGATCTCGTAGTCTGGGGCGAGCTTCTTGCAGTGTCCACACCATGGAGCGTAGAACTTGACAAAGACAGTCTTGGTTCCATCGACAACAGTGTCAAAGTTCTCTGGTGACAAAACGATAACGTTGCCATCGGCGGCAACCATGGCCACCAAAACAGCGACGAAAGCTGAAATCAACAATAATCTGTTCATTTTATATGTATATGTATGTTTATGTATAATTTGATAATGATTGAATGAATGAATGAATTGATTGAATGAAGTTGACCAAATACATAATGGAGATGGAGTGAAGTGAAGTTAAAAATCCATTTTGGAATAAAAATTAAAATTAATTCAGTGATGACTCACCCCTTTGATGACATACTTGTTGTTGTTGGCAAGTGAGAGTTGGTGTGTTTCGCCGTTTGACTCTTTGGTTTGGTTTCCTTTGTTGTGTGTGTTGGAATGAATGAATGAGGGTAAGGGTTAGGGTTAGGGTTGTCGAGTCAGCCAACTAACGACACATGACAATATGGATGGATGAGCTAATAGACAAGCTTCCAACGAACCAACAAATTCCATTTCAAGATCGATGGTGCTTGGACATGTGTGCTTGAGAAGGGAAGTATACATCTGGATTGGGGTTGAATGTGTGTGAGTGTGATTGGGGAGTCATCATTTGGAATGAACGGAAAGAATGAATGTTTCCGGAAGGTACATCCATTGTTGACTATCCACTGGATACCAGAAGTATTGAAGTTGTTTGATGAGAGCTCGACATTTGGAGTGAGGAGAGTTTATTGCTGCTGGTTGACATGGTTGGCAATCCACTCGGTGGTGACGGACTTGGGTCTCTCGATTGGGTGGCCGAGAGCACGATCCCAGACCAAGGAGGACAGGACACCGATGGCACGGGAAACTCCAAAGAGGACGGTGTAGTATGAGTGCTCCTTCATTCCGTAGTACTGCAACAAGATGCCAGAGTGGGCGTCGACGTTGGGCCATGGGTTCTTGGTCTTGCCCTGCTTGGTGAGCACGGGTGGCACGACCTCGTACACCTGGCTGACCAGCTTGAACAGTGGGTCGTTGGGCAGATGCTTCAAGGCAAACTCACGCTGGCATGTGTAACGTGGGTCGGTCTTTCTGAGGACGGCGTGGCCGAAGCCTGGGACGACGCGACCGGCGTTCAATCCCTCCCAGACGAGCTCAGCGAGCTTCTCGTTGGAGACCTCTCCCTCGCCAATCTTCTTCTTGAGGTCGAGGGTCCAGGTGAGCACCTCCTGGTTGGCCAGACCGTGGAGTGGACCGGCCAGACCACACATACCGGCGGCGTACGAGAGGTATGGGTCGGAGAGGGCAGAGCCGACCAAGTGAGTGGTGTGTGCGCTGACGTTGCCTCCCTCGTGGTCAGTGTGGATGGTGAGGTACAGTCTCATCAACTCGTCAAACTCCTTGGAGTTGTAGCCGAGCAGACGGTTGAAGTTGGCCGACCAGTCGAGGCTTGGGTCGATGGCGCCCATCTTGCCATCCTTGTATGTGCAGCGATAGATGAGAGCGGCAATCTCTGGAAGCTTGGCAATGATGTCCAAAGAGTCCTCCAAAGTAGAGTCCCAGTACTGATCCTTCTTGACACCCTTGTGGTAAGAGGCAGCGAATTTAGAGTTGGTCTGGAGAGCCAAGCTGTTTGATTATAGTCGCGTGAGTGTACGATGTGATGATGATGATGATGATGATGATGACGATGTTAGTGATCGAGTTTGATTGAATGATTGAGACCCTCGAAGGATGATGAATACATACATGGCAGCACCAAGCTGTGACATTGGATGCATGTCCTTTGGGAAGTTCTTGATCATGTTGACGACAAAGGTTGGGAGACCAGCACGCTTGGCAAGATCCTTGGAGAGATTCTGAACCTGGGAGGTGGTTGGGATCTCACCAGTGAGCAGCAACCAAAGGATACCCTCTGGAAGTGGCTCCTCGCCGCCTGGGGCCTTGGGGAGCTTAGCCTGGCACTCTGGGATGGTGAATCCACGGAAACGGATTCCCTCCTCTGCGTCGAGCGACGAGGTCTCAGTGACCAACGACTTGACCGATCTCATACCACCGTAGGCTTGAGCAACAGTGCATGTTCCAATGATCTTCTCACCATGCTCCTCCTTGAGCTTCTTGACCTGTGCGATCTTGCCTGGGATGATCTGGGTGAGTCTCTCCTTCAAAGTTGGCTCAACAGCTGATGAGAAGCTTCTTGCGAAGGCCTAAATATTTGATTGATTGATTGATTGATTGATTGATCGTATAATTGAGTCAGATAATTGATTATCCAAGTTCTTCCTGTTTTGATCGATCAATCAATTCAATTGAATGAACATACTCTGTTGAGAGAAATGCTTTGTCTAATGGCAGTTGAGAACATTATTATATTATGTATGTGAATGAAGAGATATTTAATAAATACAACAATGAAGCAAACAATCAATGAAATGAATGGAATGAATGAATGAGTGAGTGATGGACGTAGAGTGGATGTGGAGCAAGAGAGTGACGACAAAATGTGATGTGTGCGGGAGGAATGAGGACAGACAGAGAGAGAACATGCACCTTGTGAAGTCATCGATGTCGCCCAACTTGTGTGTATTTTTTTTAAACTTACTTGTGGGGGACCACCATACATAGAGCACACAGTTCATGACATAATTTTTGTTTCACTTGATCCCGCTTGTCCCTTTATGAGATAATTGAAATGAAATTTCCCACTGGTGAGGAAGTTCCCTTCTTTGGTCATGCGCAGATCTCTCTTCATGTCGACGCGATGTGTTGTTGCTCGCGGTGCCAGTTACCTTCGCGCTCCCAACAACTCTACTTGTCGCGACCTCTAGTTCTATTTGAGCTACTTTCCTCGATTCAATTGAATAATCACTCACCTCATCAATCACTCAATCAATCAATCATAAGATGTTTCGTCAAGCTACAAGATTATTCAACAGTGTATCAACTTCGAGCATTGTTGGCAAGGTTGGTCTTGGTCGTCTAAACCATGTTGCCATCGCCGTACCAAACATGTCAGAGGCAACCTCATTATACAGAGATGTGATGGGTGCCCAAGTCAGTGAACCAGTGGTAAGCATAATCAATCAATCACATCAATGAATGAATGATTGAATGTCGCTGACTTGTGTGTTCAATATTGCATATACAGGATCAAAAGGAACATGGAGTTACAACAGTGTTTGTTGCATTGGATAATACAAAGATAGAGTTATTGCATCCATTGGGAGAGAATAGTCCCATTGCTAACTTCTTAAAGAAGAATCCTTCGGGAGGTGTACATCATGTTTGCATCGAAGTTGATGATATCAACGCCGCTGTCAAGACTCTGTTGGACAAACAGGTCAAGATCATCGATCCCAATCCAAAGATTGGCGCACATGGCAAGCCAGTCGTCTTCCTCCATCCCAAGGCCATGAATGGTGTCATGGTCGAGCTGGAAGAGAAATAAAGCGACATCAACAACTACGATTAATGTATCATACATCAGATTGATTGATTGACTTGATTGACTGACTGCATGGCCACATGGTAGATGGTCACAACTTGTTAGTGGAGCTCTCCTGACTGATCATGATCAGTTGGGGGTTGGACCCCCACCAGGGCCTTCCCATCTTGATCAAATTGAACTTATTCATAACTTCACTCATTCATTCATTCATTCATTCAATCAATCTCACACAAACAAAGAAAGAAATAAAGATGATTGCACCATCAACAACTGATGCCGTGGACAAGGCTTTCAAGACAGAGGTCACAGCACTATATAAGGAGCTGATTGTCAATGTGCCATCGATTGATCAGGCTACATTCTCAGGCACATCAAAGACTGTTGGCTCATCTGATGTGACCGTCTCAATGGTGATGTCCACAAGTGACTTCCACAACAAGAAGGACAAGTCCTACATGCTGTCCAGGACGACCACACGCAGCGATCGCCACGATGTGTCAATGTCACCATTCCCCGTTGAGATGGCCGCTGCCATCGTATCAGTCTCTCCATCAGGCCGCTATATGCTCTCGATCAAAGAGGCCGGAGAGAATGACTTCCAGATGGAGATTGTTGATCAAGGCCACATCGTGCGCACCATCAATGCCAAGGACGTGCACAAGAAGATCTTTGTAGATGGTAAGGCGGAATGATCATACAAACTTCATCTTCATCGCGCTGACCGACTGACTGACGCTCTATCCCTCGCGCTACAGAATGGTTCGGCAGGATTTCATGGTCACCATGCGAGCAATACATCGCCTACATTGCTGAGCGCCCATTGGAGACGACGACATTCTATGATCGCGAGCCAAAGGAAAAGGCTGTTGGAGACTCGCACGTGTATCGTAGTGATTGGGGCGAGACCTACGCGCCACATCAGTCACCATCAATCTATGTCGTGGACATCTGCAACGAGTCCATCATACCAGTGTTGTGGCCATTATCCGAGGCCCTCACTGCTGGTCAGGTCATCTGGACCACCGGCGAGGCAGTCGGTCTAGTCTTCATCGGATGGAAGGTGGAGCTGAGAAGATTCGGTATCAGAGCATGCTTCAATCGTTTGTAAGTGTGTGCGCCCGCTGGAAGTTGATTGATTGATTGCTAACAACCTCGTGCATGCAATGTAGGAGCTCGATATACTACGTCAACTTCAAGGATCTGGTGCAACAGAGACAGGACCTCAAAACAAGACATGCTGCCGGCGATCATACAGCCAGCCCCAAGCACGCACAGGTGACACCGGTCAACTTGTTGGGCGACTTTATCGGTTGCTTCCGCTCGCCAAGGTTCTCGTTGGATGGCAAGCAGTTGTACTTCTTTGGAATGCCCGGTATTGTATTGCCACACAACTCCTGCTCGCAACTGCTCTCCATTCCATGGACGGGCGGTTCAGCGCCAGGCACACCACCAGTGACAATCCAGATTGGCGAGCGTAACTTTGCCGACAAGGATTTCTCTGGCATCTACAGCAACGCCATGCCAGCCAACCCATGGTTAACTCCAAACACGCTGGTCTTCGGCACGATAGTGCACTCCCAGAACGTGAGTGTCTTGCATGGAATGATTCCGATTAATCAGTCATTCACTCATACTGACTCTTCCTCTTTCCCCTCCCCTTCATGTGCAGCGAGTGATCCTGTTCAACACTGATACCAAGACAGTCACAGCCCTCCAACCAATCAATGGAGGATCATGTGATCTGCACGATGTAGACACTGTCAACTCCCAGATCCTTGTGTCCGAGTCATCGGTCAACCAACCTGTCGCATTGGTAAGTAATCGCTAACCAACTATGGTCACGCCAGCCGATCCTAACCATCATCCTCACCATCTCCTTCATCCATCCACTAGTACTTGGGATACTTGAAGACAACAACCAATGTGACGCAAGACTCATTCATCTTTAAGAAGATTTATGAGACAAAGGTCAGCGATCGTTTGACCAAGATATTCGATGACATTGAATGGTCGATCGAGGATGTAAATGTGGCAGAGACAGTCAATGGCATCGACAAGTTCCAAATCATTCATGCACAGCCAAAGAACAAGGTGCCAGCACCACTCATACTCATGCCACATGGTGGACCTCACGTTGGATCAACCTGCGACTACAACGCGCCAGTTGTATTCTTTCTCGCCCTCGGCTACGCCGTCACTCAGATCAATTACCGTGGCTCGACAGGCTTTGGAAAGGACTATGTCGACGTGCTGTCTGGCAAGGCCGGCCAGATGGATGTGGCCGACTGCGTGTCCACGTTGGACTATCTGCTTGCCACACGTGGCCAGCGTCTGGACCGCGAGCGTGTCGGAGTTCAGGGCGGCAGCCATGGAGGATTCCTCGCCGCACATCTCAGCGGCCTGAAGGACTCACCAATCAAGGCAGCAGTCATCAGAAACCCTGTGATCGATATTGCTGCCATGTCCACGCAGTCCGATATCCCAGACTGGTGTTTCTTCGAAGCCGGCATACCTTTGGCACAGGGCGCCAGAGTCTACCCGACCGTGCCATCGCTGGAGCATCTGGAGAAGATGAGGAAGTGCTCACCCATCGTCAATCTGGACATTATCAAGACGCCAACACTCCTGATGCTTGGAGAGAATGATCTGCGTTGTCCACCATCCCAAGGACTGATGCTATACAACGCACTCAATCAAAAGGGAGTGGCCACCAAGTGTCTCATGTATCCCAAGACTGGCCATGGCTTGGCATCAATCGATGCCAAGATCGACCAGTGGATCCATGCAGTATGCTGGTTGAAGATCTATCTTCCAGCTTGATTGATTGAAGTTGTAACAAAGTAATAAATGATTTGGTTTGTGTTCATTTAGAATGGAAACAATGAGGCTTCCTGTGATTGGAATTGTCGAAGTGCTGTTGAGATGGTCCTCGGCATTCGTTTGTAGAAGCTCCAACAGAAATATACAAAGTAGCCCTGTTGTTGTTGTTGTTGTTGTTGTTGTTGTATTGCTTGGTCAGTCATGTGCAAGTGTCCATGTCCATGTTCAAGTATATTACATACCTCCATAAGTAGAACGGCTATCGAGATAAAGATACCGAATCCACTCAGTATCTTGATGTTGGCTAGCATGAAGGCCAGCCTAAATATGATGTCCACCACAAGGTAGAAGTTGTACTTGGGTGTGCTCGAGCATGTTAGTCATCTGCAGTTCCACTCAATCAATCAATCAATCAATCAAACAAGTTGTAAAGTACATACTGCCAAGAATAGTCTGGGCTTGTAGTAATGACAGGCGTAGAATCCAACGGGGTTCATTAGGAGACCGAGACTGAATATCATCCACCAGGCTTCACTAAAGTATGTCATGATGGAGAAGACCATGATGAGGATGGAGATCACTTTGATGATGCTCGCAGACCTCTTTATCTCGATGAATCGGTGATACTCCTCCGATGAGTGTGACACTACGCTCTCGGGCAGATCAAACTCCTCTGAACCAAGTCCCAGCTCCACATCCGGCACCCTCAATGCCTTATTATACTCTGCCTGTAATTCTGCAGCATAATCCTCATCATTGAATGTTGGTACATTCTCGGGTGGAGTAGTCGATGTCGTTGTAGTTGATGTTGAAGTGGATGTTGTAGAGGTGGTTGTAGTTGATGTTGTGGATGTCTTTGGAGAATCATTATGTTTCTGTTGTGATAGTTGATTGTTTACATTGGATAATCGTTGTGCAAAGTCTTTACTCTCATCATCCACGTCATCATCGAATGATCCAAGTAATGGCTTCTTCTGAGCTGCCGATGTTGTTGTGGCAGCATTCCCTCCACCTCCAATATTCTGATTATTATTATCAAGCATGCTAATAACTATATAATCTTGTTGAATGGTATTATATACAGATAGATAGATAGTAAGTGCAAAGAGATAGATAGAGTGTTTGAGTGAACTACCCCAGGCAGGTCACTATCAAGCTGGATACTTGTTCAACAGGAAAGAGAAAGAGAGATGTTGTTGCTTGTGCTCAAAGGGGGTACACCACACGCATCTTCATTCATTCACACATTCACACTCACCAACTCATCATCCCGACACTCACTCGACAGCAGTCTCGACCATCTGGGACTCACACGTGTGATTGAGTCGAGAGATAAAGACAGAGATAATATACCAAGGTGTGAGGTATAAGTCCATCTTGATCGATTGAATGATTGATTAATATATTGTCGTGTTTTGTTTATCTAATTATCTATATTGTGGACGTCTGGCTTGACCAAGTGATGAGAACAGACCAATGACTCCACCTATCGATGCTCCAATCGCTGACTTTACATAACCACCTGTGTTATTGTTGTTATTGTTATTGTTGTTGTCGAGTGGATAATGTTAGCCAATGGCAACAACAATGAGTCAATCAACATGACTCGCAAAGTCCATCGATTGATCGAACATACCTGGCGCTTTGACGACGGCACCAACCATGGCACCTGATGTAACTGAACAAAATATACTATTATCGTCTAGACCTGTACTGATTGAGAGACACTTGCGAAGTAGACCGAATGTGAGTGCCATGGCAGCACCGTTGTTTGCAAGTCTGGCAGCTCCACTGCCTGTATGATCGAGCACTGCGTTCATGCGTGGCTTGAAACCCTTCTGTACACCTGCTTCGCGGATACCACTGAATGCACCTGATGTAGCACCAACGAATGCTCCACTCAGATATACAATACCTGTATCCTTCCACACTTGTGACCAACCTGATCCATCCGGTTCATTCAAAGTTGAGAACTCCACTCCCTTTGGGGCTTCCATCGCTTCAGTTGTTGCGTGTTCGGCACTCATTGTATCTGTGTATGTATGTATATTAGGTTGTTTATATCTGTATGTTATATATATGTATGTGTTTTGAGTAATATGATGTAAGTAATAAGTGCAACTCAATGTTGTTGATTGATTGACTGAGCGAATGATGATGTGTGTTTGACGAAAGTTGTTGCATTTGACGCGAAGTCGACGATTCACCACTTTTTGAAAAATCGAGCATTTTGACATTTGAAGCTCAATCTTCAATTTCAACTCAATCATTCATTCATTCAATCAACCATTCAAGTTGTAAATAGAGATAAATATATTGATATAGATAGGATGCAAACAGGTGAGAGTGGAAAGAAATATGGTTTACAAATACCAGCATCAAAGTTAAAGAGTGCATTTGGCAATTCATTCGAGGAGGATGATGATGATGATGATGACACAAACTCAAAGTCAAAGACATCAACAAAGTCAACAACAACAGTAAAGAATGAAGGTGCAATTGATTATTATAGACAACGTGAATTGGAGAATGCAAAGAAGAATAGACCAACGAGTAGTGTACCGACGACAAAGGTTGAGAAGATGCAGGTGGAAGCATTGGAATTGGACCCAACGGCATTCGAGTATGACAGTGTGTACGACTCGATGAAACAGGAGAAGAAGAAGGGTGCCGATGCCATGCGAGCCGGTCTACAACAACAGGCACAGAAGCCAAAGTATATTAATGACCTGCTGCAACATGCCGATCGCAAGAAGAAGGAGTTGGAAAAGGTCAAGGATCACCAGGTGCAGCGTGAGCGCGACGCAGAGGGCGACACATTCAAGGACAAGGACGTGTTCATCACATCGGCCTACAAGAAGCAATTGGAAGAGAGGAAGCGAGAGGAGGAGCGCGAGCGTCTACTCGAGCAAGAGGAAGATGTCACAAAGAAGAAAGACATGTCATCATTCCACAAGAACATGTATCACTCAATAACAGATGACAAGCCAGAGGCTCAGGCACAGACTAAGGACTCAAACAAGTCATCATCATCATCATCATCATACAGCAGACCAAGAGATGATGATCGTGGAGGTTCTGGCCGTGGTCGAGGCGGAGGCGGAGATGGTGGAGGTGGCAGGAGATATGAAGATCGCGATGATCATGGATACAAGAGAAGAGATAGAGATGGAGATAGATACAAAGATCGTGGCGACAACAATGAGTCATCATATTCATCATCATCGTCATCGTCAAGACATTCAAAGAAGGAGTCATCATCTGCATCAAAGACAGTGGACAACACTCCCAAGTTGTTGTATCCACGAAGGAATGATGAGCAGTCCATTGCCGCAGCAAGAGAGCGATATCTACAAAGGAAGCTCAACAGAGCATAGCGTAGCTTTGTTGGTTTCATTGATTGATTGATTGAGCGATCCATCATTGATTGGCCTGTCCCATCATTACTCCTGCGATCCCGTCTCCACACTCTTCGAAGACTTGGACGACGCGGCAACATCAACACTTGGTAGTGGCTTGGCTGCATTGAACTGTCGAATGAATTGATAGTATACATGATTTGGACCATAGCGCATGTCGAACCAATAGTTGATGGCGATGGTCTTGTGCTCGTGATCACCGCGCTGAGCCACGCGATGATAATAAAGTGAGGGAAGATAGAGTATCTCACCCTCGTGTACCTCTACATGCAGTGGATGCGCACGCTCCACCTGGGGATATCGATGGCAGTTGACGCTGTAGTCTTTGGCTGGGTCGACGGGGATCCAGGGCACGCGCTCGGGCGGGTCGTCCGTGCGCATCTCCAGTCGCGCCGGGTTGTCCGCCGCCTCGACGTATGTGGCGGCCGGGAACTCGGTCTCGTAGAGGAAGGGGTAGTCGGTTGGCGGCAACAGCGTGAACACCTTGGTGCCCTTGACCACGCAGTAGATGTTCTCGTAGGGGTCCTTGTGCAGCGATGATATGGCGCGATCCTCGCCCATCCAGAAGTTGACGGCTTCGGGCTCCATGCCAAAGGCCTCCTTGGCAAAGTTGATGGCGGCGTGGTCAATGTCCTGCCACAGCGCCTCAAACTCCAAGTTGAAGCTGCCATTCTGATATTGAAGGTAGTGCACGTTGGAAGTGCCGTCGTCTCGCGGCAGATGTTCCAGTGTGTCGAGATATTGACTGAATGGTATCTTCTTCTCCAGTGGCTTCACAAAGTATTCCTTGCCATCTTTTGTACTTCTCTTTATCGCGTCGCCCAGACCATCTGGAGTCACTGCAACCGTAACCTCTGTATCCTTCATCTTATTCCTTAGATATTCAATCGACCATAATTTCAAAGCCTTCCAATTATTGAATGCGTCTAAGTTATGTTGAGTTAGTTAGTCGAGCTCATGAGTGTGACTACCTTGAGTTGACGCGTCCGTCATACACATACTCTTTATAATGACAGGTTTGTTCTGTGCGACATACTCTCTATAGAACTCTAATGGTGATGGACATTCAATCCTCTCAATCTGTTGTACTACGTAGAAGTCTGTGTTCATGTATCTCGTTAGCCATGTGCCTCACCCTTTCATTCATCTCGGTAACTCATACCATTAGTCTCTGTTGCCAACACTGATAATATATCATTATATCTACTCTCTACATCCACTCCATCATCTTGGTCGACGTCAACTGCTGCTACATCTTCAATGTAATCATCTGAATCCTCGTTGTTCATTGTTTATGTGTTGTGTGTATGCGAGAGTCGTGTGGAGCGTGGTCAACTAAGTATCTGCCGAATGAAGTCTCCGTGCCCAACATGAATAAGAATGACCTCATTTTGACGAATGACTGAATCAGATTGTTTGTTTCACTAACAAGTAACATACTTATACAATCAATCAATCTAATGATACAATGCTGACATTATTAACAAGAAGTGGAGCACAAAGCAGACTGGTCCCAATCATTCGACGCAGTTCCAACATCATTGTTCGCACCAACTTTAACAACAATGAGGATATAGTACAGTTGAACAAGAATACAGTGCATCGTTGTTATTCGACTACACCTACAAACTCATCGACAAGTACTTTGTTTGAAAAGGCAGAGGCAACAACTCAATCAATACATAGTGCATTGCAACATGATGTTGTTGCAGCAAAGGAGGGACCACTGCATAATTACGACCAGTTGATAAGCAGTGGCAAGATCAAGGTTGACAAGTATCAGCGCGAGACTGTCAAGCTGTTACAGAACCTCTACAATCAAATCAAAGACTACAATCCAGTATCATCGGACGATTCTGACAGTGGCAATTTCTCAAAGGTAGGTCTCTCACCTTGTCCACATCGTCTACTACACTGTATTGTACTGACTTGACCGCGTTTAGTGGGTGTCCAAACTATCTATCCTGTCATCCAAGCCATCGTCACCATCATCAAAGAATCAGATCAAGGGCATATATCTTTATGGCGATGTTGGATGTGGCAAATCATTCCTCATGGACTTATTCTACGACTCTGTCCCCATTCACAAGAAGAAGAGAATACATTTCCATCACTTCATGCTCGACGTACATAAGAGTATGTTACCAACACCCTTGGAACTATCCCCCAGTCAATCAATCAATCAATCTAATCATAATCAACCAATCATTAGGAATACACAAGTGGAGACAGACCAAGTCTGATGATGAGACCGACCCCATCCCACCACTTTCCAAACAGTTGACGGACGAGGCATGGCTATTATGTTTCGATGAGTTCCAAGTGACAGACGTGTCAGATGCAATGATATTGAAACGTTTGTTTGCTTGTATGTTTGATAATGGTGCCATCTTGGTGACAACATCCAACAGGCATCCAAACGACCTATACAAGAATGGATTGAATAGACAACTATTCGTACCATTCATTCACTTCTTGGAGTCCAAGTGTCTTGTCCACAACCTAAACTCTGGTCTAGACTATCGATTGACAGGCAAGCGATCAAAGAATGTTTATCTAACGTATGTACATGTACATGGACATGACAGGATGTGGCCTGGGACTAATCCACCGCATCACATCACAGTCCACTCACTCCAGAGAACAAGGAGAAGTTCTATCATTTGTTTGATGAACTGCGCCAGGGCGAAGAGGTAGTCAGCGAGACTATCACTATTAATGCGTCAAGACAATTGGTTGTCCCAAGAAGTGCTAGGGGCATTGCTCTTTATCGATTCAAAGAGCTGTGCGATGCAGCATTGGGCGCAGCCGACTATATTGCCATTTCAAAACAATTCCATACTGTATTTATCGAGGACGTTCCATCGATGAACGAGTCCACCAAGAACCAGGCAAGACGATTCATCACACTGGTCGACGTACTATATGAACACAAGGTCAAGTTGATCATCTGCGCAGAGGCCGCACCATCACGTCTGTTCATGTCCAATGCTGAGGACGTCGATACTACTACCGCAGAGTTTAGACAGATGACCGACGACCTCAAACTGACACCTGAGCAGTTGTCCAGGTTCACTGGTGAGGAAGAGCGATTTATGTTTAGCAGGGCTGTGTCCCGTATGGTGGAGATGCAATCAGACTCCTATCTGAGTGCGCACCACAATCCTCCAAAGTAAAACAAGCGTGCAGCTGTCGACAATGATTGAATATATGATATCGATTTATTTATTTGTGGAGCAGATTGATAGATTGATTGATTGATTGATTGATTGATTGATTGATGGATGGACGGATTTACGGATTGATTGATGGACTGATTTATCGTTGTGTCGTGTGATCAAGTGATGGAGAATCCAGAAGTCCAGATGAGCAGGGTGCTTCATATGTTGGCTGGAAGAGGTTGGCCAGGGAACCATTGATTCATGAGTCTGGTAGCGAAGGTTAGACCAACCTCAATGGTGTATGGGGAGTTCAAGAGTTGCTCGGGAACGTACCTCTCGTTGGCATCAGCAATGAGATGGAGGCTCCAGTACTTGGGGCTATTACAATGCGGGATAGTAATACGACCGGCATATACCATTCTGAAGGGATGTGTAGGGTTGGGAGCAAGATGTTCTACATACTGGGGGATCATGGCCGTGGTGTGCAAGAGGGAGGACTCCAGGGAGAGGGAGACACCACGAACGTACTCTTGGTCCGATTGGCCAGCAACATCGACTATAACCTCGACATTCTTATCCGTTCGATGGACATACACATCTCCTTGTCTATTAATATCAATTACATGTAGGGGAGTAGAGTTGAGGTAACACATTATTGCTATTTCTGATTTGGTAAGGGTAGGAATATTAAAGATATTATTATTATTATTAATATTATAGTTTCTTGTATTTTTATTTGTTGTAGTATATGATAGTATTGAGTTGTCTTGTTGATGTCCATCGTCTTCCAATTTATAATGTTTCTGCTCCATGTCACTATGTTTGATTATATGTATATATATGTAATTATCTATATAAATTGATAGGATGAAAGAATAATTAAGTTGGTAATAAAGAATATAAATAGAGAAGTAACAGTCATCATTCTTTAAAAGGTCATCCTTACCTTTCCAGACGAATGATGGGCATATATTTGAGTGTGGTTTGTAATGAAGAGACGGGTTGGGTATGTTTGGATAATCCATTATGATTAGAATGGCTAAGAAAGTTAATGATTACCCTCTATAGGAATCGTTCATCAAGTTTAAATAACCCAATTTTGTTGACTATAATGGCAATGAGAACTTGATTAGGTAATGATTCCCTTTCAAAGGTAACTACCATCACTAATCATTCCACACACACACTCACACACGCTCATATATATACCTCTGAAGAACTGAGTGAGGAAGTAGACATCTATTCGGTCCATTCATTGTTCGATAAGCGTGTAGCTGTCGTCAGCACATTACAAGAACGATTGAATGATTGATTGAGGTATTAGACCCATACGAACTTCTCTATATTGATGAACATTCCTTTTCCAGAGATTGATGGTGCATTAGGTGGGATCCAGTCGACGGCCATTGGTACTGAACCATCGCGTATTACAATCTTTTGTCCAATGTGCTCGAGATACTCTGGCTTGATCTTGTCGGAGTCGTTGTACCAGAACTTGACCTCATTGAATCCATACTTGCGTGCTTCGGCCACTGCCAGATCGATCATTGTCTTAAAGTCCTCCTTGTTGGCCGCTGTCAAGTGGAAGATGTACAACTCTCTGTCTCTAAAGTCCTGGAACCAGAACATTGACGAGTCGGTCGCGTTGATCTTGACACCAAAGCATGTTGGCACTGGTTGGATTTGAAGAGACTGGGAATAGAGTTGTACTTGCGACATGTGCCAGGCAACGCGCTCTGGCGTGAGCAACTTGCCAAACAAGTGTGTGGGTATGCCATCGGCGGCATTATTGTCCGGGTGCTGTTGTTGATTGAGTTGTTGGCGGAAGTGTTGCCACCTCTCCTTGAACACCAGTGTCGTCTTCTCAATCTCCATGTGTACAATTGGTACATAGTTGGACGAGTCAATCATTGTGATGTCTGTGCGGTCAGTGGCAGTGGCAGTGGCAGTGGCAGGGTATTGTGACAGATCGATGATCACTGATTGCCTTGAGTACTCGGTCCATCCACACTTGGCGTAGAACTGTGGGTTGATGTCACTGTAGAGGTCAACGAATATGGCACCCTCTCTCTGACATTGCTCGCGCAACATATTCATCATTATCGATGCGTATCCCTTGCCCCTATACTTCTCAGAGACGAACACACTGGCAACAGACTCTGATCTTCCACGATGCATAGTAAACTGATCGTCATCAATATAACAATATGCAGAGTTCTCACCATATGTCTCACATGATGAGACGGTCTTGCCTGTGAACACATTGACGCATGTTAGTATGTCGTGTGATTGATTGATTGATTGGAGTGTGACACATACCATCGTATAACAAGACCCATGGCCTGTGATTGGTCACTACAGCCTTGGAAACGACCTCTCGGCCCCAGTATTGTTCGGGAGTTAGTGGCTTGCCCCATTGAGGATAGCTATCAAAGGTGTTCTGTTTGAACTCATCATCAGTTGCCTGACGAAGTGTGTATTGAGGTGTAGTTGTAGTTGTTGTTACAGTATCTGTTTGTTCTTGCATCTTATCTACTAATGAGTGATTGATTGGTCAATGGACGTGAGTTAGTGATTGTTTGGTGGGGTAGACCATTCATTCATTGAATTGATCAAAGTGATCACATGATATAGATATATAACAAACAAAGCAATGACTACAACATCACCATCATCAATGATGATGTTAAAGTCATTAAAGGACATTGATGATATGAATCAAGTCAATGGATTGACAATCGATGAGATTGAGAGGAGAGCAAGAAGGATAAGTGATAACACAACGGATACACAATGGAGATATAGAAGCTTTGAAGGATATCTAGGTCCAAATGAATCGTTAAAGGATCGTATCAAAAAGGATTGGTTACTGTTGGATCAATGGAATGATACAATGAACAAGAAGAAGATTACACATGTTGACGTGGCACATTACCTCAATGACATTATCAAACAATGTGAAGACACAAGGACCAAGCATCAATACGGTCCAATGACACCAATAACAATCGATTACAATGTACCTGAAGAATTAAGATGTGATGGTGATGGTGATCAACAACAACATCAACAGAGGCTAACAATAACGAAACAATTGTTCAATGGATACCAATACTCATTGTTCTACAATGAGGTCAATGTCGATGATGTCAATGGCAATGTCAAGAAGGATGGAGGATTGATTGTAAGATTGTTTGGTGGCAAGAAGAGGACAATGGAGCAACAGTATCAAGAGCAACAGTTGGAAACAGAATATTGGAATAGCAAATGGAACTATGAGTACACAATTGAGAATGTGACATCGACAAAGATGGATAGCGAGCAGTTGTTGATAAAGGTTGCAGGTGGACCAAAGTGTGGCATCATTCAATATATCGAGAGAATGGGATTCTATGAAGGTGACGAGTCCAATGAATATCGTATCGATCCAATACTTCTGTTGTCAATGATATCTGGAGTGTCCTGTTGTGACACCAACACTTCATCGATGAGCAAGAGACAACAACTATTCCAACAATCTATGTATCTAAAGTATAATACTGAACTACTATATAAGAGACAATTGATCGATATCCAACAACATGGTCAACAACAAGATGAACATGAATTACAAGAATTACGACAAAGAGTGGAACTACTTTTACAGTTGACTAAGAGATACAATGTATTATTAAGTGATAATATTAATAGTAATAGTAATAATAATATTATTAATGTATAAATGAATGTAGTTAAGATCGATCCATTCAATCTTGAAGTCGACTCGCAAAAGTATCCAACTCAATCTTGTGTTTTTACCAAAGTTTGGGAAGTTTGCGACCTTCTTTGTGTTGAATTAACCGACCGCCACACACCACACGCGCTAATGTCTAGAAGGGCGACAACATGACTTCACCGCCATTCACGATCTGTGCGTCATGTTTGAATAGGACATCAGACTTGGTGAATTGACCAGTGGACATGTCGACGATATAGAGCAACTTGGGTTGATTGTAGGTGTGGTTCTTGGTCTCGACATAGGCAGAGAGGTACCCAGTGGCAGGCTCAAAGGCAAATGGATACATGGCATATGGTATGTAGTTGACGGCAACGCCAGACTCTTGAATGATTGGTGTGACAGCAAGTGAGACCAAATCAATTGATCCAATCCACAATGGGAAGTCCTTGGTGGTGTCGGTGCTCCTCGACACCAAGTTGGCGTACAACATGTTCTCATAGACAAAGATTGAGAAGTATCCTTCCTCTGATGGGTCGACTTTAACACCCAGGGTAACTTGAGATTGCTTGACAGACTTTGTCGACACATCATACTCTGTCAACACGATCCTAGAGTTCTCCTCAAGAGCTGCAACATAGAAGGTCTGACTTGAAACCTCATAGAATGATCCAACATTGATGTACTTTGATGGTGTTGAGAATGCAGTGAATGTCCTGTTAATTGATTTGGTTGATTGATTAGTATGTTTGATTGATAGAGTGAGTGAATAGCTCCATAATCATAAACTTACATTTCACTTGCTGAGGCGGCAATAACACCGAGGACATTGGAATCCTCTTCCTTGGCAAGATAATAGACAGTCTTGGTCACTGGATCGTATCCATAAAGTCCCTCACCAATTGGCTCATAATACCAATCATTTGGCTCATGAATGAATTCAGACACTGCGGTCAAAGAGTTTGGCTTTATGATCAATAGATTGAGTTAGTATGATTGATTGAATGAATTAGATTCCTGATTGATTGAATACATACTCCAGCGTTATAGGTCATCACTTGAGTACAATATTCAACTTTTGCCTTGTCACACATTATCTTGGCAAAGATTGTGAACTCTCCTCCATAGTTACCACCAGTGGTACAGTCAAGAATGGATAGGATGTCGAAATACTCTGGTGTATCACAATACTTGGCAACAGTCTTTCCAGTCTGTAGATCGATCTGATTATAACTCATCATATCAACCCAATTTGAATAGATTACATTCAACTTTGATGGTGGAATAAATGTTGATCTAGTCGCAGCCACCATCATCAAAACTAAGGACACAAGTCCAAATATTCTACTATATTTGTTATTCATTTTTATAAGTTAGGTATAAAAATATTTGATTATTATGTATATGATTGCTTGATTAGATAATGAGTACTATTTGTAGTTGTGGATGTAGTTGTTGTGATGGATCTATTTGACCATCTGATTGTCGGTCGGAGTCCTATTGTGGAACCACCTCTGAACAAAAGATCTTATTTTGCGAGCCCACTATCGAGTGTAATTTTGCGTTTTGGTTTGCGACTTGTCTTTTTTTGGCTCTGAATCAAAGATGGTAACCAAGTTGATCCAACAAGGTCGACACTCACCTAACTTGATGGGATTAAACCTTTATGAATGTAACAAGTAACTTTCACGTTACCAGTGTTATACTCCTTTAACTATTCTAATCATATAATAGAAACTTCCTACCAGTCTAAAGAATATTCATCTGAAATTTCAATCACCATAACTAAACCATTCAATCAATCGACTCAATCATTCAACTAATTCATCAACCAACATTATCAAGAACTTAGAATACACAACACAAACATGGTAAGTGATACTATTAATATTAATATTAATAATAGTAATAATAATATTATTATTTAATGAATGATATCCATTGATCCATCCATTAATGAGTTCTTCTACTACACACACATGCACACACACACTAACACTTGCGCTCAAGTCTAGTATGGTGACAAGATGATATCAGCTCCATTATCAATTGTGATCTGATTTTGGAAGGTGACGGGAGACTTGGTGAATTGACCATTTGACATGTTGACCAAGTAGAGAATGTTGGGATCATCGTAAGTAGCGTTCTTGGGCTGGACGTATGCTGAGAGGAATCCAGTGGCGGGCTCAAAGGCGAATGGATACATGGCATATGGTGAGAAGTTGACAGAGACACCCGATTGCTGGATGATTGGGGTCACTACATTGGTCTCCAAATCAACTGATCCAATCCACAGTGGGAAGTCCTGCTCAGAGTCGGTATTCTTTGATGCGACGGCTGCGTACAACATGTTGTCATAGACAAAGATTGAGAAGAAGCCTTGGTCCGAGGGATCGACCGACACACCCAAGCTCATAGCAGATTGATTGACTCCGGAGTTCAACACATCATACTTGGTGATGGTGAGTCTTGAAGTTTCATCAAGCATTGCAACGTAGAATGACTCGGTAGAGGCATCATAGAATGATCCAACATTCACATAGTCCTTTGGGGTGGGGAACACATTGAATGTCCTATATGTTTGATTGATTGATTGATTGATAGAATGATTGATTAATATATTGAGGTATTGGAATAGTTCCAGAAGGTGTTTATACATACTTTGATGGTGGGCTTCCTGAGGCAGCAACAACACCTATCATCTTGCTACCTTGGTCCTGGGCAAGATAGTAGACAGTCTGGGTCATTGAGTTATATCCATAAAGTCCCTGACCAATTGCCTTATTATTCCAATACTTTGGCTCTGGGATGTATCCAGTCACTGGAGTGATATTGTTAGACTATATATATTTGATTGTTTGATAGATTAGTTAATATGTTTGAAATATGGATGGATTGAATGACTCAATAAATGATTGATACATACACCAGAGTTGTAGGTCACGACTTGGGAGCAGTACTCAAGGTTAGCAGTGTTACACATGACCTTGGCAAAGATGATGAAATCTCCACCATAACCTCCACTGGTCTTGCAGTTGAGCATGGAGAGGATGTGGAAGTACTTGGGAACGTCACAGTATTGCTCAACAGTCTTTCCAGTCTGAATATCAATCTGATTGTAACTCATCAAGTCCATCCAACCAGAATACAGCACATTCAACTTTGTTGAATTGACAGCCGCCGCCATCAATACAATGGACATCAATCCAAATATTATTCTAATATTTTTGTTCATTATTATTATTATATTGATTATAATTGTGATAATAGTTATTATTATTGTTGTTTGGATGGAATAATTGATACAAGATTCGTTGTATTTATATTGATCACCTCCCCAATCTTTGGTAAAAGATAACTTTGATAAGTTTGATAAGATTGAAAGTCAAAGGGTACCCCCGTTTAGATTTCAAATAGATATTATCTCTTAGCTTTATAAGTTTTCCACCGTTTACGAGCACACTCTCGTAATTGTTAACATTGATCAATTGATAGGGTCACGTCACAATCCAAAATACGATAAATAACAACATCAACAACAAGGTCACGTCACTCACTTTGATTGGTGGGAATATCCTTGTAACTATATATGCAACAACAATGTTATAAGAATAAATGTTAATATTTACTTCAGTTACATCTGTTATATTTGCAGCATCCATCTAATTTCCAATCACTTGATTGATTGAAAGAAATCAACCCAATACAATCCATCCCGTCCGTCAATTGAATATTCAACAGAACATTCAATATTATCCATCGTAATTTTAAATTAATAAATTAAATAATAATAATAATAATTAATAAAGATAATGAACATTTTATTTGTTCCATTTTGTGTAATTTTATATTTGAAGTATTGTTATTTTAGTCGAGATCCATGTTGGCATCCTTGGCAGCGGCTGGTGCTGGTTCGGCAGACTCCTCGGTGGCGGGTGGTGGAGTCTCAGTCTGGGGTGGTGGAGTCTGTGGTTGGGCTGGCTCAGCCTTTGGTGTCTCAACCTTGGGTGGGGCGGGCTTTGGCTTGTTCAGGATGGTCTTGGCCATGTACTCAAACTGCTTGATCTTGGTGTTGACATCGGTGACGTTGACAATGCATGCGGCAGTCTTTGGCAAGGACCCTTGCTTGGTGACCAGCTGGTCGACCCAGGCCACCAACTGGTCGGCCTCGTTGATGATCCTCTCCTTGTCCTCCTTGGCGATGTGCTCGTACTTCTCGACTGGGGTGAAGGCTTCGTTCTTGTAGAAGCTGGCGGCGTCACGCAGACGCCTGACCACCTCTGGGTAGGCCTCACGTTCACCGCGACGCTTGATGATGGGTCCTCCAACGTTGTCCAACTCCTCAAACTTGGCGACGTACACTGACTTGGTGGCGTCCTCGCCGTCTGCGTACAGCCAGTCCTCGGCGTTTGTCAGCATGGATGTCAGCAGGGACGACTCCTCAGCGGTGGCGTACTCCTTCAGTTCTCCGTTGAGCTTGGCTCTCATATCGTAAATATAGCTCTCGACTGCGTTCTTCTTGTCGGCGGTCTCGGTGGCGAGGACGTCGGTGGCGTGCATGCGTCCCTCCTCCTCGATCTCCTTCTGCAAGTCAGCGAGGTTGTTCATTGGGATGTTGACCTGGTACTCCAGGGCAGTCTCTCTGACCTTGACCTTCTTTGGCTCCTCCTTCTTGGCCTCGTCCTTCTTCTCCTCTCCCTCAGCTGGGGCGGCGTCGGTCATCTTGACGTCCTCCTTTGGTGTCTCGGCCTCCTCTGGCAAAGTCTCAACGAGCTTGACCTCATCGAGATGGAAGATTCCGTGGACGTCCAACCAGACTCTTGCCTTGACGGTGGACTTGTTGGTGAAGGCTGGCACGTTGTTGACGGTGATGGTCTGGAGGGTGCCGTAGGTGGTGCTGACGACCAGCTGGAATGGCTCAGCCTTGGTGACGGGGAATGAGAAACGGATTGGCTTGGCAGAGGGCAATGGGGAGGTGGCGTTGAAAACGGCGAGGTTCTGGTCGCTTGAGGCAGACTTGAATGAGACCTGGATTGGGAAGGAGGCAATCTCGTGAATGGCGAATGGACGCACCTTGAACACTGGCGACAGCATGGCGCACTGGAGCGAGCAGCCTCTGCAAACAGACTCCTCAGAGTTGATGGTCTTGGAGAGCTCGCGGCCAAGGAACTCAGACAGCTTCTTCTGGACAGAGGTGGAACGCGTGCCACCTCCAGTGATCTCGACGGTGGCGAACTGGTCGGCAGACATGCCGGTGATCTCGAGCACCTTTCTGACTGGTGCCAAGATGGCCTCAAGGTCGGAGGCGACCAGAGCCTCGAATTGATCACGGGTCAGCTTGCCCTTGACGTCCTTATCCTCCATGAGCGAGTCGATCGAGATGGGCACCTCAAAGTTCGCCGAAAGCATCTTCTTCATCCTCTCGCAGGCCTGTAGAGTACGGATCATGGCCTTCTTGTTCTCGTAAATGTCGATCTTGTAGTTCTGTTTGAACTCGGCAGCAAAGTGCTTGAGCAGAGTCTGGTCAAAGTTGCGTCCACCAACATCCTTCTCAAATGCTGTGGCCATGACGTTCAGCTGACCCTTCTTGTAGGCGACGGCGGCGACCGAGGTCGAGGCGTCTCCAACATCGATGAACAGCACCTTGAGGGGGTTGTCCTCTGGCAACTCCTTGTAGATGCCGTAGGAGAGCGCGGTGGCGGTGGTCTCGTTCATGAGACGAGTGATGTTCAGACCGGCGATCTGGCCGGCGTTGAGGAGGGCGCGGCGCTGGTACTCGGTCCAGTAGCCTGGCACTGAGATGACCACCTCTCTAAGGGGGGCCTTGGCGTAGGCCTCTGTGGTGCGCTTGAGCTTGCCAAGCAGCATACCGACGACGGCGGTGGCAGTCAGCTCGCGCTGCTCTCCGCACAGCGACACATTGAATCCAATTTGTCCATTTGGAAGCTCCTGGTATGAGAAGCACTCCTGCTTCAGCTCCTGCTGCACATCCTTGAAGTTGACTCCAATATATCTCTTTATGTTTGTAATTGTGTTTCTAATGTTTCTCAAATACTATGATTGATTGGAATGATATGGAATGATTGGATGGATGTTAGTTTGAATGATCGATCACATGATGTGATTGAATGTGCGAGGTGATTGGACTTACGTTTGTTTGAGCTGGCTCACCAAGATATCTCTCCTTCTCACCGAATGAGACGAGTGATGGTGTAAGACGATTGGAAACCTCGTTGGCAATAACATCGATGCCTCCCTTTTGTGCAACGGCAATTGTGCAGTTCTTAACACCGAAATCGAATCCGACGACAAACATCTTATTATATTCCTGTGGTTGGTGATTAAAGTTATAATATATCTAATTAAAATATATATGTGTATGTGTGTGTATTATGAATATATGTATTTATCTTTGTTTGATAGATAGATATATATTATGAGTGAATGAGTGATGTTGTTAAATGCGATGCATACTGATACTCTCCCTTGGGCTTTGAAGTTGGTGTTGTTCGTCAACACGAGTCATTCATTTTATTTTCGAGGTCTGCCTGACTCGCACACACTCTTTACCCCACATGTTCTCTCAATCTAATCTGCAAGAAATTCCTCGTGCAACTGCACGCGAAATTTCATTGATATCCACAGTGTTTCCCTTTGAACTTCCAACGAACAACACTCGTCCTCTCTCTTAATTCTCTCTTCAAGTTCAAACATCTTAACACTTACATTCAAAGATTATTACATGTATATATAGTTGTAATTAGTTAATAGTATAATATCATATTAAGTATAGATAATAATAATAATAATATAATATAAACAATGATGTTAGGACCACCAGCAACTCAAAAGAAGTCAACAACTGACGCATCTTCTCCAGCGACAACGACAACGACAACGACACAGAATAAGATTGTTCCAAGATCATCTTATGATGTACCGAGGGATATTGGACCTGGATTGCTCAAGTTCTGTTTGACACATACAGACTCACCGAATTTGAAAGAGACAGTGTTGACAGACCGTGACCCAAAGGATTATGAATGGTTGCGCGCTGCATTCGACAACTTGGAGGACGACGCCAAGAAGATGACCAAGATCAACGACATACTCAAGAACCCCGAGTCCACACCTGGTCAGCGCTGCTCATCACTGGACGCATTGGAGTTCTTTATCGAGGATATTGACAATGCAGGCGACTACATCAAGATTGGTGGCGTGCCTATTTTGTTGGACTTGATCAAGGGCGAGGACAGGGACACGCGTGCCAGAGCAACGTTGTGTCTCTCAATCATCACACAGAATGAGGAGTCGATTCAAAAGTATTTGAACCAGCTTGGCGTTGGCGACATTATATTGGGACTGCTGAGCAGAGAGACCAACGCATTATGTCGCGAGAAGTTCCTCTCATTGCTGAGTGCGCTGGGCGCCGCTGGACTCATTGACAAGGACCATCCCGAGAGAATGGAATCATTGATGATGCTATGTGTATCATTCCTCACACCAGAGGTCGACATTTACATCCCATTGGATAGCAGCACTGCCAACAACAACGCTGAAACAGTCAAGGAGACATCAACAAAGCATGTTGTTCCAAACAGTGTCACTGGAATGATCAAGGCAACACATATATTGAGAAAGATACTACATCTGCATCCGGCACTGAAGGCCAAGGCAAACGAGTGCGGCGTACTGGAGGCTTTGGTCGGCCTCGTGCACAGCTTCAACAACGCCAAAGTCACAGACTCTCACCAGGCCATTCTGTGTGAGAAGTGCGAGGACACACTGCTCGAGCTGGTCAAGGGCAACCAAGACAATCTGGTCGAGTGCAAGAAGCTCAGGCTGCTGGATGAGGTTAGCGCGAGACTGAAAAGTCTTGACAAGTTCCAAGAGGAGTACGAGCAGGAGCTGACCGTGTTGCGCGCGCTATCCAATCTGTTGGTGCAATAGTCGCCCGCAGCGAATAAATCTTCGCCGTGAGTGGCATCTTTATAAACTACATTCATTCATTCGTTCGTTCGATCAATCATGCTTTATTGGATGGGGATGGCGAAGAACCTGTGCCAGAGAACACACTGGTCGAGCCCATGATGTACTTGATGTTGGTCACCATGTACTTGAGTGCTTTGGTCCAGTTGACTTCGGAGTTGCCAGTGACTCGGATCGTCTGGAATCCGTTGCTGCCGCCAATCTTGTCCTTCTCGATCTTGAATGGGAACACGGTGTTCTTGAACAGTGAGCACAACTCGTTGACGCAACCCAGGAAGGCCTCCAGGCCAATGTCAAACTTGTGCTCTCTGCTCCAAATGAATGATCGGAAGTAAATATCATCTCCACCATACAATGGGAATGATTCCTTATCGTTCTTTGATTGGATCAATGGTTTGTTGCCCATTGGTATCAGCTTGTGTCGTTGGAAGACGTAGTTTAGCTGCTTGGCAATGGTATGAACAAGAAGGACGATCTGCCCGATGGCGCCATTGATCTCGTCCCACTCCACCTTGTTCTTGGGCAGCGTGCCCAGTCGCATGTCGTTGATCTTTACAATGGTGTGCTCGTCCACCTTCTCGAATGTGATGTGGAATGCCTCCTTGACGATGTTGAAGTCGTTCAGGCCGTCCATCTCGGTCTTGCACAGCTGGTTCTGGTTGTCCAGTATACGCTTGTCCGTGACGAGGTCAAAGTACTGCTTGTAAAAGTTGTTGACATTGTCATAGTGCGCTCTCTCCTCTGCCTTGATCTCCTTGTGCTTGGCGTCCAACTTGAGACGAATGTCCACAATATCATCCTTTGTCCTCTCCAATGATAAGTTCTCCTTCATCAATTCAATGTTCTCCTTGTCGAGCTAATGATTGATTGATTGATCGAGTGAGTGATTGATCCAACTTCCAAACATGCATGGATACATACTCGTTCGATTTCCTTGTCTAGGTCTTCATTGCTCAATGATTGGAGGTCGTTGAACTCCTTGGTTATCTTGGTTGTGGAGATGGGAGTGTGGTGCCCTGACTGGGGATGGTGCTGTGGATGCTGCTGCTGCTGTTGATAGTGTTGCGAGCCTGATGAACTGAGACTGCTCAACTCCTTTGTCGATATTTTGTTGTCGGCGATAAACTTGGAGTAGGTCGCGTGATCCTTGAGTATCTCTCGATTCATCCTCTCCAAGTACTCTTTGAGCGTTGATATACATGGGCCACACAGCGTGATGTGATGTGGCATGGCATTGGCGGATGGCGAGACGACAGTGGTGGTGGAGGAGGTGGTGAGCGAGTTGGTAGGCGACTGTGACGAGGGTGAGGGTGCAGGCACGATTGAGTTGAAGTAGCTGATGGGTAGCACCTCGCGATTCGACAGAATCACCGAGATGAAGTTGTGGCTCTCGACAAAATGTAGTAGTTGTGATGTGTTGGTGAAGGTTTCTGTTTGGACCTCGCGCACATTGGCCTTGGTGTAGTATATCAACACGCCCTGCTCGTCGAATGAGAGGATAAATGAGTACCTCTTGCTATGCAGTTGATTGATGTCGCCAGTCGAGTCCTTTGTGTTGACCAAATGGATGCACTGATGATTCCAAAGATGGAAGAACATGGGATCCAAGTACAACTTCTTGATAAAGTATGGTATCACTTCCTTCAAGTATGTGTTTGGGTTTCCTGATGGTATTGATTGAGTAAGTTGAGTTAAGTTGAGTGATTGAGTGATCATGATGATGACATTCATACGTTTGAGTAGTGATTGGAGTCGGTCTACTTCCAGCTTGGACAATTCCCTGGTCTGTTTGGGTACCATGGATAGCAGATATTTGATATTATTTACAATGTAGACGAGGTAGAACTTGTCCTCCTTCTGTAGCAGTGATTGTAGCTCGGAGCAGAAATGATATACCGAGTGAATGAACTGCTTCTCCTCGTTGATAACAATGGGTTTGTTCTTTACATGGAAGTATTGAGGTGTCTGTGATGATGAATGAGTCACCAACAATGTAATGCCTTTGATCGGGTCGCAATACTTGATGAACTCTGAATGAATGATCAAGGTATTAGTATGAATGAATGAGTGAGTGATGGAGATGGGGATGGACACATACCAAGGAAGCTCTTGGTGAAGGTTAGAGTGATCCTCCACTCACATCCTAGTGGGATGTTCTTCTGTCTGGTGATGGCTATCTTGGCGTACTTCTTCAAAGAGTCGGTGAAGAGTACTTCTGGCGGAGCCAGAGGTGGCGCCACTGAATGGAGGAACTTCAATGTGAACTGTTGTGTTGACTTCTCCAAGTTGTTTAGTGTGTGATTGAATATACAAAGGTATCCCCTATTATTGATGAGTTGGCGAGTGATAGGATGGTCAGTATCAGTCGTCCATCAATCAAACCAGTGTCATTCAATCAAACATACTTGAACTGAGCCGTTGTTGTCTTGTTCTGTGTGTCCAACAGGTCATTCTTGATCAAGGTTAGATGGTCGTACATCATGCGGATGTTGTCGCCAAGTCTGGTGAAGATGGCAATGTCGAGGGTGGATGAGAAGCGCTCGAGCTCGTCCAGAAAGGTGAGGATCTCTGTGAGGTGCAGCATGTAGTTGTGTCGCTCCAGATCGAGTTGCGTCAGTATGTTGTAGTACATGGACGAGAGGTTCTCGGATTGATTGTAGCACGAGATGATGTCCTGGTCGACGGGAATGGGCGGCGTGATCGAGATGACATTCTGCTGACTCTTGTACTGCTTGAGCCTGTCCATGCTCTGCGCAAAGTCGACGATCTCGTGCTCAAACTGATGATAGCGTCGCTCGCTGTCTTTGGCGCAGTAGTGGCACTTCTTGTCATGCCCGCCATGCACGGACGATGAGGTGCCAATGCCTATTGAGGTTGGCGACGTCGAGAAGGCGGGTGGAGCCGATGAGGAGGTCGTGTCTCCATAGCTGCCTACCTGATACACGCCTGTATCAAATGTGGACGACGGGTTGTGTGTCCTGCTCGCGCTGCTGCTGGTGCCACGTGAGTCCATGAGTGTGGAGGATGAATGTGATAGGTAGTCCTTGGGTGATGGTGATGATGGTGAAGTGGATGATGACATCAAGTGTTGATGGGCGCCACCAATCAATGCCTCCAAATTACTAATGAAGCTATGCTTTCGAAATCCTCCACCTCCACTACTCGCGCGACCCTGAGGTATATTGATTGGATTTGATGATTGTACTCTGCCACTACTACTACCACCGCTGTCGACAATACCAATGCCACCATCATTCAAAGGATGATTATGTTGTGATCCGCGAGGTGATGTATAATGTTGATGTTGTTGAGGTGTTTGAGGTGTCTGTTGTTGTTGTTGGTTTGTGCCGCCTATTGAGTTGCGTACTAATACCCAATCGGATGTTCCTGCGGCTGGCTCCCCAGTTGATCCATCATCACCTCCTCCTCTTCCTTCTCCACTATATCTATTATTGTTGTTATTGTTGTTGTTGTTATTATCATTGTTTTGTTGATATTGCTGTTGCTTCTGTTCATTCTTTCTCGTATATGACATTAAGGGTAAGGTTTAAATATCTCTTTGAATCATTAAATATATATATATACACATTGTACATGTAAAGTGTTTAATTAACAATGAAGTGAAGTGAAGTGATGTGATGCAATAAATTGCTCAAACTTACCCCCACACACATACCCTCGCAGACATACCCTCACACACTTACCCTTACCCTTGCCCTTGCCCTTGCCCTCACATCCATTAACTATCCTATCTATTATATATATATGTCGTGTATTATTATTATTTTATTGCTTCTGAGCAGAAACCTTCTCCTCTTGCTCAAGCTTCTCTTGTGCCAATCTTTGCTCATTGCGCTCTTGAGCCTCTTCAGTGACACGCTTCTGTACTTCCTTGAGCTTCTGCATGATGACAGCCACTCTGGCATCGGCAATCTCCCTGACCACACCGATCATGTCGATTCTGGATGGCTTCCACTCGACCTCTGTGTCAAAGTTGATCTGCTCCAGTGGTCGGAGGTCGTCTTCGGCCAGCTCGGGGAACTTGGACAGCCAGACGATGGGCGTGAAGAAGCTGACTTGCACGGGCTTGTCGTCGAGGTCCGGCAGACGGAACTCACCATCGATAAAGTACAGCGCATTGGCCAGGAAGAATGGAAGCGATGGCTCCACGTGATCGATCACAACACGCACATCGCGCATTGTGAATGTGTAGTTGATCTTCTCTGCACGGAGCGTGTGGAAGACGTCGCGGAATGACTCGATTGCCATTTGTGTGCCGTCCAGTCTCATATCATTCAGTGCTTCAATGTCATTGTTCTCAATTGATGATATCAAGCGATGGAAGTTGGCAAGCAATCCTGATAGTTTGATCGATTGATTGATTGAATGTCAGTGTCAGAGTGATGATCGATCGATCAATCAATCAAACATAACATACTCTTCTCTAACTTGTCTCTCTTGAATGGGATCATGGACTTCCACATGCTTCGCAATTTGAGTGGCGTGTAGGCAAGGTCCATGGCAAAGGTACGTTGTGGGAAGAGGTAGGTGTATGGGTTGAGGTAGCGATAGTCCTTGTTCTGTAGGGCCAGTTGCACCTGCTCACTGATTCGCTCCAATGGCTTTGGCTCACCAATAGTGAGATTGACACCAATGTCTTCATAAGTGATAAAGTGCGAAGGGTTGAATGGCACCAGCTCCTCGGGGTCATTCTTTCCCTGTTTCTCTGCCTCTCTTGCAACTATAGCCTCTCTCTCTGTCTTTAATTGTTTAATCAACTCATCTACTCCTGAAGAATAATGTCTAGCATTGTTGTATGTGTTGTTATTATTGTTGTTGGAAGAGCCAATGAATGAAGGACGTGGCATCCTAGCCATCATCTTTGATTGTTGGATGGCATTCGCACAACCTCTTTGTATGATACGTCTGCTACTGTTACTGAACATCGACATCATTATATATGTATATATCTACTCTATCTCTACTTTACAACTTCAAAGATGATCTCAATGTGTGTGGGCAAGACAACTTCAAACTTTGACTTGGGCCTGGGGTCCACTCAACCAATCAATCACGATCACAAGTACGTGGACGAATGGACACTGACATTACACAAAGAATAGAATGAATATATGAATGGATAGATCAAGTTAACTTAAGATGTTTATTTATTATTAATAATACATTGAATGGATGATAACATTGATAAACTGTGATGAAGAGAGAGATAGTTGAGTTTGGATGTTAGTATTGGTTGACATCGAGGGATGTAAGAGGTTATAAACAACAACAACAATGTTTGTTAGACGTGCGTCAGAACACAATTATGAGTCATAGGACCCTAGTCCTTCTCTTTAGAAGTGTCAGAATAAATAAAAGAGTTTCATCATCTAGGTCTAACAAACAATGTTGCTGCTTATAACCAACTTCCAAGTTACTATGATTGAGTATGATGTTACTTACTGTTCAATGTTGGAAGCTGTGTCTGTCTATCCCAAAGAGAGCGAGAGAGACACAGCAGGTCCAGTCCAGAACAGAATATATATATATATATATAATTATGTACAAGTATGAATGAAGGTGAATGAATGAATGATAGACTCGCTCAATCGCTTGATGTGATGGACTTTGATGAAAAAACGAAACGAAATAATCAGTCAGATTTGTTGGCGAAGTTCAGAGAGCGAGCAATGTTATTTGGAGGCCTGGACAGAGTTGGTAGCTGAGGAGGTGGAGGAAGGCCGCGATCCATAATACTTGGGACATAACTCGGGTAGCCATGAAGGTTCAATCGGTATAACATTGCGTACGAATGCTTTGGACGTGACTGTCAGTTCGTTGTATAGTATATAGTCGGGCTTGATGTCAAACATGAATGACGTCGGATGGATGTGTATCTCCCTATTGTCAACCATCGTGCGATACTTCTTATCAGGTTGCAGTGCTGCCACATTCAAGAAGAATCCAGTGATGAAGCATCTCCTCACACGTTCCAATTCATTGCCACAGCTTTCAATCTTCATATTCGAGTTCTGGCAATACTCCAACAATTGATTGAATACATTCTATATGATTGTTTGATTAGTTGGGGAGGGTCAGTGATCGAGTGATTGAGTGATTGGAATAGTGCCAGTGATACATACCACAACTTTGTCCATTGACTTGATGTTGATGAAGTGATCGTAACACCATTGTTGATTGCCATTCACTCGTTGGAACTCGCGGAATACGTTGAGAAGTGTTAGATGATCACCTTCGGCTGAGAAGAAGATCTTCTTGATCGCCTCCACTTCCGACTTCTTGTCGCGTGGCGTGTAGAATATAGACTCGACCGACAGCATGCTGATAACAATCAGCACCTCCTCCACACATTCAAACTCTTCCGACTTGATCAATGTCTTGCTGTATATTGGCTCCAGGGGGAACTGCGACATCTTGCGTCCAAGTGTCGTCAGCGCGCCACTGTGATCCAGCGCGTCCAGACAATAGAGCTGCTCGAGCGACTTCTGGATGGCCGACAAAGGGGGTCGCTCGAGGAAGTCAAAGCCGAGGATGTCATCGACGCCAATGGTCTTGAGCTGCAGGATGACGTTTGCAATGTTTGATCGCTTGATCTCGGGGATGGACGACTCGTCCAGCTTGCCGTACGTCTCCTCGGTGTACAGGCGGTAGCACTGACCCGGGAACTCACGACCCGCACGACCCGTACGCTGCTGCGCCGACGCCTTGGAGATGGGGATGACGGTGAGCGAGTCGACACCAATCTTGGGGTTGTAGAGGCGCGACTTGACCACGCCCGTGTCCACCACGTATCGAATGCCATTGATTGTGAGTGAGGTCTCTGCGATGTTTGTGGCAATGATGACCTTGCGCGTGCCCTTGGGTGCGCGCTCAAATACCTTCATCTGCTGCTCCTGTGGCATGGCGGCGTAGATAGGGCACACGAGCAGCTTCTTGGCGTTTGGCGGCAGACGTGGAATGCGCTCCAGCAGCAGCTTCTCCAAGTTGTCAATCTCCTCGCGACCTGTCAAGAATACCAAAATATCGCCATTGTCATCGTCATCGCTGCCATCCAATGTTGTTATCATTGCATTGTTATCAGTGCCATTCTGTAACTCCAAGTGAATCTGCAACACAGTGACTAATGCGGCGTCCAAGTAATCCTTCTGCACTTCGCTCGAATAGAACAATCGCACGGGGAACTGTCTTCCCTCAATGTATAATATGGGTGCTCTTTGTTTGATTGATCGATTGAATGATTGAATGATTGGGATAGTTCCAGTGATTGATTGATCGATCGGGTTAGTAAGTGAGTCGCTTGCGGGCCATGCATGACATTGTGACGCGACAACATACTTGTTAAAGTAGGCGGAGAATAGCTCAGCGTCGAGTGTGGCAGACATGATGACTATGCGTAGTGATGGTCGCTTGGCTTGGATTGACTTGATGAGCGCAAAGAGTACATCGGTGTTGAGTGTGCGCTCGTGCGCCTCATCCAATATGATCACGCTGTATTTGGATAACGAAGGGTCGATCATCGCCTCACGCACCAGCATACCATCTGTCATGTACTTTAGCTTGGTCTGTTCATTGGTCTGATCGTCGAATCGCACACAGTAGCCAACTTCATCGCCCAGCTTGCATCCGATCTCGTCAGACACACGCTTTGAGATGGAGATGGCGGCCACTCGCCTTGGTTGGGTGATGGCGATGACGCCCTTCTTTGTCCAGCCGTCCTCCCTCAGGTATTGAGGTATCTGTGTCGTCTTTCCCGTGCCCGTCTCTGATATCACGACAACAGTCTGATTCTTTCTAATATTATCTAGTAATGCATCTCTTGCAGTATATACAGGTAGTCTAACCTTTTGATCTTGTATCTCTTTTCTCTTTAACTCTAATGTAGCTTGATCAATTATTGTAACTTCTTCTTTATCTTTTGTTTGTTGTTGTTGTCGTTGTTGTTGTCTTCTTTGTATCTTTTGTTGTTGTTGAGGTTGAGGTTGATGTGTCTTTGGTTGTTGTTGTGATTGTTGTTGTTGTTGTTGTGATTGTGATTGTTGTGGCTGTTGCTGTTGTTGACGTTTCTCCTTCTTCTTCTTTCTCTGTGATAGTTGTTGTTGTTGCTGGTAGGCAGCAGGTGTAGGTGGAGGTGGAACCATTATATCTTATTAACTTGTTATCTAACAAACAAACAACCAAACAATAAGAATGAGACCGAAACTTTCGTTTTTTGGCCTTTGAGTTGTTATTTGAATTCTTTGTTTCCAAAACAGGACATTTCCATGGAACATTGATCAAATAATTTATTAATGTATTAGTTACTATCATCATCATATTAATGTGATATAGACACATTTATTTTGTTTAATATTATAGGTCCGAAATCGATCATTTCTGATGAATTGATTGGGCTAGTTCCCCCATTAAGAAAGGATAATTGTGAAGAAAGGTCTCCGACAATGTTAATGCGAGTGATAGTTGTGTTGAGAATCAGAGCATTGATAAACCTTGGCTAAACAGGGCTAAGAAGATTGTTTGTGAATGACAGGTGACCTATACCTGTTTTGTTTGTTGCAAGTAGACAATCGCTGAGGCTCTCTAGTTTTTCATTGTCAATGGAGAAGTTTCTAAATGCCAAATGTTCAATTGTACGATTATGACCCATCGAGATAAACAACTCGGCACTATATGCCTCCAAAAGATTGTCCAAAGTCAGTGATCTGAGGGCAGAGTGTGTCGGAGGGAATCGAGGAAATCTGTCCAGTTGGCGGTACCACATCCTGAGATTGATACCTGGTATCTCGATATATGGTTGGCCTCTTTGGTTAAAGTCAACCATAGGTGCTATTAACGATAATGAAACAATGGGACATGATGGCGTGCAGACGTATTTGAGAAGATCGATTGTTTGACTGGAATCCATTTCCTTTGAGTCGCGGCAATGAAGTGGAACGGCAAGATGTGTGAATCGTTGTGTTGCCAGTAATGAGTTAACTAGTGTGATATTGGACACCGGAACGTTAAGCGATAGTTTTGTGATATGCTATTTTGAAATGATTTCCTTTACGATGTGATCTGATGAATAACGACCTGGAGGAGGTGGGTCATATTGTCCCAAGAAATAGTCTTCACCGTCTGCATAAATCGGCTCCAATTCATAAAGACCAACAGTGGCAGTGATTGAGTTGATCCTACTGGTCGACCTACTTATCATCTGAAGTAAGTTATCATCGTCTGGATCGCTGGTGCATAAGTTATCCATGTAAAGAAGTCTGATTGAGCGTAGTGATGGGAGAAGTGAGACCAACTCGGTGAACTCTTGTTTACCCCGGACACCTTCTCGACATGGAGGAAAGTCTCCACATTAATCAAGGAGATGCGCCATCGGTTACCAACAATGATGAGATGCCGAACTTTAATACCATCCGAATGAATCGAATCGTAGAATGTCCGCAAGACACATTCGTTGGCGAGCGGGGAGCCAGTCACGCTTGTGGCTGGAAATCACCAAGACACAGCCTGCCAATATTCCTGATGAGCAGCTGTCGTCTGGAGATGATGGAATGTACCAATGAAAGCGACCTATCTATGTCAATATATTGATCATAAGCTCTCTGGACACCATGTAGAACCAACGATGACAAACTAGAGCAATCGATGCCATTCTCTTGTCTTCGGAAGAGAGAAGAAGATAGTATATTATTCTGCGCAGATGGGAAGAGGTTGGCAAGATACTTGTTGTAGGCCCCATGCATGCACATCCTCATCGCGAATTATACTGTTATGATGGGAGAAGATGACAGGAGGAGGTAGAGATAAGTCCAATATTGTGTCTACGGCATTTATGAATATCTCAGAGTAATAATCACTAATATGAAGTTTACAATTACTTTGGAAATTATTTTTACTTCACAAGTATACTTGGGCAATTATTTTGTCAATTCCAGATTAGTTGTTTTGAAAGGAGAGATGACAAATAGTTAAAAAAATGATCATACAAATAATTACTGTCATTTGATGATATGATTGAGTAAATCTCTTTGTAACTGAACTGTTCAGATACTAGTAGGGATGATGGTAAGAGTGTGAGTTTGTGTTTGTGTGTGTGTGTGTGAGTGGTCAACATCAAGTCAACCTACATCTTCCCACATCACATTCTAACCAATTATCAATTTATTCTATTATACAATTATTCGTTATCTGATATGAATGAATGATCGATCAAAGAAATAAAAATTATTGTATAAATACAATGATGAATGGACCAATTCCATTCAATTTTATATTAAAATTTATAAAGAATTATTATTATTAAATATGGATAATAGTAAATATTTAATTATATTACTATGTCTAATTATACAAATTGGAATATATAATGTTTCAGCAGATAATTGGTCTAATAATATTTATAAAGGACAATGTCGTTTTGCCCACAAATATACAGATGATCAATTATTAAATAGTAAGGTTGCTCGCCAAGCTTATGTCAAATCAGTTCTACATTATGAAGGAAATGTATGTTCATTCAAATCATACGATGGAACTATCCCACTCACTCAATCAATCAATCAATCAATCAAAAAAATAATATTTAGTATCACTCACATGGAGCAGGAATAAATGCCAAGTCTGGAATGACAATTGATGGTAGTAGTCTTGATCCTGTGACTGGTAACTTTACAAGACCAAGGTGGTATACGGTTGGAAGTAAGGAGTCGATTCAGTTGGCAATGCTGGCACTGGCACTCAATGGTGTGACGTCAGAGGGCTACGACCCACTCGACTACTTCCATTATCCAATCGACTTGACACCCGAGGAGAGGACATACATCAACACTGGCGATAGTAGATTGGACAATGTGTTGGGCACACTATATCGCAAGATCGCCACATTGGAGAAGTTCAACAAGGAGCTGCCAGGCTACGGTGGATACATTCCATGGATTGGTGTGGTTGACTCTGGACTGCGCCAGGAGGTCAAGGCCGACGCTTCTGTGCCCTCGTTGGACGAGGGCCAGATGGCCTGGGGCCTGTATGCGGTGGCTCACGTCCTGGGCAAGAAGCAGTACAAGGATCACACTCAATTGGGACTCCGCTATCGCAAGTACTTTGATCTTATGGCCGACAACGCGTTCACCATCTTCTTCAACAGGACGAAGAACTACTTTGCCATGTCGGCCTTTGTCGGCCAGAATGACAAGCCCGTAGCCGAGAACCACTATCGCTCGGATAGCGATTACCCGTCGGTCGGCCCATGGGACGGCGAGTGCATGGGCATCTTTGGTGACCTGTTCGCCAAGTTTGAGACGCCGGAGCAACGCGAAAAGGCCTGGACCCTGCGCATTGATTCAAAGGACTGGACCATCCCGCCCGGCACCATCACAGTGCAGAAGGGATGGACCTACTCGGCACACGAGGCCTGGAAGTACTTCCAGCTGCCGTACCACGACGTTCCAATCCAGCGACGTCTTCTGGCCAACTGCGAGAAGGCACGCACCTGGTACTCACACATCAACAAGATGCCCGGCTTTGGCAGCGCAGCGTACAATACGTCCGAGAACTATGTTACGAGCGTGGGCATACCCCCGCTCGCAACGGGACCCGTCCAGTACACCGACTTCTACACACCGTACGGAGGCTTCCCCGTGCTGATGGCCAATCACACGGTCGGTCTGGTGTGGTACAACAACATGTTGAAGGGACCCGCCATGCAGGGCCCGTACGGCTCGACCGAGTCGGCGCTGAATGACGGCACGGCCGTGTGTTCCAAGACATCATGGGATACCAAGGCATCTATTGTGGCCATCCTTGGAGGAACGGGTCACATTGTCAAGGAGGCCTTGATCCTCGATTGCAAGTGGCAAGCGTTCTACGATCGTATCCAGACCACCTATTCCAAGGCATTCCCAGTCTTGCTTGGGGAGGACATACCCTACGCTTTGCCAAACTATACTCCTGCTGCAAACTCGGCCAGACCAGACTATACCCTCTGCGCGGATTTATAGTCTTTGATTGATTGATATCAATGTTATTAAACTAATGATGATCAAGGGCATATCCATGTGTGTATGATCTCGATCGATTGATTGATTGATTGATATGTTGACTACCTCTTCTGGTCAAAGAATGCCTCGACTTGACCGCCAAGATGTTGTTGAACGTCGTGTTGGAACTGCTCGTAGGATGAATCTTGATTGTTGTCAATGCGTATGTCTGAGAGTGCGAGTACTGCGCCAACCTGTTGTCCATTGGGATCTGGGTTGTTTGTCTCTAGACCATCGATTCGAAGGAATTGTTCCAGACTGATTGTGTTATCACCCTGTCTTGCACGAGACTTTAGTCTTGCGTATCTTGTCTCTGGTGAGCAGTCTACACCAATCAAACAGAATGGATAATCCTTCTGCATCCTAAGTTGTCTAACCTCTTCAGGATGTCTGATTGAATCGATCACATAGTTTACATCCTTATTGCGTCCCTCTCCACCGCCACCACCAATAACCGTTTGTAATGCCATCGTTGCCAAGATACCAGGTCCATGTTCTGTTGGAGAGTGAGTGAGTGAGTGTTGGCGTGACTTGACTTATGCATCACATGCATGCCCTCAACTTACTATTCCTTAACTCATTGCCTATGTTTATTAGAGCTTCTCTTGACTCCTCTATATGTCTATTCTTTAGTTCTTGTCGAAGTACATCTGACAGAGAGAACACATGATATCCTTTATCTTTAAAGAATGAGCATACTGTTGACTTGCCCGATGCATTCAATCCACATACTCCTATAATCCTTCCTACTACTACACCTGTTGTCTTTGAGCTCATCTTATACATGTACTTATTTATTTGTTTGATGTTCAAACACATGTTGAATGAATGAATGAATGATGACTTCAAACCCTCACCCTTGCTCTCAACCACCAACCCTCAACCCTCGCCCTTGCCCTCGCCCTTGCCCTTGCCCTTGCCCTCATCCTCGCTCATTCATTACTTAATACATGTATGGACGTTTATTTAGATGATAGTAATAAACACCAGTCTAGTTGTGGAACAATGGTTGTTTGGTTATTGATCAACTTGGATACGATGTGTCCAGAGTAGATATCAGTATCATATACAGTTCCATTATCATCAATCTTTAGTGGACATGATACAAAGCCTCGAGGTATATGTTGAGAGTCGATGATAGGCCATGGCGAATCGAACTCGCCAGGCTCTTCACCAAATGGCACCGTGACCTTGGGTACATCTGCCTGCCACTTTCCATCCTCGTCGAATGCCATGAATGTTGTGATCCAGCCCGACAGCCATGTCGGTCCCGAGCCACCTTCACGCTTGTGAGCGATACGGTTCCACCAGGCGACGTCCGGATTGCCCTCGGCTGAGCGCACCATGTGATCAAGCACTGGCAGCAACATGTCTACCCATCGCTTCATGTGGCCATCCTTGGTGTCGAATGTGAGAAATCCTTCCAAGCGCTGTCTGATCAGTTTCCAGTCGTCCACCGAACCAAGCAGCGTCACTTTGGGCAGTCCGCATTCGAGCTCAAACACAAAGTCAAAGTACGCCTTGGTAGTGGACATCAAGGCGATCGTGCCGACAATCTTGTCGGTTGCGGTAGTTGTCGTGAAACCAGGCAGCACCCAGTCTCGGATTGAGGCGTCCTTGATATTCTCTGCGATCTTATCGGACATCATAAGAGTGAGCTCTTCATACGGTGCGCTGAACAATGAGCCGCCAGCTGAGACCCTCAACTCTCGCTTTCCATCGAATGTCACAAACTTGTCGCGCAACAACTCTGCATTGCCATTGACATAGTATGAGAACTGGGTGATCAATGCCAGCCACACATCATCCGGTCTGATTACCAAATGCAAATGATTACTATATGCCATCACAGCTGACTTTACGAATGAGTTGTGGCCCAGCCAAACCATATCATTCTGCTTGATACTCGATCTGATGACCACGGGCTCCTTCTGCTCACGCTGAATGTACCTGTTTGGATCAGTGTTGCCAACCAACTTTGAGTAGTCGAACTTTCTTGTTCTGATACCACTGTATGATGTTGGTTCAACCTTATCGTCTACAACAAATGTTATCTGATGATGTTCTTGTTCTTGTTCATAATGTTGTTGTTGTCTATTGATAGGCTTCTTGTATAACATATGATTATTCACTAGGACTGCATCACGCCTTGCCATATCTTGTTGTTTATACGTGTATGAATACAGTATGACAACAAGTAGACTAGCAATGAGTATTGTATTCTTTGGTAACATTGTTATTGTTGTTGTAGTTGTTGGTTGAAGAGAGTGGCCATTAATGTTAACATGATTGAATATAAGTAGTAAGTATCCTATATATCTATTACATGTTCAATCATTCAATTATAAAGTGGTGACTCGACAATGATCCCCATTTTGTGTTGCCAACTTGTTTCCATTATCCGCAATCCCGCCAACAAACCCCACACATCCAGTCAGCCGCAACTGGTGACTCGACAAGTTATTATTATTATTACAACATATAATGGCAATACCTTTAATTAGTCATCGAAGAAGTCATCCATGTCCTCTTCAGGCGGCAGATAGTCAGCTGCCGAGGTGGGTGCAGCTGGTGTTGGCTTTGTTGTTGATGACTTGGATGCAGCGGCAGGTGCTGCCTTTGATGATGATGTCTGCTTCTGTTTGGTGACTGGTACTGAGAACACTTGTTTGTCCTCGTCACTGCTGTCATCTCCTTCGTCCTTTGCCACCAGAGTGTTCACTCCATCATCATCGTCGTCGTTGAACTTGACCACTGTTGGCTTGGCAACAGGTGACTTTACCTGTTGTGCTGGCTTCTGTGCACTTGTACTTGGCTTTGGTGATGTGGATACAACTGCCTGCTTGCTTGGAGTAGTTGATGGGGTTGTGGCTGTCTTGGCGGGTTGTACATCCTTTGCTGGCGTGACTTTGGCCGCGACAGGACTGGCAGCAACAGGTTGTGGCTGTGGTTTGTTTACCACTGGCTCGGGCTTCTTTACAGGGGTGGCGACAGCTGCTGGTTTGGCCTTGGCCTGGACAGGTTGATAATCATCGTCGTCGTCATCACTGTCGGCACCTTCGTTCTTGGTGACGAATGGATTGAATTTATCATCGTCGTCGTCGTCGTCTCCAAACTTGTACTGTGAAGCGGACTGATTGCGGCTTGGCGCCGCCACTAAATATGTTCTTGATGATTGATTGTTTGGGCTTGTCGTCGTCAAAGAAGCTGTCCATGTCACTAGCCTCACCTGGATTGAACTCGTCGACCTTTGTCAGCACCTTGGGCATGGCTGGCGCAGGGGTAGGCGCAGCCGTGTGCGTGGCAGTGGGCGCGGGAGTGTTGGCAGATGACAACTCTGGAGTATTCTCCTTGGAGATACCCATTGACTTTGAGAGACGGGCG